CAAAAAATTTGGGGGGGGATTTTTTTTTCCTTTTTTTTCTTTAAAATTTTCCATTTTAAATTGGTTATTTCTGATTTATATATAAAAGCAAATAATAATGATATGGTTTGAATAGGTAAATTAAAATTTTTTAAGTTCTTAGACCACTTTCATTCTGTGTCAGAAACCTATGCTGTGTCAAATATTTAATTACAATCCAAATTCAGTGCTGTATCAAGCTTGAATGTTGTGTCCATACTTGCCCCAACTGTTCAGGGTTCGACCTCTGCGGTCGTATCAAGCTGCGCCCCAGCAGAGCATTTTATTGTAATTATGACTGTTTTTTTGATACTATAATTTATAAGCAATAGGCTAACTATATTTCGTGCATGGTGTATTGGTAAGTTGTACAAGTCTGTCTGGCAGTGTATTTGACATTGACCTCACTTCCATGGATCATTAATAATGTTAAGTTTATGTGATACTTGCAACAAAACCTTCCAGCATAATTCAATCATGATAAGTAAAGCAGGGAAGATATTTCAGCTCGTGCACTCTTGTTTCTCTTACCCAATTTATCTTTTCCTGACCTGTTGATTATTTTTATTTAGTCAATGTGTGGTTCATTTGATATCAGTTCTTCATTGGTCAGAATTCGAATATGACATCAAAATTTCTTGCTTTCCTTTGAATTTCCTATTGTGACGTCATGTAAAAAGGCAACCATGTCTGATGACGTCACATAGAAAGAAGACATCTTTTTGAAGTATGTATATCATCTATAAATCAATAGAGAAACAGATTCCACCACAAAATCTCGTGCAATATGATGATATTAATTCATTCTCAATAGTTGAATTTAGAAAATTTAAAAAACTCATCAAGCATCATGTTTTTTTTTTTTAAATTTGAAAATTGAACTGTCTGGAGTGGATGAATATAGTTTCACACTTGATGCAGTGGTAGAATCTATATTTATCTGATTGTATATGTAATAGTTATACACCGAGGGATAGGTGTGTCTGGATAAGAAACCCTGTCGACCGGAGGCCGGAGGGGTTTCTTATCCAGACACACCGTATCCCAAGGTGTATAACTAACTTACACCCCATTCTAAACCCTATATTTGTTAACATTGATTATTAAATGAAAAAAAAAAACGATAGCATATTTATTGATAATATCAAACCATGATTTATAAGAATATTTTTTTATTACATGAAACCCCATTAGTAACCTTTCTTTGGTTATCTTCGTTCAAACTTTGACAAGTGAATATATTTTACAAATGTCAAAGTCGTTTTGCATATTCCCTTTAAATCCATGTGCTAATATGGATCAGCAGGTCAAGGTTGACTGTTTCGTGTATTCTTATTACAAACAAAAAATTACATCATGCTCCTGGTATACAGTTGTCAATATGGACGGGTATAAGATGGATGACATTCTGTGGCAAGCGTTGGATTTGGTAGAAGAGACTAAAGATAAAGGCAATATTATAACCCAAAATACTTATCTGTATCAGTCTAATAAAGGTAATCATAACTGTATTTTATATCTTATGATTTTATCAAAAACAAACCCCCCCCTCATCTTGAGAATAAACAAACATTCATATTCGAACATACTAAGGAATAGGTGTGTCTGCATTAGAAACCTGACTACCAGACACGCTCAACATACAATATTTAAAATTGAGGAACTCCCCTTTTTTGGGGGGCAATCAAGGGCTGATCCAGCCAGGGGTTCCCAACTCAAGAGAAAGGGGGGCCCAACCATTCAAAAGCATTGATCTTTTAAATAAAAGTCAGGTCCAACCCGCGGAACCCCCAACCCCGGATCGGTCACTGGGTAACCGTGGGGGAGGGGGGTCCGGGAGCTAGAATCCCAATTCTTTTTTTAAAGATCAATGCTTAAGATAGAGGCCATATGACTGGGATAAAAAAAAATTACCTTCAAGCAAAAAAGTATTTAAAGGATTATTTTTGTATTCCATATAGATGCTTATTGGAATTTCCTAAAATGTGTTTTTTTTTAATATCATGAAACAATTTGAAGTGAACACTATTAGTAATTTCTTATGTTCATAATCAATTTCTATTGTTACGAATAACAATGGACTTTGTTTGCGGGATGTAGAAGCAGGGGTTTCCAGAAACCCCGCTCGTCACACCCTGTGGTCAAAATCCATTGTTTTTCGTAACAATAGATCTATTCAATTTACACTTGTTTCAGAAATAGAAGCTATGAAGTATAACAATAGAACTGGGGTGTAATTATTTTGTAGTTTACCTAATTAAGTTGTATTAATTGAATTAATTTTGACTGGAAGACCAGGAAATTTGATTAGTCTTATTAAATGATCTAGAAATTGATGGTCAGCACAAGTGATCTCAATTGAAACCAGTGGTAGTTTAAAGAAAATAAGTTTGTTTTTATTCAATTTCACACGCTTTTTACACTTGTTAAAGAATAGAATACCTTAGCTGTATTCGGCAAAACGTAATCCGAATTTTGGATCTTCAATGCTCTTCAACTTGGTACTTTATGTGGCCTTTTTAACTTTATATTCGAGCGTTACTGATGAGTCTTTTGTATAAGAAACACACATCTGGCGTACAAAATTTGAAGCCTGATATCTATTTTGAGTTTATGGTACAGGTGATTGAGATATTAATCTTGAAGACTGAATATCAGTTTACAGTTTTTTGGGTATTTATAACACAATGGTGGTAAAAGGAAGTGACATATTACAATTCTTTATAAGGAAACAAGCTTAAATTGTTTTATATTTCCACGTTCTTAAGTTGTCTGTATAAATTCAGAAGGTTAGAGTTGTCTCCATACAAAGTACCTTTTTTGTACACAGTCCAAGTTGTCTATGGGCCAAGTTGTCTTGTACCCCATGGAATGTGTGCACATGAGTTTCACTCCTATTGCATGAGATTTGCAGAACTACTGTCCCAATTCTCGCACTACTGATATACTATCATATAGTTAACACACAGACAGAAGTATGAGTTTAGAGTAAAGACAAATAAGTTCTAAAATACATAACTTTTTCATGCCCCTTTCACTCTAGTAATTAAATATGTTCCAAGTTCTAACAAATTGATATAACCCAAATGTTTTCTAACAAGAGATATTCAAATCATGAACATTGTAAAGGATGCATATTTATACCAATAACATTTGCAAAGAAAAAAATCAATCCTGGTACATTTTTTTGGTACATTTTCACTTGAAATGCCCCCCCCCCCCCTCTAAACTTATCACATTGACCTTTAGTTTGGACTCTAATGATGAACCCAAAATGGAAGTTGATTAATATTCTGTTTCATTTGGATTGAACACAACTGTAAATATAAACAAGAATCTAACACTTGCAACTTTAAAGAAAGAAAATCTCAGGATACCAAAAGGTAGTAGTTAGTCATTAATGGACATGCAATATTTTCCTGGTTATATACTGCATCTAATATCCTTATGAGACAGACAAGTTTTACACAATGAAAATAAGAACAGCTGATTCCAAAGGGAGACAATTGTCTTTCATCCTGTGAATACATCACTTCTTATTCTTCTTTGTCAGTACTCGATTTTTATAACAACAAAAGGAAATATTTATGAACTATGATATCTTGCTTTTAAATTATGTTCTCTAGTAACCAATGTTATTTTGACTCATTCAGGGATTTACATGTTTCTTCTCTTTTAAAAGTCATGTGTGTAAGGCAAAGACGAGCCAAATCGTATTGTTGCTTTAAAAGTATAAAAAAAATAAATAAAGATCAGCATAAATTTTACTCTTAGTAACTGTTAGAAGTAGCTATTCATATGGAAACGTCTCATATAAAAAAAAGTTAAAACAAAATTATCGAACTCCAAGTTAAATTCAAAAAGGGGGAAGTCCATAAAAACTGACAAAACCAAACGATTAACCCAGACTATTTGGTCAATTTGCACGAAACACTGCACGTGTATTCCATAGAATTCTTTTTGAAAGAGGGAGGATTACCTTGATTATGGTGGTCATTAATTTTTGAGTATTACAGAATTAGAACTTTTAAAGATTAAGAAGGATGGGGGACCACTATCCATTATTCTCTTTGAAAAAAACACTGAATTCCTTCGGTCTTTCTTTTATAACTTGAGTATCTTGTGTTGATCAAGGATTTGTATAGTCTCACTATACAAGTCCTTGTGTTGATTGGAAAGATATTTATACAGATGGAAGATAAAGGAAAGTGGAGTAAGTCTATATTGTTTTTAGGGTCAACAGATCAAAGGTCATTGTCACTGTTTCAAAAACATATTTTTTATTGAATGCATTTTGATTTTGATGGTTTGTTAGCATTCAAATTTTATGTCTGCATTTTTCAAACGAATACCTGCTATTGCTATATGTTTCTTTATTCTACATTGGCTAGAGGTATAGAGGGAGGGTTGAGATCTCACGAAACATGTTTAACCCCGCTGCATTTTTGCTCTGTCCCAAGTCAGGAGCCTTTGGCCTTTGTTAGTCATGTATGTTTTTTTAATTTTAATTCCTTTATATGTTTTGGAGTTTAGTGTGATGTCCATTTTTACTGAACACAATTTTATTTAGGGGCCAGCTGAGGACCACCTCCGGGTGCAGGATTTTCTCGCTGCGTTGAAGACCCATTGGTGGCCTTCAGCTGTTATTTGCTCTTTGGTCGGGTTGTTGGTTCTCTTTGACATATTCCCCATTTTCATACTCAACTTTATACTATAAAGAATTCATAGATAAATGTAGTTATAAGATATTTCCTTATTGACATGACAAAACTACAGGTCAACATAGGAATAAGTAACAACAAACACATTGCACCAGATATTACATTGTGTATTATGTTTGTTTACCGTGATAACCTAGTTTTTAAAGGATTGATTATTTACTTAGAATATTTATATCAATGACTTGTATATTTGAGGGTCATAGTAAAAGTTAGTCATATCCATGATTTCAGTGACATAATACTTATACATTGATATAGGTTTATTATGATGATAATCAATGAATATCTTACATAGATTACCATATATATCCTCGGGTTACATCAGTGTCAAATATTTACAAATTTGTACCTCAATAATCAATCCACCATGACATGTGCATACATTAATTCATAGGATACTATTTGTACCAGTACTATACATACTTGTACAAAAAATGTTTATAGTTCGGAGAAAACAGGGTGAACCTTCTGTCTTGACGGTAAATTGACACTATAATATATATATATATTCAGAACTAATAATAGCTTTCTGATAAAATAGATTTTTAAAAAATAAAAATAAAAAAAAGATAAATATATTTACATTCAAAATTTCAATAAAGTATAGTTTATAGATTTATTTCAATTCAATATCAACATTAAACATTGCAGATGATTATACAAATGCAATTATTTCACAATTTCTTTATTATGAAGAACATGTGTAGTGCAACATGAATGCAGGTTGACATATGTATATAATCATAATAAAAGAAAGTAAAAATGTAAAACAAAAAATGTAGTGGTCATGTTTTATAATATCAATATTTAACCTATTGTGACCAATGCAAGCCCAGTGGGGTCTTTGGAAGCATTAAAAAGAAAACAAAAGTTGCTTTAATCCAGGTCATTTGGACTCTCGTCTGTATGTTCATTGGCAATCATACCATCCTTATTTTCATAGTGAGTGACTAAAAATTAGTACATATACTAATGTATTCCAAAAAAATTAGTCCATGGTAAATATAACAAGTTTTATAATGAGTTTCTAAATATTAGTACACATGTATTCCAAGAAAATCATTCAAAGGTAGATATAACAAGTTTATTTTTATATAAATTAATAACTTGTTTTGAGGAGATGACTTAGATCAATCACTTTCAGGAAATAGATAGATGAATGGGATAAATCTATTCTTTTTCAAAGCGGTCGATAATAGTTATGAAACGATATCATATGTCCTAATATAGTCTTAGGACATGTCCTTATCCTAAGACTGCTTCAATAAACAGACACCATGTGATAGTTTTAAATATAGATATCTGAGATAAAAACTATCTTATGACAGTGGTATAATTAATGTATTCTTGATAAATAGCTTTTTACTATAATAGAAAATATTTTCTAATGGAAAATTTCAAATTTCATTACGTTACTAGAATGCACCCATCCATGTGTTGTTTTCGTAGAGTTATAGAGAACATAAACATTGAAACCACTCAAAAATATATGCACATGCTACATTTAAGAAAAACTAAATCACAGACTGAAAATCTCACATCTCTTAAGATGAAAACATTCAAATAACCATAATGAAGGTATTGAAATGGTCATTATCACCAATGGGAAATTGTTTCCTAACTTACAGGTTGTCAGTTCACTGCCATCGCAATCATCAGTCATTTATGCCTATGAATACCATATGTACAGGTAAATCTTGGTTTTTATACCAAGATCAGGAAATCTATGATTTAAGTAACCCGAATAATTCAGTCCCTCCCCATGATCGACTCTCCCACTCGCGAGATGTTGCCATCGTAGAGCAGTGGAATATAACAACTGAATTATTCGGGTTATGACTTAAGCTTTATTAGCTTGATTGCTATCTATTTCTCTTAAAGACAGGAACAAACTAATGAACAATTTTCTTGTCCAACTAGTTTAATTTAATGTTAATGTCATGTATAAAAAAAATTTGAAACACTTTTTGTATCAGACTTATAAGTCAGTCCCAGGAGTTTTTTCTCTGGTTCCATTACTTTCACTCATGTTGACCCAAAATATATTTTCTAATTTTGGTTAATTTCGTGGAATGAATTGATGCAGGATAATTGCTACTCGATCTAGGATGAAAAGGTAAAAGTACATGATGATACTGGTCTTGTTTTTATGGAAAACATGCATGGTGATAAAATAATAGAGCTAGACAATTGACCATTTAATTGTAAGTTTTATATTGATACTATCACATTTTGGTACTATAAAACAACTGACAAAGCTTTTGAAAGCCTTGAAGGATATAAGTGATACTTGGTATTATTGTTGCCCAACACTAGAACTGTTGTTGAAATTGGAATGAATGTCTGTCTGAAAGGTAAAGGTCAAACTTTGTTCAGCTTTTTATCCATAATTTTTAATATTCTACATTTTGTCCAACTTAAATCTTTTAGATTACCTTAGCTGTATTTGGCAAAACTTTTAGGAATTTTGGGTCCTTAATGCTCTTCATCTTGGAACTTTATTTGGTCTCTTTAACTTTTTTGATTTGTGCATCACTGATGAGTCTTGTAGACGAAACGTGCGTTGTGTAAAAAATTTCAATCCTGGTATCTATGAGGAGTTTATTTAATGCGTGGAAGGATATTATATAAATAATACTTGCTCTTATTGTTGCTAATTATTTATAGTCACCAAAGGGTGTGTAGCAAATAAGTATGGAATGTCTATCTGCAAGGTCAAGGTCAGAAACATATTTACAAATGTGCAAAGTCAGACTTAGAACTTTGAATGCATTGAAAGATATTAATGACACTTGTAGGCAAGGTCAAGGTCATAACTTTATATATTAGGAATTGGTTACATTTTGTAAGCTTTGCACCTGAAACCTCAAGTTTTCTAGGAATTATTGATACCTTTTCTTCTATAGAGAGAAATATGATACCTTTACATGTATATTCTATACATAGCCATGACTCACATTTTAAAATAATGAGGTCTTCTTGGACAAATCCTGAAAATTTTGACAAACTTTAAATTAAATGACAACTATTGACTGCTTCTTCCCTGAATACCTGTCTAAAGCAACCTTTATACAACAAACCTGTCTGATCTGGATACAGATAAAACTTTCTTAGTATCTGTAATGTTTCAATAAAACATGTTTTTAACTGTATAACTGTTCTTCAGAATGGAAATGTTGAGATACAGCATTATCATCGAATGCAGGTAGGTAGTCCACTCAAATATTCCAGAGTGTATAACCCCTTTGTTTTCCCAGATTTTCCCCTCCTTAATATCCTGAAAACACGATGAAAAAAAGAATTCAACCGGAATAAATATATAGAGATGCCTTATGGAAAAAATATATGAAGATGCTTATTAAATGGACAACTTTTTAAATGAATTTCTAGTACTGGTACTTGACGAAAAGTAACTGTCCAAGTTGTATAATTATGATCAATTAAAAGAGATGTTTTTTGTTTATTTAGGTGCAAAAAATATTTAGACAATTGAACTAACACCATATAAATTACATATAAATATACATATATATTATTTTAATGAGATAACATGAAGGCATACATGTACGTTATAATATTATAACAGTAAACATCTGCATATTACATACTCTATTCATTTACCATGGTTAACTTAAAAATGTACATATGTTTTTTTCCTTTTTGAAATGATGAAATTGAGTCAGTCATGCATTGAGTTTGTTAAAAAGATGAATTCTTTTGTAAATTATATTTTCAATTTTCTATTCAAATGTTTTATACTTTATCCTCAATATGGATGCATCACTGATCTATTATCCAAACTCATCCACACTGATCACATAGGATATGAAATGTCACTGAATTATTATCCAAACATTGGTACTGACCCTCACATCAAAATAATATATCATTTAAGTATTTCTAAATATTTATCATCCAACACAATCATACAGTCACTGGCCCTCTTACAGGAAAACAGGTGTCATTGATCTATCAATCACATTAATTCATGTTTATCCTTACACTGTATAGTGTGTGTCACTGGTCTATCACCCACACATACTCATACATTCACTGGCCCTCACACTGGATATTATATGTACCTGATTGGATATCCAAACCTCTGGATATGTCACTGATCTACTATCCAATTTTCATACCTGATCCTAATACTGGATATGTCACTGATCTACTATCTAATTTTCATACCTGATCCTAATACTGGATATGTCACTGATCTATTATCAAATGCTCATACCTGATCCTCATACTTGATGTGTCACTGATCTATCATCCAATTTTCATACCTGATCCTAGTACTGGATATGTCACTGATCTACTATCTAATTTTCATACCTGATTCTTATACTGGATATGTCACTGATCTATTATCAAATGCTCATACCTGATCCTCATACTGGATGTGTCACTGATTTATCATCCAATTTTCATACCTGATTCTAATACTGTAAGTGTCACTGATCTTTCATCTAATATTCATACTTGTTCCTCATACTGGACATGTAACTAATCAATCATCCAATGTTCATACTTGATTTAATACTAGGTGTGTCACTGATCTATCTTCAAATGTTCATACCTGATCCTTAAACTGGATATGTCACTTATCTATCATCCAATGATCATACCTGATCATAATACTGGATGTGTCACTGATCTAATATCCAATGTTCATACCTGATCATAATAATGGATATGTCACTGACCTATCATCCAATGTTCATACTTGATCCTCATACTGGATGTGTCACTGATCTATCATCCAATGTTCATACCTGATCCTAATACTGGATGTGTCACTGACCTATCATCCAATGTTCATGCCTGATCCTAATACTGGATGTGTCACTGACCTATCATCCAATGTTCATACCTGATCCTCATACTGGATGTGTCACTGATCTATCATCCGATGTTCATACCTGATCCTTATACTGGATGTGTCACTGACCTATCATCCAATGTTAATACCTGATCTTAATACTTGATGTGTCACTGATCTATCATCCAATGTTCATACGTAATTCTATTACTGGATGTGTCACTGATCTATCATCCAATGTTCATACCTGATCCTAATACTGGATGTGTCACTGATCTATCATCAAATGTTCATACCTGATCCTATTACTAAAAGTGTCACTTATCTATCATCCAATGATCATACCTAATCCTATTACTGGATGTGTCACTGATCTATCATCCAATGTTCATATTTTTCCTCATACTGTATGTATCAATGATCTATCATCCAATGTTCATACTTGTTCCTCATACTGTATGTGTCACTGATCAATCATCCAATGTTCATACCTGATCCTAATACTGGATGTGTCACTGATCTATTATCCAATATTCATTCCTGATCCTAATAATGGATATGTCACTGATCTATCATCCAATGTTATCATCCAATGTTCATACCTGATCCTAATAATGGATATGTCACTGATCTATCATCCAATGTTCATACCTGATTCTTATAATGGATTTGTCACTGATCTATCATCCAATGTTCATACCTGATCCTAATAATGGATATGTCACTGATCTATAATCCAATGTTCATACCTGATCCTAATAATGGATATGTCACTGATCTATCATCCAATGTTATCATCCAATGTTCATATCTGATCCTAATACTGGATGTGTCACTGACCTATCATCCAATGTTCATACCTGATCCTAATAATTGATATGTCACTGACCTATTGTCCAATGTTCATTCCTGATCCTAATAATGGATATGTCACTGATCTATCGTCCAATGTTCATACCTGATCCTAATAATGGATATGTCACTGATCTATCATCCAATGTTCATACCTGATCCTAATAATGGATATGTCACTGATCTATCATCCAATGTTATCATCCAATGTTCATATCTGATCCTAATACTGGATGTGTCACTGACCTATCATCCAATGTTCATACCTGATCCTAATAATGGATATGTCACTGATCTATCATCCAATGTTCATTCCTGATCCTAATACTGGATATGTCACTGATCTATCATCCAATATTCATACCTGATCCTTACACTGTATATGTCACTGATGTATTATCCAATATTTATACCTGATGTTTACACTCATATATATGTCACTAATCTATCATTCAATTTCATACATGATCTTTACACCAATTTGTCACTGATATATTATGAAATGTTCATAATTGACTCTAGCACTGTATGTATCACTAATCTATTATCAAATTTCAAACCTGATTGGAATTCTCATACTGGATGTGTCACTGATCTATCATCAAATGTTCATACCTGATCCTAATCTTTACAAGAAAAAGGAAATGTAGGACGTGAGACAGCAAACCAAAAAAAAAAAATCACACAAAATAAACAAAGTAATTTATTTTACAGTCTTCAACAATAGACAAATAGCCTCTAATATTTATATCAGGCTCTAAATTTCCCTGAGACAAGAATATTTATGAAAATATTTACCAGCGACAATAAAATATGTGCTATTACTAGTAATATCAAATTCCATAAAGGACAAGAAAATTGTTATATAAATAGAATGCCTGTTTTTCATTTAAAAGTAGCTACAGCTATTTAAGGAAATAGTTGAAATTTATTGCATTGATCATATCTATGTACTTAATAGTTAAAATACATAACATATCACATTCACAGGAAGTATGTGAAATTTCTACTGAAAAGATAAACAGGAAGGCAAACATTATAACTATAGTATTATGTATACAGAACTTCTCTAACACCAATTGATAAATCAGTGTTATTACTTTAAGTTCAAAAATAATTGCATGCATTTATGTTGTGATTTCTGATCGCAGGATAAAATGAGAGATCAATTGATGCAACTAATGCACTGAATCATACAAATACATGTTATATATTAAAAAATTTGAAATGTGAGATGTGAATACTTAGGTCTGTCACATTTTTTTCTACAAAATAAAAGCATTGCAGGAACTTTGAATTTAGAGTATCAATTGTTAACTCTAATATAAATCAATAAAGATATTTGCTATTAAACTTCAATGCAGAATCTTATCAAACTTTATTGGACTAAAACCCTTTATTCAGATTTTTCCCCATATTGTACTGATTGGGTGGCTTATATTTTGTCAATCTGAACCAAACATTCAAGTTGTTATTAATTAATGAAAAGTATCTGATTTTGTTCTAGACTCATTTATTGATTCTGATGAATGGATTTTCAAATAAATTTATCTGAAACTAATATTTTAAATCCCTCCAAACTTTATAGAAATGTTAAATGAGACAAAAGCCTTTGATTTTTGTTGATGCCATGTAGGTTCCTATCGAGTCATATGGCAAATTTCATAAAATTCTAATGAGTTGCCAGCGTGAAAGACCATGATAGGAATGATATACTGTATGGAGGCCTAAGGTCTGTAATCAAAATTCCTCTTTTCATTTCTGTCAGATGAAAATTAGGGTATATATTTCATCACCATTGTCAGAATCCAGCCATAAGTCTTTCTTATTTTTGATTAGTTTTAAAATGTAAGGAAAATCTTTTTGAAAATTCCTCTGAAGAGTCAGGTTAAATGTTGGAGGACTTTAATGTGATTATATAAGTTTAATAGGGCTGGAAAGTGGCTTTTGGTGATATTTGGCATAGATCAAAGTGAACAATTCAGTCTCTTAAGAGCCACTAGACTTCATATCATTTTTTTTCAATTCTAATACTTATTATTTTTAATTTTGAAATTCTTCCCTTTTATTGTAGTAATTAATTTTTTTCATGTATAAAATTGGAAATGAATATATTGTGCAACTTAATATGTGAAAAACAACAAAAGTACGATTAATCCTTAGTCTTACCATAAAAGGAAATGCTTCTACTCCATTCTGAGTAAATAATTTTCATAAACAGAGGGTAATTATTAGAAGGAAGTAATTGTTGAAATTTTATTTTTCAGACATTCAAGTCCTACATTGACGAGGATGAGGACAACGAAAAAGTAAGTTGCTGCTTAATTAAACCTTATATTTCTTCTTTTGAATTGAATTTTGTTTTTATTTAACACGTACATGTTCATATATATATATAGAAGTAACCAAAATTATATCAATCAAATATATATACCTGTAACATTAATATTTAAGTTGATATGTACTGTAGGGAAATATCACTATAGATTTGATTAACATATTTTAGATGTATATTACTTATTTTTATTTAAAGAAATAGTTCTATATTGCCATGTTCTACGTTCATTTTAACTTTGCTATGCATTATATTTTTCAATATCCTTACACTCAGGTGTAAAATATAATGCATAGCAATGTTAAAATGAGTATAGAGAATGACATGAAAGAATTATATTTATTCTAATAGAAAATTCAGGACTTTTGTACTTTGAAGCACACCTAGCCTATAAGGCAAACTTGAAAGGCAGCCATTTTGATTTGATGAAGCAAAAACAATCTAGAAAATTAATTGTTTCACAATTAAAAAATGGACATTGCAATTTTAATAGTGACATTATGCATATGCACCCCATATTCTATTCACATTAGAACATGGCTTTGTCTACAGGGAAAAAACAAAAGTGTCATTTAGAATTATTTATAAATAATTGCTACAGTGTACTTTTTTTATGGAAATGAAATATCCAAAAATTTTCCTCATTATGAAGGAAGATATATTCCTAGTGTGGTACACAATTTACAACCTTTAATAATGTTCTATAAATATTTGAAGTGATAGGTAGATATAGAAAATCTTTGTTCAATTTAGTACACGTTTTAAACTCCTTATCAATTTACTGAATATTTTTACTTGTGGGTATTTATAACCTAGTTTAGATAAATTCTTCCACTTGAGGAAGTAGATTCTTATTGTTTTGAAAAAAATGCTTTATTGTACAATTTCCTGGTAAGAAGTACTTATATTAGGAAGGATGTATACTGACCACATTTATACAAAGATGGAGGTATTTAATTCAAGATTATGTGTAAAAATATCACCTTAACCTTAAGATCTGTATACTTTTTGGTGATGATTCAAAATTTTATTTTTGAGTTAATGAGTATTTTGTAAAAAAAGGGGGAGGGGTTTTTCACATGTCGCGCCGTATCTCAAAAACGATTTATGATTCACGCCGTATGTCAGAAACTATTTATGCTTATTGCATAAAAATTCACACACAAGACGACGGGCGTATCATGCGCTCATGGCGCAGCTGTTTATTAAGGCGTTATCATCCATTCGTTTGATGTGTTTGACATGTTTGAGCTTTTGATTTTGCCATTTGATTAGGGACTTTCCTATTTGAATTTTCCTCAGAGTTCAGTATTTTTGTGATTTTACTTTTTTGTAAACTTTCATGAAACACTTGAAATCACATGAATTGTTTATTTGCTTACATACTAGGGTAGTACTTGCTTAAAATCTTAAAATTTCCTGACTGTAAAGGAAATGTTTTTGTCAAAGTATGTTAATTGATAGTGTTGGTTTGAAACACAATACTTTATATTTTATCTTGTAAATCATCATGTTTGTAGATCTAAATCATTTAGGAGAAGTTATTTGAATACTAAATTGTGTATTTCCCTTTTTAGGATGACATGAAGGAGCGAGCCTCATCATTCTTCCAAACAGATCTGTCTCCTAGACTTCTATCTGGTAAGATATGAGTAAAAAATTAACGAAAACCTGTTTTCCAGTTAGCTTGGAGTTCTCCTTTTAGTGACCAAGGAAGTTAAATGGCTTAAGTTTGTTGTTTAACTGTAAAGACAATTACAACAATAAACATGAACTGAAACTTCATACTAACATGTAACTTCAGTTCAACCCTACTTATACCCCATGGAACCAAGTTGAGTGGGGTATGTTTTTTACCTGGTGTTTTTCCGTCTGTCCATCCATCAGCCAGTCCTGTTCTTGTCATCACAACTTCTCTGAAACCATACAACAGAATTTCATGAAACTTTTTTCTAGTTATGCCCCTTTGAACTTAGAATTTTAGCTTAAATATACTACTGTGACAGTCTGCCATTGTAACTTCTTTGAAACAACACAACAGAATTTCATGAAACTTTGTAGATAATAAGGACATACTTTGTAGATGTGCATATCGAATGGAAATTATGATTAAATTTTTTTTCTAGTAGTTCTGCTCGTTTGAACTTAGAATTTTGGCCTAAATATACTACTGCAACAGTTTGTCATGGCAACTCCTCTGAAACCACACAACAGAATTTAATTAAACTTTGTAGTCAATGAGGACATAATATGTAGATGTGCATATCCACAAGAAATGTTTATCAGTTGATTTTTGTGGGAGTTAAGAATCTTTGATCTTCAAAATCTAATGAAATTTTGCTTGCCCAGTGACAGTTTGGGGGCATGGGGTATGTGAGCGTGCTAACAAAGGTTTTATTGGCCCCGTCTTCAGGAGGTGCCATTGAGTGTTACCCTTGCCCGTCAGTAAGTACCTCATTGGTCAATGTTAAGTTTTCATGGTTAAGTTTGTTTCTTAGATAGGTCAACTATATTTGGTGTATTGAATGATTGTAAGGTGTATATGTCTGTCTGGAAGGTATCATCTGACCCAGACCTCATATTCATGGTTCATTGGTCAATGTTAAGTTTTCATGGTTAAGTTTGTTTCTTAGATACTATAAGCAATAGGTCAACTATATTTGGTGTATTGAATGATTGTAAGGTGTATATATCTGTCTGGAAGGAATCTTCTGACCCAGACCTCATTTTCATGGTTCATTGGTCAATGTTAAGTTTTCATGGTTAAGTTTGTTTCTTAGATACTATAAGCAATAGGTCAACTATATTTGGTTTATTGAATGATTGTAAGGTGTATATGTCTGTCTGAAAGGTATTATCTGACCCAGACCTCATTTTCATGGTTCATTGGTCAATGTTAAGTTTTCATAGTTAAGTTTGTTTCTTAGATACTATAAGCAATATGTCAACTATATTTAATGCATAGATTGATTGTAAGGTGTACATGTCTGTCTGGCATGGTTCATCTGACCCAGACCTCATTTTCATGGTTCATTGGTCAATGTTAAGTTTTCATAGTTAAGTTTGTTTCTTAGATATTATAAGCAATAGGTCAACTATATTTGGTGTATTGAATGATTGTAAGGTGTATATATCTGTCTGGAAGGTATCATCTGACCCAGACCTCATTTTCATGGTTCATTGGTCAATGTTAAGTTTTCATAGTTACGTTTGTTTCTTAGATACTATAAGCAATATGTCAACTATTTTTAATGCATAGATTGATTGTAAGGTTTACATGTCTGTCTGGCATGGTTCATCTGACCTTGACCTCATTTTCATGGTTCATTGGTCAATGTTAAGTTTTCCTGGTTAAGTTTGATTCTTAGAAACTATAAGCAATAGATCAACTATATTTGGTGTATGGAATGATTGTAAGGTGTACATGTATTTCCAGTTTGGTTTGTCTAACCTTGACCTCATTTTCTTGGATCATGTGAAATTTATGTGATACTCGTAGTAAAGCTTTATATTTAGGACTATCAACATAAAATCAATGGTCTATAAAGCAGATGAGACATTGCAGTGTGTGTACTCTTGTTTTATTGGTTACATACAAATATGAGAATCAAATATAAGTGAGAAACATATAACACATTTGATGAATTAAGAGTTTGTACACATATAGTAGGGATGGTAATATTTTACAGAATCTATACTCATGTAATCTGTTCATATACTTGCCAGTACTGATCAAATACTTGGATAATAATGGAAATAACAGTATTAGTGATATTGTGTGTTGTTTTACTCACTCTCTTATCATCTAAGTAGTTCATTAAGAGCGATGCACATGTTTCGGTTCAAATAAACAGTAAGTTAAATGCACAATCAAGGTATCAACAAAGGTGAACTGTCAATAACTTCATATACGTTGTCTAGCACTGTGTCTAATGATCATTTTTGTGATTGGACCAGTAGATGAGAAAATCCTTTGATGGAACTGATTTCACTGGTACTCCTTATTAATAGACTTCATGCTATTATGTGATTTTTGCGACTCTTTGTAGCTCTATATGCTATAATGCCATCATATTTATTCATTATCGCACAGTTTGCACTTAACTTATTATCATTGAACATCTTTGAAATAAGCCCAGACAGCTGATGTTATTGGGGGCATTATTAATTTTTTTTTATTTCTGCTGTTAAACCTAGGGTTAACACTTTTCATCTCAAAAAAAAGGGGAAATTTCAAATGATGTTAACTGAGATGGAAAATATTGGTCAGGGGGTAATGTCAAAAACAATTTGTAAGAGTATCTGAGTATGAAATTTGCACATGAGTACTTGATCTTCATTGTGATTCTTGAATACTGGTTGCCAATACTAGTTTAAAGTGTTCCAAATCAAAGTCATTTTAAAGCCTTGAGTTGTACTTGGTCATTAATGTTTTGTCAGATAGTTGTCTCATTGACAGTTGTGATCATAATACAACTTCCTATTTTTAAAAACAAAGAATTAAAAATAGTCTTAACCTATTGTTTACATTTATAGGAGAATGCAAGATAGCAGAGGCAGACAAGACATTAAGTTTTAGTGCCTTTACTGACAGAAAGTCTGGAGTCTCAGGGAAACTGTTTGTCACTAACTTCAAAGTTACGTTTGTCACTGAGGATAGATCATCATATGAAGGGGTAAAGATATTATCTTGTCAGAATATTAAACCAAATTAGCATTTCTGAAAATTCAGAAAATTGTATCGGTTTCACAGTATTAGAAAACTTAATTTTCAATTTTGATAGCATTATTTTTATACATCCTTTCCTGAAATCGCAATAATTAATCTTACTTTTTTGTCAATTTAAAAAGAAAAATGCATGCAAAAATTTCTGAATTTACAGTAGGTAAATCACATTTATGTGGAAGTCAGTAGCATAAACTTACTGTAGAAATATTAATTTTCAAGGGGAAAAATATCGTGGTTTTGTCTCAAAAATTGATTTTGTGGCGATAAATTTTTCCTGGTTTGGTTTGAAGTAAGTGAAAGTAATTTTTCTTCAAGGTTAAACTTAAATTGGGGTTTTGATTTATGGATAACATTTATCTACGAAATAAACAAAAATAAGTCCCAATAAAAATTTGTGGGTTTACAGTAATTATAAGATTGAAACTGTAACAAATTCATTGATATTAGACTTTAGAATATATTCGACATACAGTTTGTCAGTTTTAGTCACAAATGAGAATTCAAGCAGTTGTTTTAAAATGATTCTGCATTTGAACTTTACATAGTGTTTATAATTAAATAATTCACATAGTGAACTTGTTTTATTTTTTTTTATAAAACATTTTGATAATCTGTAATATTTTCAACAAACATTTCTGTTATTGCTGCCATTTTTTTTTTCAGTCAAATAGTAGACAAAGGAATTTATTGATGGGTGATTTTGACATTCCACTAACTTCAATAGATACTATTTATCAAGGTAAGAAGGTTTTGGTATATATGCCTCTTGTTAATAACTGGCACATCATTTTCACATTTATAATTGTTCTACTCATTCAGACATTGTACAAGGATGATTCTTTTGCAATTGGATGGTCAAATTCATGTATTGATTAATATATGTTTAGCCTGAAAATCATTGGAGGGGGTATTAAGTTTAACCCTTGTCTGTCTGTGCACATGTACGTCCCAAAATTGGTTTCCATTCTCTAACTTTAGTTTGCCTCAACCAAATGTTATGAAACTTATACACAATGCTTATTACCACAAAACACAGATCAAGTTTGAATTTTGGTGGTGTCATTTTTACCATTCTAGAGTTATGCCCCTTTACAAATGGAAAAATTGCTGAATTTTTCGTTTCTGTTCTCTAACTTTAGTTTGCCTCAACCAAATGTTATGAAACTTATGCACAATGCTAATTACCACAAAACACAGATCAAGTTCGAATTTTGGGGGTGTTACTTTTACCGTTCTAGAGTTATGTCCCTTTACAAATGGAAAAATTGCTGAAATATTTGTTTCTGTTCTCTAACTTAAGTTTGCCTCAACTAAATGTTATGAAACTTATAAACAATGCTTATTACCACAAAACTCAGATCAAGTACAAATTTTGGTAAGCGTCACTTTTACAGTTCCTGAGTTATGTCCCTTTATAACGTTATGTGCAAGCGGGGGCATCATCTGTGTCCAATGGATACATTCCCCATTTATTACTTCCTGCTTGAAGATATTGATTTGATATTTGGTGTATTGACAAGTTACAGATCAAGTTCGTTTTGTGCAGAGTTATGGTCGTTGGACTGAGAAAATTCTCTCAAATAATCAGTTTTCCTCACTTTTTTTTGTCATGCTTGAAGATGTTTATTTGATAATTCGTATATAGTTTTATCATGACATGTTACAGATGAAGTTCAAATTTTGTTCCGGTCTGATGATTTTTTGCAGAGTTATGGTCCTTGGACTTAGAAAATTTACTTAAATAATCAGTTTTCCACACTTTTCATCATGCTTCAAGTTATCATTTGGTTCCAGTACAATGAATTTTTAACCGGTAGGGGACTATGTATTGCCATGCAATACTCACAGAATGCTTGTTAATAATCAAATGCTAAAACTGATGATAATTATGTAGCAAAGGACAAAACGTTTTCCACTGAAGAAGACTAAGATGCAGACATGTCTTTGAAACAGTTAACAAATATAGAAATGATTTATTTTTTACATGTACTAGTAAATTGATGAGAATGTATACAAATTGTTTTTCAGAAATAGACGATGATCCATCACCAAAGAGTAATAACATTGTTGTTTAAGCTCATTTTATATGCTTTTGAATTGTTATTGGCCTAGTAATCAGCACTCTAATAAGAAATGATAAGCATAACCAAAATAAAGCAAAATAGCTTGATAACTTATCAAATAACTTTAAAAGGTTGACATATAAGTTATCCAGCTTATTTGTCAATCTAATGTGAAAATTTAACATTTTTTATTCTTAAATTAAAAAATTTACTATGATAACTAGCAGGGCAACTTCACATTGATGAAAAGTTTGTGTCTGATATTTTGTTCAGTTCAAAAATTTCAGTAACTTTTCATTTAAATTTGCTCAGGGAAAATTTTGGTGAGCTTTGTACTTACACAGAAGTGATAATCATTCATATGTTTAACCTGCTTATGTTGACTGGTTATAATATACATTGAGGTTGTTAGTAGTACTTTGGTGCTAACGGGGGTTTGTCCTATTGACTGGGGGATTGTCATATTGACTTGGTATGATAGTCATTATGGTTGTTAGTAATTATAGGTTTTTAACCTAGGTTTTCCAGATTCCTCCAGCAGTGAAATCAATAGCTACAAATTTATAAAATTTATTGAAACTAACAGAAAAATTTAACTGTTTTCTATTCTAATTTGTGTTAAGCTGTTCCAAATTGTATCATTTGAATATTGTTGTAATCAAAGAAATGATGTGTTATTTCCGTTTTGCAGTAAAATGAAATCTTAATACTGTTAAAATACCAATAAGCCTTTCCATAATCGAGTACGTAGAAAAGATGCTGTTTCAAATATTGTCCATAAATTTAATGATACTTTGAATGTTACATGGGTAGGCATAATGTATTTCAAAATCTTTATACAGAGGGTTAGCAAGATGTAAAATGTTGACAAATATAATGACTAGAGCATAGAGCATGACATGATTGTATTATTTTGATTACAACAGGAAAATTCAGAACATTTGTACATCTTAGCCCACCTATAAGATATGTTTCGAAGGCAGCCATTTTGAGTTGATGAAGCACAAACTTTCACAATCAAAAAAATTGAACCATGTATAAAACTTACTTTTAGAATGATATTACATATTTCCTCGGAAGCAACACCAACAAAAATGTCAATTTTGAGCTACTTCATTGTTCAGAATACAATTGAAGGTGCTATTTTGATTGTGACATCATTATAACATGGCTTAGTTTACAAAGTGAAAGAAGAGTGTCATATTGATATTGTTACTTTCTTTTTCAGTTATATCTGGAGGCAGGAGAAGAAAGTTATCACCAGGAACAACTGTCAGTAGTTATACTAAGTATATAGAGATACATTGTAAGGTAAGATAATATCACCAGGAACAACTGTCAGTAGTTATACCAAGTCTATAGAGATACACTGTAAGGTAAGATAATATCAACAGGAACAACTGTCAGTAGTTATACTAAGTATATAGAGATACACTGTAAGGTAAGATAATATCACCAGGAACAACTGTCAGTAGTTATACTAAGTATATAGAGATACATTGTAAGGTGAGATAATATCACCAGGAACAACTGTCCGTAGTTTAGTAAGTATATAGAGATACATTGTAAGGTAAGATAATATCACCAGGAACAACTGTCAGTAGTTATACTAAGTATAGAGAGATACACTGTAAGGTAAGATAATATCACCAGGAACAACTGTCAGTAGCTATACTAAGTCTATAGAGATACACTGAAAGGTAAGATAATATCACCAGGAACAACTGTCGGTAGTTATACTAAGTATATAGAGATACATTGTAAGGTAAGATAATATCACCAGGAACAACTGTCGGTAGTTATACTAAGTATATAGAGATACATTGTAAGGTAAGATAATATCACCAGGAACAACTGTCAGTAGTTATACTAAGTATATAGAGATACACTGTAAGGTAAGATAATATCACCAAGAACAACTGTCAGTAGTTATACTAAGTATATAGAGATACATTGTAAGGTAAGATAACATCATCAGGAACAACTGTCCATAGTTATACTAAGTATATAGAGATACATTGTAAGGTGAGATAATATCACCAAGAACAACTGTCGGTAGTTATACTAAGTATATAGAGATACACTGTAAGGTAAGATAATATCACCAGGAACAACTGTCAATAGTTATACTAATATAACTACAATCTGAAAAAATTGATTTCAAGATTTTTCTTCGAAACAAGATCTGATTTATTTTTATTTCATTTTATTTGATGAAAGTAAGTATACTGATCAATGAAATTTTTTACCTTGACTAAGTTACTTTAGAAATCTGCTGAATTGACATATTTCTTTTTCAGAATTTTAATGTCCATGTTTTTGGATTAAAGTTCACACCAAGAGACCAGAACAAAATGGTATGATATTGTAGTTAAACATTCAGACTATCTGCTGTCAATGGAGTTTTTTCTTTGATAGTGTTGGTGCATTTTATAATCATCTCTTACTAATGATGGTTTAATGAAAGTAAACATATTATAATATTGTGTATGCTCTGAATAATTGACATTATCATTGGTCTCGTGGTAACATGCTTGTCAAGTCCTGAAGGGTGTTGGGTCGATTTCTAAACGGGTCAAACTGAAGACTTAAAAATTGGTATTTGCTGCTTCTCCATTAAGCACATAGCATTTAGGAGTAAGGGCAAAGACTGGGCGGCTCACAGTCAGAATAATGTGTTCAGGTAGAGTGACATGTTCCTACAAACTGTTACCTTGTGAACTAGCACCTTTAAAATCTGGCTCAGCATGTTGGTCTAGTACAAAGCAGGGTTCAAATTCACATCTCGTTAAAATGTTCTATCCTGATTTAGCATTTAATATGTGAATGATTGTATACAAAATGAAAATTACACATTGAAAAATATTTTATGTTACTTAAAGTGTTTCTAAAGCAATAAAATAGTATAGACAAATATAGATTTCCAAATTTGTATTTTATGGCATAAAGAGTATCATTCTCTTGTCAATGTTGTCACTGCATAAAATATGGTAAATAGATGGACATCTAACAGTTGTTAAATTAATGAAAATTGAATCTAATGTATATAATCGTCTTATTAACTTGCAGATAGTAAACACAATATTACACTATGCATACCCTACAAAGTCCTCACTACTGTTTGCCTTTTATTACGGAAAAGAACAGCAGCATTTCAGTAAGTACAATTTATGTATATTTTGTGGACTTCTGTTAACCATATTATTTTAGTATTTAGCCCATTGCCACTGATTTCATGATTTATATGTAATTTTGTGTATTTACACAATAGAAAATTTAAGTTTGACAGTCTTGCCACTATTTATATTTTCACAATTTTATCGCAAAAGATAAATCTCCCACAAAAGTTAGTTGGTTTACAGTATTAAAGATCTATTCTAGTAACATTCAAGTGAAGTACTGTACTATTATTAATTAAAGTATGATGGTATACAGCAATAGTTACATTACATGTTCTATTTCATAAAATTCCATTCTTTTGATTGGAATAAAATTCAATATTCATGATTACCGGTCCACATACTTGCAATGACAATGTCACTACAATGCATAGGAAATCAAACAAAAATGTTAATGTAACTCGTAATTTCATAGTTGTAGCATATAAATATAATTATAAGAGTAATTTTATTGGGTTGTAAAAGAGTTGATTTTGTGCACTTTTTTTATTAGATGTGCTTCTATCAAAGGGTTTACATCCCAATAAAATTACAAAAAAGCATTCAATTCTTAAAATCTATTGATCAATCATTTATATGAAACAGACTACATTATTTCTATTTGATGCCTGTTACAACAGAATTAACACTTTGAGCAAAGCTTATCTCTATTCAGGGCTAATTTGAAGGGACAATAAACAGTAAATATTTGGTTTTTATGTTTTTTTCATGACAACCAGATCCAATGGGCTGGATTGCTTAGTTACTTGTAAAAAAAATAGATTTTGTAAATTATTTTCAATTCAAGAAAAATGTTTTCCAGACATCTATTTCTTTTAATTAATAAATAAATAAATATTTTATAATGCTGCATTTTTACAAAACTAATTAGAATAGTACGTCAATATTTTTATGAAACCTTTGGTAGTACAATATAAAGGAATAGTGTATTATCTTTTACAGATTTTGGCAGTTCTGTAGACACCCCCCTGTTTGATAGTCCAACTGACTGGGAAAGAGAGATAAACCGCTGTAGATGTTCTAATAAATGGTGGGTGACAGATGTCAATGCCAATTACGACATGTCTACAAGGTATATCTTCTATATTAAATCAATAACTTTAAAACCAATTTTATTAGTCATGCAATAAAAAAAAGTTGAATATGAAGAAATAAGATGACACAAAAACCAAAAGACATCTAGAGGTTAACACTCTCAAGCTCTAAATCATCCGAAGTCTTGAAGAAAGGGTTGTGAATACATTCATCAGACTACCAGAGATCTTCCATCAACACTGAATTATCTCAGTGACCCAAAACAATAGATATATAACAAAAGACACTGAAGAGATTCCTTAATTGGGAAAGGAACACACAAGAAACAGGATTATGGCATCATTAGATCAGTTTTTGCTTCATTTGTGACTGAGTTGTTGAATTGAGATTTGGGCAACATTTGTGTCCAAAGTGTCAATAAAAGTTTGTGATTATATCACTTTCAGAGGAACTACTAATGATGTCAATGCTATTTGGTATGCAAATGTATCAGCATTGGTACATCTCATTTCCATGGAGATTGATGGCCCCATGTTCTAAGTCATGGTTCATTGACTTGGAAGCTTTTGTATGTGCCCTAGGGCAATGTTAGTATTTATGTCCATAACTCTTCTGCTCATACTGTATTGATATCCACAGTGTTACAGTTATGTTCTTTTTATAAGAGAGGAGAAGCTAGAAAAGGCTTTTTACCTCTCGAGTTAGACAGTCAAAATGTATTGTATTGTCTATCAAATAACATTCATGAACATGTCTGTCAGATTTCAGTAATAAGGTAATATATTTGAAATGTGTCTGACATAACTAAAAAAATTGTCTCATTTCAAGCTCTTTCTACTAATATGTAGATATTAGCAACAGTCTTATGAAGGCCTTTATACCATACGTCTTATACAAAGATTTTATATCAATTGGGGAAAGGTTGGTGCTAAATGTAATATATCACAGTGACATCACAAATAGAATTTCTTCATTTAAGTGATTATTATATATATATCTTTTTCATTTATCAATTAAATAGACAAATTTTTGAAACGTTTGAAGAATTTAACTGTTTTTACAGTTTCAACGGCAAAAAATGACTTTTACTATTGATGCATCTTCCTGTTGTTTTCTTTGGGTAAGTTAAATTGTTTGGTTAAAATGGAAAAAAATATTCATACCCCACATGAATTTTTTATGATGGGTTCATTTTTAGCTCACCTGACCTGAAAGGTCAAGTGAGCTTTTCTCATCACTTTGCGTCCGTCGTCCGTTGTCCTGCGTCTGTCGTCCGTAAACTTTTACAAAAATCTTCTCCTCTGAAACTACTGGGCCAAATTTGACCAAACTTGGCCACAATCATCATTGGGGTATCTAGTTTAAAAAATGTGTCTGATGACCCCGCCAACCAACCAAGATGGCCACCATGGCTAAAAATAGAACATAGGGGTAAAATGTAGATTTTGGCTTATATCTCTGAAACCAAAGCATTTAGAGCAAATCTGACATGGGGTAAAATTGTTTATCAGGTCAAGATCTATCTGCCCTGAAATTTTCAGAGTAATCGGACAACCCGTTGTTGGGTTGCTGCCCCTGAATTGGTAGTTTTAAGGAAATTTTCCGTTTTTGGTTATTATCTTGAATATTATTATAGATAGAGATAAACTGTAAACAGCAATAATGTTCAGCAAAGTATGATCTACAAATAAGTCAACTTGACCAAAATGGAGTTATTGCCCTTTATAGTCAATTTTTAACCATTTTTCGTAAATTTTTGTAATCTTTTACAAAAATCTTCTCCTCTGAAACTACTAAGACAAATTTAACCAAAATTGTCCACAATCATCATGAGGGTTTCTAGTTTAAAAAATGTGTCCAATGACCCTGCCCGCAAACCAAGATGGCCGACATGGCAAAAAAATAATACATAGGGTAAAATGCAGTTTTTGGCTCATATCTCTGAAACCAAAGCATTTAGAGCAAATCTGATGGTATAAAATTGTTCATTAGGTCAAGATCTATCTGCCCTGAAATTTTCAGACCAATCAGGCAACATGTTGTTGGGTTGCTGCCCCTGAATTGGTAATTTTAAGAAAATTTTGCAGGTTTTGGTTATTATCTTGAATATTATTATAGATAGAGATAAACTGTAAACAGCAATAATGTACAGCAAAGTTAGATCTACAAATAAGTCAACATGACCAAAATTGTCAATTGACCCCTTAAGGAGTTATTGCCCTTTATAGTCAATTTTTTACAATTTTCATAAATTTTGTAAATATTTGTAAATTTTTACAAAATATTTTCCACTGTAACTACTGGGCCAAGTTCATTATAGATAGAGATAATAGTAAGGAGCAAGAATGTTCAGTAAAGTAAGATCTACAAACACATCACCATCACCAAAACACAATTTTGTCATGAATCCATCTGTGTCCATTGTTTAATATGCACGTAGACCAAGGTGAGCGACACAGGCTCTTTAGAGCCTCTAGTTATGTAGTAAAAATACGTAAAAATGTTGTTCAATCTCTCTTTCAGTTTACCAGAAAGATTTGTTGTTCCATGTGGGTTGCTGAACTTTGACCTCAAGAAAGCTTCCACACATTTTGTAGATAGAAGAATACCAGTAAGCTCTTATGTTTAATAGAGGTGAAGCTACATGCCAGGCCATAATCTTGCCGGCGAAATGACGATTTATAAAGTCGCCAAAGAATTTTGAAAATCGCTAAAACTCGCCGCCAGCTGACTTCTTAGCAAAGTCAAATCGCTATCAAGATCGGTATAAGGGAGACAACTTGTGATTTACAAGTCACACAGGTAAACAAAAATGGCGACTGACAAGGAAAATCAAGATTTTCGAAACGATCAAGGAATAATACTGTCGACGATTAAATGAAATAAATACAACGCCGACTTTGAACATTGAGAAGTCACTTCTTCCTCTCCAAAATCCTAGATTAGGCCTTGCATGCTGTTAATTCTCAATGTCTTTGTATATTTTGAGAAGTCTGAATACAAGTACATGTGTGTGCTTTATTTGTTGAGGATTTAAGCTCATATGTTTTTCATTTCAATAATCATTTATTTCCAACACAATTATTAGTGTTTTTACCTGTGCAGGTGTGTTAAGTAAAGGAAACGTTTCCGTAGAATGTCATTATCTTGGTTATTATTTGATGAGTTAACTCCTCCTGTTTTTTATGCCCCCGCCATAGCGGAGGGGGCATTAAGTTTTACCCTTGTCCGTCCATCCGTCTGTCCGTCCGTCCGTCCGTTCGTCCGTCCGTCCGTCCCAAAGTTGGTTTCCGTTCTTTAACTTTAGTTTGCCTCAACCAAATGTTATGAAACTTATAATCAATGCTTATTACCGCAAAACACAGATCAATTTCAATTTTGGTGGCGTCACTTTAACCGTTCTAGAGTTATGCCCTTTAAAAAATGGAAAAATTGCTGAATTTTTCGTTTCCATTCTATAACTTTAGTTTGCCTCAACCAAATGTTATGAAACTTATACACAATGCTTATTACCACAAAATACAGATCAAATTTGAATTTTGGTGGTGTCCTAGAGTTATGCCCCTTTACAAAATGAAAAATTGCTGAATTTTACGTTTCCGTTCTCTAACTTAAGTTAGCCTCAACCAAATGTTATGAAACTTATACACAAAACTTATTACTACAAAACTCAGATCAATAACAAATTTGGGTAGCGTCACTTTTACCGTTCTTCAGTTATGTCCCTTTATAACTTTATATGATATGCAAGCGGGGGCATCATCTGTGTCCCATGGATACATTCCCCATTTATTACATATTGTGATACATAATTTACATCATATTTTTGAATTGGTGATAATATTTGATTCTGATTCAGTGATTAATACTTGATTTTGTTTCAGCTTTATTACTTTCTTTGATTCAGTGATAATCCTTGATTCTGATTCAGTGATAGTCCTTGATTCTGATTCAGTGATCATACTTGATTTTGATTCAGTGATCATACTTGATTTTGATTCAGTGATCATTCTAGATTTGGATTCAGTGGTAATACTTGCTTTTCCATTCTCTGATTCATAAGTAGACTTGTACTTAACAACCTGTGGTTGTGTCAATGTAAGTTTGTGTATTAAGTGTGTGTTTGGTATTGTTTGTAGACATGGTGTTATACACATACCAACGGTGTAAGTCTGGTTAGAATGGCCAACCTGTTACCTCAGACTGATGTTGCTACATTTGAAGAAAGGTAAAAGTTTATGCACTTAACTATATATAGCTAGCATATACATAACATCAAATGCAAGGCATAGTTATCACTTTATCAGTTTTGTTGAATTAGCACATGAAATGCATATTGTTAAAGAGGAGGAAGTGAATCAAATGACATCTAGAGGTCAACATATGGTAGTCAACAAAAGACCTGAAGTGTCTATAGATTATGTCAAGCTCTTAATTTATTGTGAAGAAAATCAAGCATTTTTCTAGTTTCCAGACAATAACTTGTATTCAAGTGTATGGATCTCTCTGAAATTGTACTGCAAGGTACCATACCACAAAGAGAAGGCTGGGATTGATTTTGGGGGTAATTGCCTCAAAGTTTTAGGAATTAGGGGCCAAAAAGGGAAAAAAAACAAGCATTTTTCTAGTTTCAGGACAATAACTTGTGTGTAAGTGTATGGATCTTTATGAAATTGTACTACAAGGTTCCATATCACAAAGGGAAAGCTGGGTTTGAGTTTGGGGGTAATCGCCCTAAACGTTTAGGAATTTGGGGCCAAAAAGGGGCCAAAAAACAAGCATTTTTCTAGTTTCCAGACAATAACTTGTGTTCAAGTGTATGGATCTCTCTGAAATTGTACTGCAAGGTACCATACCACGAAGGGAAGGCTGGGATTGAGTTTGGGGGTTCAAAAAATTGGGGGGGTTTCCTTTTTTTCCTTTTTTTTTTCTTTAAAATTTTCCATTTTAAGTTGGTTATTTCTGATTTATATATAAAAGCAAATAATAATGATATGGTTTGAATAGGTAAATTAAAATTTTTTAAGTTCTTAGACCACATTCATTCTGTGTCAGAAACCTATGCTGTGTCAAATATTTAATCACAATCCAAATTCAGAGCTGTATCAAGCTTGAATGTTGTGTCCATACTTGCCCGAACTGTTCAGGGTTTGACCTCTGTGGTCGTATCAAGCTGCGCCCAGCAGAGCATTTTATTAAGGATTGATACATGTATTTCATCACCAGGAGTTCATCTTTTTATACAGCCAAATTAAAATGATTGGTTTTTCAAGGAGAAATTTAAGTTCCCATTGAATGAAATCCACAGAAAACAATAGGCATTGTATTTATTCAGTGGGACAGTTCCTGTTGCAAACATTTAGAAATAAGCAGATAGTGATTCTGGGGAAAGGTATGATTTCCTTCGCAAAAATAAAGACAATCAAAGGTCTGCCATCAATGCAAATTGTCTAAATGATAAAAAACAATAAGATGTCTACATACCATGGTTTCAAAAACAGTCAAGTCAGCCAGACATATTTTCAATGCTGCTTTTTCTTTTTCTTTTGTAAATAAAGGCTTGCAAACCAATACAAGTAAACACCAGGGGATGAAGGGCAAGGAATTTCATCACAACACATGAAAATGATTACTTTGTATTTTGAAATTGGCTTCCTCTAACTGACTGTAGCTTGTACCTTGATGTGCGTTTATGTTAATTTATGTTAATTGACAGTGCATCATTTAAAGTTTGTAATTTCAGCAGACTTATGCTTGTGCTATGCTCTTTATTGATGTAATAATGCTCTGATAAGAAAGTTAACTCTTGGTTTAAAAAAAGCACATGTTTTTCTGATACCTCATGTTGACTTGATAGTGAAATTTCTGCACATTTTTGTCTAGTATTTTCAAGTTTAAGTATTTTTTTTTAAATTCAGTTTTGTTCAAGGAATACCTGAAATAAACATAAGATAGCTGATATAATTTCATTATTTCTTTTGAAAATTCTTGATTTATAGTTAAGTTGCACACCTTTGTGCATGTGTTCACTTGTGCATATAAAACAATGTGGTTTTGTATATTCTTTTCATTCCAAAACCTTTAAAAATAAATGAAATAGAATACAGGTATTGTATTGACAAACAAAATCATCGATCATTGCTAAAACTCAAACAGAAATGTGTTTGAGAAATGTTGTATTCTTGATAGTAAATAGTGATTTCTTTCGATCACAGATTACCTTTTCTAACAATATTTAGGTCCATGTGTGGACAGGTTCAGATCAACAGTTAGGTGCTTACTATTCATTTCATTATTCAAATTCATATATGATTAGATTCATTCATTCATTCATTTATTCAATCAATCAATTATATAGTTCATTCATTCATTGATTCATCCTTTCATTGATTCATCCATTCATTGATTTGTCCATTCATTGATTCATCCATTTATTGATTCGTCCATTCATTGATTCGTCCATTCATTGATTCATCCATTCATTAATTCATCCATTCATTGATTCACCAGTTCATTGATTTATCGTATGATTTTTCCATTCATTGATTCATCCATTCATTGATTCATCCATTCATCGAATCATCCATTCATTTATTCACCCCTTCTTTGATTCATCAATTCATTGAATCACACATTCATTGATTTATCCATTCATTGATTCATTCATTCATCCACTCAATGATTCATCTATTCATTGACTCATCTATTCATTAATTCATCAATTTATTTATTCATTCAGCCAGTTTGTTGTCAATTCATATATTCAAATTTGAAATGAAGTATGATAGTATTTTAGATGTGTATTTATGTATTTATGGGTTATAAAGGTAAAGTTATTATTACATTTACAGGGAATACACTACCAAGATGTATGTAAATTTTGTTGTAATAATTGATATCAGGCTTTGTGTTACTGATTCGTAACTTTTCATATTCTAATTTTCATTGCTTGTTGAATTAATGATATAATGTGTGATTTTTTTACTTCCAATAACTAGTAGTTGACTTTTGTTACACCTGAAATAACAGAGTAGAAATTAAATATAATGTGTACTTATGGTTAAGAAAATATTAAAACCAAATTTTTTTTTATAAATGTCAATTTAAGAAAATGAAGTTTTTATAAATGTCAATTCAACAAAAAATTATGAAACAGCAACACATGTCTATATAGGGCATTTATATAAGAACAGAGTTTGCTTAATTTTAGTTCCAAGCATGGAGAGGATTATACAAATAAATTATGCATGTGTTTTTTTTTTTTATTTTATGCAATCATATTGTTTTGTTTATGAGGGTATTTTAACATAAATATGTAGGACTCGGACCTGCGATGGTACTCTGAATTGCGATGGTCACGATGAAATGCGATGGCTTGACGCTGAGGTGTGTTTTTGATCACACTGAAGTGCAATGGTGGCGTTGTGACGCTATCTTGTTTGTAACTATGCCCAAGTGCGATGGTGGTTATGCTGAAGTGCAATGGATTACATAAACTATATTTTCGATGTCGATGAAAAAGTCAATTTGTTTGTTAAAAGCAGCTTTTCATGTTTATTAAGTAATCATCAAGAATATTAACCCGTTTAATTAATCACAGTCATGATAAATATTACCAGTTCTAATTGTAACGTTGAAGTTTACTTTGGACAAAAATAAGCCAATATATATAACCAATATATTCATAAAAAATAATATATAATACAATTATTCAAGACGCTTCATACAAAGGTTATTTTCTATAAAAACCAGTGCTAATTTCAATGACTGAAAATGCGATAGCTGTTTAAAACTGCAATATAATAAGGGCCTTATAAACTTCAGTGGTTTTTACTGCAACTGGAGAAAATATGGAATGTTTTTGCATACTAGTATTTGACATGAATACAACTTATAAACAGATTTCAATACTACTGCAAAAGGGAAATAAAGAGTAGACAGGGAAAATTTAGATAATTTCGATCCTTTTTATATGACTGCAAAAAAAATTTCGTCGTCCGAATACACATTGGTTTTCGCACTCTAACTTTAGTTTTTTTCGCACTCTAACTTTAGTTTAAGTGAATGGATCTCTATGAAATTTTACCATAAGGTTCAATACCACAAAAGGAAGGTGGGGATTGATTTTGGGGGTTATGGTACCAACAGTTAAGGAATTAGGGGCCAAAAAGGGGCCAAAAATAAGCATTTTTGTAACTTTCAGACATAACTTGTGTGTTAGTGTATGGATCTCTCTGACATTGTACCACAAGGTTCCATATCACAAAGGGAATGCTGGGATTGATTTTGGGGGAAATTGCCTCCAAATTTTAGGAATTAGGGGCCAAAAAGGGGCAAAAAACAAGCATTTTTCTAGTTTCATGACAATAGCTTGTGTGTAAGTGTATGGATCTCTCTGACATTGTACCACAAGGTTCCATATCACAAAGGGAATGATGGGATTGATTTTGGGGGTAATTGCCTCCAAATTTTAGGAATTAGGGGCCAAGAAGGGGCAAAAAATAAGCATTTTTTCTAGTTTCATGACAATAACTTGTGTGTAAGTGTATGGATCTTTATGAAATTGCACTACAAGGTTCCATATCACAAAGGGAAAGCTGTTATTGAGTTTGGGGGTAATTGCCCAAAACGTTTAGGAATAAGGGGCCAAAAATAAGCATTTTTCTAGTTTCCAGACAATAACTTGTATTCAAGTGTATGGATCTCTCTGAAATTGTACTGCAAGGTACCATACCACAAAGGAAAGGCTGGGATTGATTTTGGGGGTAATTCCCTCAAAATTTTAGTAATTAGGGGCCATAAAGGGGCAAAAAAACAAGCATTTTCTAGTTTCAGGACAATAACTTGTGTGTAAGTGTATGGATCTTTATGAAATTGTACTGCAAGGTTCCATATCACATAGGGAAAGCTGGGTTTGAGTTTGGGGGTAATTTCCCTAAACTTTTAGGAATTTGGGGCCAAAAAGGGGCCAAAAAACAAGCATTTTTCTAGTTTCCAGACAATAACTTGTGTTCAAGTGTATGGATCTCTCTGAAATTGTACTGCTAGGTACCATACCATAAAGGGAAGGCTGGGATTGAGTTTGGGGGTGATGAATCATAAGGGGGTTCAAAAAATTGAGCGGGGGGTTTTTTTTTTCCTTTTTTTTTTTCTTTAAAATTTTCCATTTTAAATTGGTTATTTCTGATTTATATATAAAAGCAAATAATAATGATATGGTTTGAATAGGTAAATTAAATTTTTTTAAGTTATTAGACCACATTCATTCAGTGTCAGAAACCTATGCTGTGTCAAATATTTAATTACAATCCAAATTCAGTGCTGTATCAAGCTTGAATGTTGTGTCCATACTTGCCCAAACTGTTCAGGGTTTGATCTCTGCGGTCGTATCAAGCTGCGCCCCAGCGGAGCATTTTATTTGAAATCTACAGAAGTTCCGTTTTTTACGAACTATGGCGCTTCGAATTCTCTAACTACATATGGGTCAGCAGAGAAACTTTCCGTATTATAATATTACGGTAAACGTGGAACTCATGAGAGCTGAGATTACGTTAAGATAAACTGTTAAAGCAGAATAATGTCCCCATGCAGCAAATTTAAAGAGAACGATCTCTCATTTAGTATGAAACTGTAACTAATGACATTTATAGACAATCGCACTTCAGCAAACAGACCATCGCACTTCTGCAAAGACCATCACCCTTCAGCGTGACCATCGCACTTCAGTGTCCCCATCGCACCTCCGAGTCCTACAAATATATTCAAGGTTGATATTGTATTACAAGTCATATTATTATGTCAGTTTGTTTGTGTAATAAGATAGACAGTATTGTATATAACATTTAGAATGCATGTGTCATCCATTTTAACATTCCATAACATATCATCTTTAACACAATAGACTATTTTCATATTATAGACCTTTGACTCAAAAGTATATAATTTTTCGACAGGTTACCTACTTTGTGGTACAACATTCTGGTACCTGGTCAAGTAAGAGGAACCAAAAGAAATAAAATCAAGCTTACAACCGCTGCAATTTTGGGAAAAAAATTAACTTTTTTCTAATGACTTTATTGTGTATAGAAACAGAAAACAATTAATTTTTTCCAGATTACCAGAATGTCCTACCACAGAGTAGGTTATGCATTGTACTCAGGAATATGAAAATAGTCTATTGAATATCATAGTTCACTGTTGTATACTACAATGTTTTTTAGGTTTGGAATTTTATCTAAGTTGTTATAAGGCAATACTAGAAAACTTGAATAACTGTTTTGGAACTTGAATTCTGAAAACTGTGTATTTTTTTAACTATCATATATTTTGACATCATCAGAATGTAGAACAGTGTGGATTCAATTCAATTTACATTTTATGCAGAATATATTTGTAATGCGGATTAATTGATGCATAAAATCCAACATAAAATATTAAAATTTCCCACATCATTGAAATAAAAATTGCCAATTTTTTTCACCAATTGCAATTAAGATGGAAACAATCAAACTTCATCATCAAAATATGGCCTGTTTTGGGAGAGGGATGTAGTAGTATCTTTGGTGATCAATTGTAGTTCAGTTGATTTATATATATGATTATTTATACTGTTAATTCTATTTGTTACAGGTTGTTAACAGCAGTACAAATGGCAGACAACAAGGGTCCTCCAGAAATCATAGACCTCAATAAGTCATGTCCGTCACTTAAAGATTTACAGAACAGCTATGAAAAGTTAAAAGAATTATGTTTAATAGGTAAATTTTATAACAGTGAGATCATTTTAAGATAGTTTTAACTATAGTTTTTCTGCAATTTGTATGTTAGCTATAAATATTTTTTTTATTTCAAAATTTTTTAATTTAAATAACAACATATTTGAAAAACGATAGTATATATATTTTTATGTTGGAAAATTTTGATATGAATTTTGTTTATGTTTCAAAATATTCATTATATCCTATTTATCCTATTGTAACCCTAAGCTAGAGAAGGAGCATTTAATTTTTTTCATAAAACTGTATATATTAGTCTATGTGTTCACTTATGTAAAAAAAAAACTTGAATCTGCAGTCATTACATAAAAAGCCCAGACAAGAACTATTTCATAAATTTTTTCTTTGTCCACAGGCCATTATTCTATTAAAAAATTGGTCAATATCAAAGAAACGGAAACAAATTATCATTCATCGTCATGAATTTCCTCACTATACACTAAATATATCAGTGTCTGCAGGTTTAACAATAATAAGGGTCAGACAACCATTTGATTTCAAACAGACCCAAAGATGGACAGTGATAACACTATATACCATGGCCACTTAGTGGTATAAAAATACATTTGATTTAATAATATCAGGCCTTGCAGTTATAAAACGTGCATACTCAAACTCAGAAACCATCCAATCAAAATGCTAGATTTGGTGTTTTAATCACAAATTTTGTACTCTGAGTACTGAGTAAAGTTTTATGATGGAGAACCCAGATCATGAGTGTTATGTGTTTGTTATTTAAACAGGAGATAGACTGAAGAGGTCCATTTCCCTAGGTATCTTACACATTATAATCAAACAAGTATTCACTTCCAACTATTGCATGACTTATCTAGAGTATTCATAAGAAAAGAATATTACATGTATATGTATTTGTGTGTTTTTGAAAGTACACATTTTCTGTTAAGTGTTTCATTGTGTATAATCCAAGGTTATATTAGTATTCTATCCTAAACTTCTTCAGAAAATAGTGAACATTTAACTAAAAGCTCTCTATCATAGATATCATTTGAGTTTGTATACTTTACTGCTCAAGATTAGATTTTATTGATTAATATATATTATATTTATGATTACGGTATGATTTGTAATATGTATCTCCTATATGAGTCTCTATTAATAGCATTAAACAAACTTGAATACATCTAAAACATTATAATTATTTATCACCCCAATAGATACTGTGGATTCATTTATTTTCGTGTCAACAAAGGATAACTTGCATTATTGTGGATATTTGATTTTGTGGTTTTGCCAAAGTCTTCATAGAACCTTAAAGAGAATTTGTCATTCGTTGAACATACAAATTTGTAGTTCACCTGTATCCCTGAAATCCAAGAAAATTGGTATCCAAGGAATAGTAATGAATCCACAGTATATATTAAAAGTTGAAAGTTTAAATTTAAGTTTTAAGTTTTAAGTTTAAAATGTCTACTAATGATATTTTGTTTTAAGATTTACATTGCTAAAAACCTTTTGTGTCCCATAGACATTTTTATGCTAATGTGAACATTAGTATTATGTTTCAATACTTGAATGTATCAAGATTTAATTTTGCACTAACAAATTGATATTCCAAAGACAGATCATTGCTGTGTTCAACAGTTCTTTTGAAACCAGGATTATTTGGTTAAAGGATCACCCAATACTATTCTTGGAAAGTGTTTTCTCACATAAAATTTAAATGTTTTACTGACAAACACACATCATGTTTTTTCATTCTGGTGATATATTGGCGTTATACGATAATTCTTAAACTTCTGTTTTATTATTTCAGATTCTGAAAAGGACTTTTTAGTACAAGATATAAACTGGATGTCAAGTTTGGAAAACTCTAAATGGCTATCATTAGTATCCCAGTGTATGGCTGTTTCTATAGAGACAATGGATACTATTGTCAATAAACAAAAGACAGTTGTGATTAAAGGTATGTGAAGGTCATATAATGGATATCAAGCTGTTTATATAGAAACCATGTTACAAACACTTTTGTTTAAATGTTTTGTTTTTAGTATTTTCTTCCTTCAAACCTTTTTTTTTTTTTGTATATTTTTTTCAGTTTCATGATCATCATTCCTAAAAAATAATAATAATAAAAAAACTAATCTGTCAGAGGTAGGTGAACAGCTTGTAATGTGGATAATTATCTTTGGGTACTAAATTTTATGGATATCCTGAGTGAAGGGGAATCAAAATTTCCTATAGGCTTATATGCAGAACTTGTCAAAAGCATGATATCTAATAAATGTATAGTTGTTAACTTCTATGTCATTTGGTATGTGGCGGAGAGTTGTCTCATTGACAATCATACCACATCTTGCTATTTTTATATGAAAAAATATTTATTCCTCAATCCTATAAATTCGGTATTATTTACAAAAAAAAGTGAATCACAGTACAGTGTATTCTATTTCAGTTAAACAAGTTGTTGCAATAGATTAATATGTTAGTCAGGAAGTTGGTGATTTAATAAGAGGATGTATGGTACAAGCAATTGAGACATTGTAAAATACTAATGAAAAAGACTTCAAACCAAAAGTATTCAAAATTTATGCTTATTTTCCAAATAAAATCCTCTTGGAGACTGACAAGTCACACACAACAGTCCATTTAAAGTCTACATTTTTAAGAACAGGAGGCTGTTAGAATGATATATGAAAAAACTGTAAAATAACAAGTATACAGTAACTCTGGGTAATCAAAATGATTGCCAATACAAAGATAAATGTCTTTTCCAATATACAGGATTTTGTATTTTTTTTTACATTCATGGAGGGAAATATTGTTAAGACTTTGATTGGAAGTACTTTTAGACATTTTATTTTACAGAATTTGACAGCAGGAACTTTGCTTGCCTTGTGTCTAGTCTTTCTCAGATTCTGATGGACCCTAACTTCCGTACACAAGTAGGATTCCAATCCTTGGTACAGAGAGAGTGGGTTATGATGGGACACCCATTCCAGAAACACAATAACTTGATACAGCAAGGCAACAGTGAAAGGGTAATTGCAATTTTTTCTGAAGTTATTCATAGTCATTATTGGATTGGAAATAAAAAGTCTTATAAATAAAACAACATAAACTAATATTAAAGATAAACATTTTAATTTGAAATCATAAATCCAGAAAACATACTGAAATGACTTCCAGATTCACTATAGATTTGTTGATTCTGGGCATTTCGTATGAATACTTTGTCACCCTTCTTTAGCTGCATCACTAAGTTGAGTGTACCAGGCGCATAGTCTTTTGTAGAACCTGGCCAGATTGCTACTGTCTTTACCTCATTTTTCCAAAGGTGAACTCGAATATAATTTGCATGTCTCATTATTGTACAAGAAAATTGATAAACCCCAGACTGGGAGGCAGTGAATATCCCACTGTCAGCATCATAACCGTTTCCAATATTTGCCCATACTTTGTCAAATTTTACATTATTATTGGTTGTGTAGGATTTTGTACTAGAAAGAGAAGCTGAAAACGCAGGGACACCTTTACCTCCATTACCTGTAATTATAACAAATAAGATATAAGTAGATCCATTTTGGGTGCTTCTAATTTTGTATTGAACATGCAGACGGTTGAGTACTTTACTATTGGTTTCTACATGTGAATGAAAAATTGTGAAAACTTTTACATCTTAAATAAGTTAAAGCTTGTTTAAAAATAAGATTTTGGAAGTAAATATTTGAATAGCTTTGACAATATCATTATGATTAGAAATATTCATATGTCTAAAAATATCTTATGAACAACAAATAATGAATTTTTAATGAATGACACCCACCTGAATGACAACTACCTGATCCTTTTAACTTCAACATCATATTAAGCAGATCTTTGAAGAGGTTGTTTTCTGAAAGTACAGAAATAAATATTCAAGAAAAAACAGAAATAATCTTTCCTTTGTACTTTTCTTGCAATTGATCATATTGTAACAAAATTTTTATGAAATAGTTATAGTAAAATATTGGTAATAAGAGATTGTTTTTCCCCCAAGTCCTATGATTTTACAAACAATAATGATTGTATGTAAGTTAGTAAAGTAACTACTTGTACAAATTTTGTTTTGATTTGGGTTTTTTCTTCTCTAAAATGTGTATAATTTTAAATCTTAAGAGCATTTCTGTAGAAATGAACACTGTGAAATGAGCTTAAAAAGTATGCATAAATGGTACAAATTTACTCACATTCTTACAAAAAATAATTGACTAGCAATGTATCATATATTTATTGAAACTTGTCAAAATGTTATAAATACCTAGTTTAGAGTCACAAGATCCCTGGATTTTACTCATTAGTCCAAACAAGATCACAGTCAGAACAGACACTGTTGACAAATTCATATTGATAGTCAAGGGATATAACTCTAGTATGAATGATTATTCAGTTGACATACTGTGTTTTTCCACAAGGTATTTATACCTTTATATGATTACCAAATCACATGCTAAGGTATCATTAATGTAATGTGATATGCTTAATATACCATTCATGTAAAAATGTTACATGCATATTAAAGAATGAAAAAAAAAATTGGCATTTCTACAAGAAATCACCTCATACAGACCAAAATTTGCATTTAAATTATGGATCCCGTGCTGTTCCAGGAACAAGTACTGTAAGATCCATCTTTGACCAAAAAAAATTATTTTTATCCAATCAGCCACATTTTGCTAAAATTTTAACTGTAGTATGTAGTGATTCAGAAACTATATAATTCTAGGAAAAATTATTTTGTGTTTGCTGCAACATTTTTATGATGCCATTTTTATTTAAGGAAATTTAAGAAAATATATGTACAAAAATGTCTATCACTAATCATTACATTGTTTTTTTTAAATATTCTTTTTTTACCTGTCCCTTTTCCTGAGCAATTTTCTTAATATTGTCATCAGGTAAAAACAAATTGTACTGGGGATTTGTTACAAAGAAATTATGGTATGTAATAAAAAGTATGTGCAAAAGGAGAATTGATTACCAGTAACTTGAAAGTAAAACTAAAAATGTTTTTATGATGACAATATGGTTTCACAATTAAATCAGAAAGAAGAAGGCTTGGTCTAGATCAGAGAACCGATGTCTGTCATGAGCAGAGTGAATGAAAGCCTGACAAGTTATGTTAGCTAGTTATGTTTTTTTTTAAGTTGGGAAATTATAACTTTGAATCTTGTTGTAGAAAACTGTTACAAGTACTGCTTATAATCACTCAGGATTTTCTCCAACAAATGTATGGTTTCTCAAAGAAGGGGATGGTGTCTTAAACATAACAAAAACACCCTTCACACACCCTAAAAAAACCCTGAACAAAAAATAGCACACTTATAATATTGCTGCTGTTCATTTCACAGAAGTTGCGGTTAAGCCTTCAACGCAGAGCTTAAGCTTACATCTCACTGTAAGTTCCATACAAGTCTTAGCACTAGATTTAGTGGAATGTATAGTGTCTATGTTATAATTACTGTAAACCAATATGAACCACTGGTACTGTGAACCTTATAAAACTTTTGTTACAAAGAATTCAATCAGATCTTAACCATTTATTGAACTCTTCTCTATATTTTTCAGGTGCCAGTGTTTTTGTTATTTTTGGATTGTGTTTGGCAACTACTTCAACAATTCCCATCGTCCTTTGCATTTACTGAGACATATCTAACTTCCGTGTGGGACAGTGTACAAATTGGACTTTTTGAATCATTTCTGTTTGATAGTCCTCATCAGAGGTCAAGGTTTAATGTGGACAACCGAGTGATGCGTCAGTTCCGACTTCCACCTGTTTGGAGTTGGAATGTCCAGTTTAGTCAAGACGATCAAGCAGTGTTTAATAATCCACTTTATATACTGAAATGTAAATCTCAAATGAACGGTCCTGTAAAAGACACAATGTCTGACAAAAGCAGTTTGAATGGCAGTCTGACTAGGAATACTAGCTATGTTTTTAAGTTGGGAAAATATTATGATGACATTAATGCAGACATTTTTTCTGATGAGCCTTCTCCTATTTTAAATCCAATAATTGGTGAATCTGTGATAAAACTGTGGAGCCAGTGTTACCTAAGATGGCAGACCCCGGCACAGATTGTAGGGGGAGGTAACCCCGCTCAGTATTTTCAACAATGTATCATGATGGAAGAAATTATCCACCTCCAACATAGACTGTCGTCACTGAATTCCAAGTGTCATCAACGTAGACCGAGTAGTAATCTTATTTTTAGTTCAGACAAACCGAAGGACCAACATGATAATATGTTGGACAGTACTTATTTGACTTCATCATTTCCATTTTCTTCGGGTCCGAGAGCACAGAACAAACCATCGTTAATTTTTACACCTATAAGTGTCTACTTACAGAACAGTGCGATCGACAATGATTACAGAGATTCTGAAGATTAAACTGTACTAATTATCTCCTCTTGATTGCAGAGATTCTGAAGATTAAAAAAGTACTAATTATCTCCCCTTTCATAGATTTTATTCAGTAGGACTTTTGTAGCAAAATAATGTATTTAGTGGGAGGATATGATTTTCATTTTGTTTGCAAAACATGCAAATTGGATACCGGTATATTTTGATATTTTAAAGGGACATTATATTAAACAAACATTCATTATTTTCAACAGCTCTCTAAGAGTTAATTCTGGGTATAAAATTTTTGTCAGACATATTGAATTTCAAATTTTATTGAAATAGGCAAACTTTAGTGGTGAAATACAGTTCATTTTCATTGAAATCGATATTGTCTGATCTTATACCTTTGTTCTGTATACCAATATAGAGAAAGTTTTGATTTATTTAAAGATTTGTAGAATCTGGTGGAAAGGGGGAGTAACTACAATTATTTCATTTTACAATTGATTGTTGTAGACAGTTACATATTAAGGTATACAGAATTATTAAAAAAAGTTTTAAGAAAATGCTATTTCAAAATTCAGTTATCCTTTCTTTTTTCTTTTCACATAATGATAATTTTTGATTTACCAATGAATTCCTAACAAAATGAGTTAACTTTGCATAAATATGAGCTTTAAAACAAATTTATATTTTTATAACAACTTTTTTTAGCAAAATTTGTAAGCAAATTTATAATTTTTGTTTAGAAGCTGAGGTGCATGAAACTTAGGTCAAAGTGATTGTAGGCATCCAGAATCATGGATAGATAAGTGAGAAATCCCATTTACACAGATTTTTGTACTAAATATAGTACACTTTCTACCATCCAGGTCCTTTAAAAAATATTCATACATTTTAAAACCTCATATTACAAAGGGAGGTATGATAAAACCCCCTTTTTCTCTCAGATATTAGTATTTATATTTTGAATTTTGTCTTACAGATTAGCATTAGGGCTTCAAAATTCTTACATTTATTGCAAAACATCATGAACTGCCAAAGTAGCCTTATTTGAGATCTTGTCATATCATTTTTGTAATTTCAGGGGTCAAAAAATAGTTCTTATCATACCTCATCCTTTGTAGCCAAGATGAAAAAAAATTAACTCACACATTCCAATTGTAGTTTTTATATTTTTGAACAGAATGATTCAAAAGAATGATAAAAAATACACTGTTTTATCCAAATCAAGCTCAAAATTGATTGGATGAATCTGTTCAGGCTGTTTGAGTTTACTATGCTTGTTTTCCCTCCAGACAATTCCATAAAATCAGGAATTAGTTTGAAATTTGCAAATTTATATTAATATTGTTTGTTTCAAGGTTCATTGTTACATCATAAACATTTTGCATCATAAATTAAAGTGAAGATGTCATGTAATTAATTGATCCCCATATTATCAGTATATGTGGATTGAACAATGTACGACATGCATACAGTTATTCTTTTGATTGTTCAAAGTGTGTTATTTTCTAGTACATTGTGAAACAATCTTTCTTTATTCTAGTTGAATATAGAAAAAAAGTCATGTTATTATTCTGTAATCGTTTGCAGTTATTTCATTTTATGGGATTTTTTTTATTTAAAAGTTACAAGTCACATATGTAAGCAAGAATTAGAATATTTCCACTATGTTCAGTATAGTTCAGTTGTAGACCATGTTTCTTTTACACTAGGGGTTCATCTTAAAGGATTTGAATAGCTGATATTAAAAAACTAATCTCTTCTTAAATGTACTCATTGGATCTAAGTTAAACTGTTATGGTTTTCTATCTTATGTGTAGTTATGTATTGTCCACAATGGATTCTACAAAACAGGTTTAAGATGAAAATGTAAAATGGCTGTAATAGAACCAACCCACTAATTATGCTTTCAAAAATAAGGTCAGGGTGATACCCTACAATGGATACTTAGTCTTTCTGGTAACAGTTTGCTTGAAATAACTCAACAGCATTTTATTCTACCTGCATTGCTATTGTTAGATGGGACAGTCTGAAACTTAAAGGGGCATTAGCTACGAGATATAAAAAACTAAACTATTATTTTTTTTTGTTCAATCATTTAAGAAAGTGAAATAATGAAATAATAATTCGCTTTTAACAACCAGATTGGTTCAGTTTCGTCAAAATAAGCAAAGAAACATCGCTAATGATATATATTCACTTGCAAGTGAATAAGTCGACCTCGTTGAATCCGTATTCATGTGAACTTTAATTGATCCCTATAGCTAGAGATAGGTTACACATAAACTAGGCGTGTTCAGCTATTAAATGGAAAAGAGTGTAAACATTGAAAGTGAAACAAGGGTAAACCATTTGGTTGACTGATTTGATCTCGCAAAACTCATTCTTATACAGGTAGAAATGATTATTAACATATTTATTTATCCTATAATATGAAATCACACAGACCTAAAAAAATCCAATTGCATGAGTTCGCAATTTATTTATATCTATGTTTATGTTTATATCAGGTTATATGACTGTCAGCAGTCTACAAAGGTCACCTTGATGGTTAATTAGAAAGCATCTAGACTAAAATACACACAAAATGCTGATACATACTATCGAGTCTATGCATCGTAAATTGATTATTTTAGACTTTTTATAATTTGAATATCCGTTTAAGTATGTTATGAGTCGAATATGAGAATTTGAGTCAAATCGGTGAACATAAATTTGACAGCTAATGCCCCTTTAAGTGATTGAAATAATTGTTTTGAGCACTGAGCCAATTTATCATTTTGATATTTATTTCCATTTATGTTTGTTTAGGTGCTATTAGATATCCTTAGTTATTTTAGTGATGATTTAGTTTATTTAAGTGTATTGTATTTGGAGAATGTAAATAACCCTGTTAAAATATTTTGTTATTCAAGAGTACCGGGTACTAAAACATCCCTATTTTAAATTTACATTGACCCATGGAAAATGTAATCGCTGGGTATTAAATTTTAGTGATTTTTTTCTCCTATATGACTTTGGGTATAAACCATATGATAAAATAAAGATGTTTATAAAGGTGTTATGCATTAGTATTTATACAATGAAAATGGTCATATTTTCACATTTTAAATGTAAGCACATTGTGTATTATTATTTATAATCATGTACATGTTTATGATAAAACAATAATATATTTTATATTTTGTTTCTGTTGATCAGTTACTTATTCTCATTTAAAGTTAATTATTTATGTAAAAAAATAAACCATTTTTGTGGTATGATAAATAAAAAAATATAATGAAATTGTGGACAATTTAAGTTCCCAGGCTATGTTCAATTTTTGCATCATATAGTATCCATCGTATAGTACCTGAGAAAGAAATGTAACCTTGGAAACTTAACATTAACAAATGAACAATGAATATGAGGACAAGGTCAAATGAACCCTGTCAGACAGACATGTACACCAAACTATCTGTCCATACACCAAATAAAGTGGCCCTATTGCTTATAGTATCTGAGAAATAGACCCAACCACAAAAACTTTGTCCAATGAACCAAGAAAAAGGACAAGGTCAAATGAAACCTGCTAGACCGACATGTGCACCCTAAAATCAAACCATACACCAAATACAGCTGATTTATTGCTTATGGTGTAACACCACTAATTCGGGCCCGGCCAGAAAGCACATACCAGAAAGTAGTACATATTTAACACAAAATAGTTCCTACGCATGAGTGTAACTTTCAAAATATGTAGAATATTTAGGCATTTTTGGTATGGAATGAAAGCTGAATGACTGGTGATCATTGTAGAACACTTTTTGACTTATAATTTTGAATCTTAAAAAAACTGCATCAAATTTAAAAAAGAGGGTACATTTTGCCCGTTTGTCAGATCTGAAGTACCTGTTTTGGTACATCCGAAGGTCCGGGAACCAGTTCTTTCTTATATGCCATTAAAGGTATGTTGATTTTTTCAGTACAAGGCACCATGAAGTGTTGCTTTGACATGCAATGATTGTCACTTTATTTGAACTTAAAAGAGCTGTGCCTGCTTGAAATTGAGGAATTTAACATAGAAAGCAATGGGGCCATGAATTAGTGGTGTACTTCCTTATAGTATCTGAGAAATAGACCAAACCACAAAAACTTAACATGGACCTTTAACCATAAAAATGAGGTCAAGGTCAGTTGAAACCTGACAGACAGACACATTCATTTTACAATCATCCCATACACCAAATATAGTTGAGCTACTAGTATTGCTTTTAGTATCAGAGACACAGACAAGAACACAAACCCTTAACCTTGATCACTAATCCATTAAATGAGGTCACATTCAGGTGAACCCTATTAGATGGACATGTAGACTCTGCAAAGATTCCATCTATATAGTTACTCAAAATAAGTTAGAAATTCAGGTTAAAAAACAACTATACAGTTTTTAAGCAGGCGCTGAACCATGAATATGAGGTCAAGCACAATGGACATGACAGACTGAAACTATATAAGGCATTTGTATAAGAGGTATGAAGTAGCCAGGTATTCTACCTTCTGAAATATAAAACTTTATACAAATATAAGTAACGCTACCTTGGGATTAGCATCCCGTTGTCTAGCATTCTGGGACTTTTGTCACAGGCGAAAAAAACAGATTGATGAATAACTGCCAGAGATAACTTGCATGCATCTAGAATTGTAATGAGGGGTATAAACCTTGAATTGTCATATTTAGCATGTTAGTAATTAAAAGATTGGGTTTCTTCCGTGTTTGTATGAACTAAAGTTTGTGTTTGGTTATACTTAAATGAGACATCAGTTTCTATACAACATGTTAAACACCAGACTTACTAATAAACAAACATCATTTAGGTATAAATAAGGTCAACCTTGACTAGATTCTTGATTTGGGATAGACGCATGAACATGACCCAGTATTGTGGCTGGATTTAACTTTATTCCTGAGCGCTCAACCCTCGACTGCTTTAGTTCTCGATAAGTTGAATAACAAAGGGTACATAATAGAAGTTTCCAAAAAGATTACCCAACCTTTTAATGACTTAACGAATACACAGGTACATGGAAAACAATTTAAATAATACCTATTAAAAACTTGCAAAAAGCAAATCAAAATACTATTCAACTAGTATTGAAATCACACCGGTCTTTCTCTAATATCAGTGACTGTACCTGGAGTTAATTTCGTGCAAATCGTAATTAACATTGCAGGTAGAAACGATCATTTGCAGTGTCCAAAATTGACTTTTGTACAGCATTTAAATACAGAAAAAAATCAAATGAAAGTAGCATTTTATTGTTGTTTCTCACTATAAATATGCATATTGATATACTTCTAAAAACAAAAAAACAAGACGCAATCGTTTGACAGTAGTAGCGTAATTGAAATCTTGATCAATAAATCTATAAGAATAAAAAAAAACCTTGCAAATCGGAACCATATCGGAAGCATATATACTCCATAACGAAGGAGACAACTGAACACCAGTGACATCAAGGAAAAGAAAACTAATAATAGGAAAGTAAAAGTCGTCCCGTGTGTCATGAATTTTAGTTGTAGGATAATCTTAAGAAATTTTATCATCGAGGTCTAAAAACGGCAACCACCACTTTTTACGTTGCATTTAGTAAGAATAAGTTCAGTTAGGCAAATGTCAATAGTATATTCAGAAAAATCTAGAACGAGCGATTACATGTAAGTTGTCTTAACGTCTGTGGGTATTGTTGAAAATATCTATCGAGCTGTGTTTCGTTTGACATTTCTGAGATTTAACAAAACAAAACTTTTGCAATTGATATTACTGAGATGCAGAGTGAGTCTATATTGCAATACCAAACACTTACAGGAATGCTTCATAAAAAACGAAAATGAATATCACCAAACAAAATTGAAGTGGCTTTGCTAGTGTGAACGGGGTCTTAGATTCATCATTTAACAAGGCGTTGTTATGACAAAATATAGATACGTCAAGATTTATCTTAAGACTATTATTTCATTAAGTATGAAAATGTCTGTGTAATATTATGTGGAAGTGTTGTTTGAGTGGATACATCAAAACAATGGAGACCAACTGGCCATCAGAGAAACGTAGCTTACCCAAGACCTCAAACGAATTTGTAGCACTCTAGAAATAGTTAATATACCGCTGTTAACGTAAGCTTTGTAAACAAATTGTTGATGAGTTCCTTAACATCTGTAAGAGCACTAGTCAGAAGAACTTAAAAGACTTATTGCTGGTCGAACATTTAATGGATGCATACATAACTCGAAATTTGTCAGGTTTCTTTTTTTAATTTCGGACGCCTATACATAGTGGATATCTTGTAATGTTACGTCTTGGCTTGCAGTTTAGATGTAGTCGACCTTTTCTATAAAAAGAAAATGTTACTGAGGCGCACTTCCCTGAAAATACTAAGATTATAAAAGGAATAGGATATATGGTTGCCATCTTAGATGATGAATAGTCTTGCTATTAACGATTGGAAGGTGAGCAAATGCTGAATTTGCTGTCAATAATAAAAACTACTAATCAACAATATTATAGATGAAATGTTCAATTTTCATAATCACTTTCATATTAAAGTAAATTTTGGTGGCAATTTTTTCTTGTTTTCGTATTCAGTTTTCTTGTTTGGTCTTAATAATAATAATAATGATGATGATTTATTTTATTATAATAAGTTTATAAACAGTCAACACATTTACTTACCATGCATTCTTCATAAGCACGCGTCTTATAATAACCGTTTCACAGATGATATCGAATATGTTCCTTATGTCGTAACTACAACACCCTTCCCTTTTCACGAATGTGAACTACCGAATTAGACTATTTACCGGATTTGTAATAACATAAGCAACACGACGGGTGCCACATGTGGAGCAGGATCTGCTTATCCTTCCGGAGCACCTGAGATCACCCCCAGTTTTTGGTGGGGTTCGTGTTGCCTAGTCTTTAGTTTTCTATGTTGTGTCATCTGTACTATTATTTGTCTGTTTGTCTTTTTATTTTTGGCCATGGCGTTGTCAGTTTGTTTTCGATCTATGAGTTTGACTGTCCCTCTGGTATCTTTCGTCCCTCTTTTATAGAAGCACTGCTCTTGAAACTGAAGATTTTGGCAATAAGTTTTTGATAAAAAGTTCAACAAAGTCTTGAAGGCAAATACGAAAAACAAATGTCTTCGGATTGTCTCCCATTACAAATTATTTTCACTTGACGTCCCCAAAAATTTTGTTCATGTTCAACAACCATAACTGTATCGATCGTTGAAACGAAAACACATGACTAATATTTAGGTCTTTAAAGTTTTGAAAATTTAAATTTAAATGTTCAACATGTAGGTGTTAGTTAAGGATTGCCTAATCATACATATATAGTGAATTCTGACATACTAGTTCAGAAGAATAATGTCGTGGAGGTATACCTATAGTTCTGGGATAGAACCTCGATCCTCATTAACAGGTAAGTAATACGTTTCTCATTGATTGACCAAAAATGTGTTACTTTTATTATGAATAGATTGTACTTTGATAATGCTTTGTACATTTATGTACTATCAAATTGTTTGTATGTCATTGTACATGTGTTAAGGTATTTTCGTGTTATCAATTGTTCTATAAATACTCAATAGAGTTCCTATTCATAAACTACACTTTGAATAGCAAAAAGCTTTTTGCATTTAACACCCCCATCATTTTTGTTTGGAACTATAATATTATTAGTCCTGCGTTGGTTTTATTCAACATGTTCAAATATTGAAAGTGATCTCCTATCTCCTACTTTTTATATTCAGCACATACACTATTCCTGTCAAGTTCAACCAGACATCCTAATGAACTTAAGATTTAACTTTATTAATCTTAAAGCTTTAACCAAAGTCCTTCTAGATGCAACGCAACGGTTATAACTTGCAATTCCAAACTTCATACAATCGACAAGACTTAAATGTAAGTTCTTTATAAGTGCTCACAGATAGCCTGAACCGACTTGAATGTAAACACTAGCATATCAGACACCCTTACACTCCTTGCATGGTTATATGTGACGGTGGTGATATTTCATACCAGCATGAGGATACCCCAAGAACAGTTTGATATGCACACTAATAGACGAATACTAAGCACCAAAAAGTCACTCTCATTAATTTTATTTCCACATTGTTCTTTCAAGAAAACCTTTACACACAAGGATATGTTTACAGTCAGACAAGCAAGCATTTACTAGAATTAAAACCACGTGACACAACCTCTATCAGTCGACTTGTTCTAAAACAGGTTTAATGACAATAATTACATTAACGGGATCATAAAATATGTAACAATTTTCAAAATAATTTTTCTTCGTTTCCTGATGACCAATAGTCCACGACAATTTTAACTTCCATCAGCCCCGCACAACCAAACCAACGTATCCGGATGTCACGAATATATTTGTATATTCCCAAAGTTATATCAGAGATATGGATCACATAAAACAATATCAAGAGCATAACACCTATTCTGGAACAGGTATCATAAGAACTCCCTTTTAATGGGAGATTTTCTGACTAAAAAAGTGTGATCTTTGCTATCAAGTCTCGTTATTCAGTTGAACTAAATTCCCCTATCTGAATAACTATGAACTATATTGCCTAAGCGATTGTATTCCTACCAAGATGTGACAGGTCCAATTTTCCGGAAAGAGATGAAGACTGAACTATCTAACAAAGTGCGGAAAAAACCTCGATAGCAGTCTGGTGTTTCAAGGAGCGAAATTAGAAACTTTCACTATGCCTTTCACTTGTCTAGAAGTTTCGAAGATAGAATATAATTTTTTAAACAGGAACTCATTAAGCCATTTTAGGATATGCTATCAGTACTTCGTCGAATGTTCGGTTCAATAGATTACAGAGAACATAATAGAATTTATCAAACAAACTTGGTTGTATGAAGTCTGAAGTTCTTTGGTCTATAGAGTATAGTTATCTTATTGGCAATCATTCCGTATCTCCTAATTTTTATATTCAGCACATACACTATTCCTGCCAAGTTCAACCAGACATCCTACTGAATCTTAGTAAAAAAAAATTATACTTTGCAGTCAATATTTTGATTTGGACGATATCGTTGGATGGTAACCTTTGAACTATTATTTTAACGAAACAATCGTTGTTATGTTTGACTGCATTTATGTGTTTTTATTTATATTTTATTTCGTCTATACATGGTCATCATTTCACCTGTAGAAATGTTTGTTATACAAAAACATTAAAATAATAATAAAAAATAATATTAAACCAAATCCAGATATATATTAAACATTATCGAAAACCGATTGGTCCCTTCAAATACATTACATATACATTTCATGCTCAAATAGTATTTATAGTATATATAGTTGCTGTGGGGAATAACTTGACATTATAAAGGAATGAATTACGTACAGGATGATGAGTAACTTACTTTAATAATCTCCATAATTATTTTACAAAAAAATTTGTGGGAATATATTAATGGAGAAGTATTTTCATAATAAAAAAACAAGTGGAAAACTACTACTGTTCTAATAAAAAACTGTGCACGAAAAAGAATGAAATGAAACACGGATCATTCCTTTAACCTTTAATTCGGATTATTATGAAATAAAATTAAAGACCTGCTTAGGAATGTATGCTTAAAAACCTCTTACTTGTGCATGGGAATGTAAGGATTTTGTAAAGTAAAAATAACTAATAAGTGACTACAGAATATAGTATTGTGAATAAGAAACATGGATAAGTAGTGATTTGTTTGATACACGTTCTAATTGGACAAGTTTTATGCGTTTTCCTTTGATGTGATTTTATAAGAGCTTACGGGAGATAATTTAACCATTGACCCGATCAAGTGATGCTTTTAATTTTGGCTTTAATCCATACCTGAACCTAATGATTGAAATTTATGGAGCATGACTTAAAAAAAATATATGAATTTCTGTGGCCATTAAAGGTTTACTATAATTATGAGAGACTGAAAATATTATAAGGCTTTTTCAAGAGCAGACTCTTATGTGATAAGATTTCGAGTGATTTTGCCGAATCTAAATGTCTTCATCAAAAAGAAATACTAGTTTTACAAACGTGACAAACTTTTCTCGAAATAAAATTGGCTACTGTGTCCAGTTATACAACATTGCCTTCAGATATAACGTTGACAGTTATATTTTATTTTCTTAGTGTGCTATTGAAAATCTGAAAAATACAGAGATAAAGAAATATTTAATGGTTTATGTAGCCTAAGTTTGTATTTACAACATAGAAAGGATTGTGTGTGCACAGACATAAAATTTATGGATGTTTTCGATAATATCCCAATTTTTATAGTCAAATAAGTGTAAGATGAAATGAACATGGCTGACCTATATTATTTTCTCTGATAATGGCGTAACCGAAGTTATAAGTGATCTTGACACAACATGGGAGATAACTCACTTGACAGAGACAATTCTGAAAATCAAGACATTTTTGACAGCAGTGAGGAAGAGGTTATCATAGAGGAATATGAAACCTTCTACGTCCCTCAACATTTACTAACCGAAGATCAGAATTACTCTGAAAAATGTGACGTGAAATCATCAGCAACTCATCTGGAACAATCTGAACGAAACAAATATGACTGTGATTTAAGAAAAGAGAAAGAGACTTCAAAAATAAAAACCATTACCAGAATTGACGAGGAAACAGAAAATGTAGTTATTTTAATACGACCAAGAAGGAGATCTGTGTCTCCAACTGAAGACAAAACCAAAAGTTTTGGAAATATTTCTGAATCTTGTGGATGGACAGACAGTGATGTACCAGAAAGCCAAACTTTAAAAAGGGATTTATGCACGACTTCTTCAGGAGAATGTAAATTTAATGTTCAAGATGATAACACGATTTCCTCTCAAACTTTAGAAAATTATAAAAATGAGAAAAATTCACAGAAAGAAACATACTGTGATAGAAATATTAATGCCAATACAGGACCAAACGGCAGCAATTGTTCGAATGGCAACTCAGAAACACCAGAAAATTCCACCTTTTCAACATTTGAGGAAAATTCTCTCCAAGTATCAGTGTTAAGTGATTTAAATGGAAATGACATTATTACAAGTACTGAAGAAAATTTACCTGACGACGAACTAACATCTAAATATGAGAACCAAGGAGCAAGACCTAAAACTATAGCCAACCTGGCAGCTTTAAAAGAAGACACTATTGTGGTTGGAGAAAACGAGGTACAGTGTACAGTTATGAGCAAGTCCTCTTCTAAACCTGGAATTTCTAAAGAGGCAAATGAAAAGGTGAAAAAGCTTAAAGAAAATGGACACTATGACATTCTGGTAAAAAACTGTAACGTTCCTGACAAGAAAGGAGTAGTTAATGATATGGTGAATAGATTGAACATTGATAATTCAAATCAAGAAATAGACGAGGATGACGTCCTTATATGGCAATTAATGAAATCATTAAAAGAAAGGTCAAACAAAAGTGAAAGTAGACACGATATAAATCAGGATATAAACCCGTCAGATTCGAGTCCTGAAGATAAATGTGACTGGTCATATGAAAAGGCTACGCTAAGTAAAGACAAATATTTATCAAGGCGTTTACAAACAAAAGAAATTGGACAAGTGAAAGTAATAACTTTTATGTCTCCTGCAAAAGAGAAAGGACATGTTAAAATTACTCCATTGAAAGTTTCAAGGACACTCCCGTTTAATGTCAAAAATATTTTTCAGCAAAAAATGGAGGAATTGAAAAACAAAAGACGCGTTTGCTTGACTGGAGGAAAAGAACTCATTTTTACCACAGTAAATATTGATGATCCTTGTTAAGAAGGTCAGATTTGAAATAACACAAAATTTAAAATGTCTGATACTAAATACAACAATACCTCTACCACAGACAAAATGACTTCAATAAATCATTTGAAAACTAGAACGATTCGGTTTATATACTCAGTAATGTCAGTTTGCAATATCAAGGCCATGCCACCCTATGCACGATCTATTAATAAACATTTTGTCATTTGTGATCTTTTACATTATATAAAGCTGAATTATTCCTGACCTTGACCTTGCAGATAAATATCCCGATCTAATTAGCAAAATATCTCCTAGTGTAGTAGGGACCTTCAACAAGCAACAATTAACCATAGTGTAGCCACAATTTTACAAAACACACCTCTGTTATTGGGCAACAATTTTACTAAATATTTCCTTCCAAACATTCATTTGTTCTAAGCTCAGATATGATCAGACTATGGAGTATATAAAGCTGAACTATGTTTGTGAACTTAACTCTGACCTTCAGAACATTAAAAAGTTCTATCCTGAAAACAGCTTGTACAGACGGACAAATGGACTTGGATTGAGTTTTGTTTTGTTTTGTATTTTTGCTTTTTCATTAATGTTTAACCTAAATCTCCTCTTAGACAGACAGACAGACAGTATCACAGCTTGTATAATGAAAGATTTTAGAAGTATCATTCTAAGAACAATTTAAGTTAAATGCACAGCGATCATAACAACTATGACGATAATAAAAACAGATATATGCCTTTGTTCAAGAGGTTTTGTCATTCATAAATATTTCAAATATGCGAAAAGTTACCAACTGATCTGAAATGTTTTTAAACATAAAATTCTGTATGCATTTGAAATATACATTCCTAAATAATTAAAGGAATAACCCTCCAATCAAGTATATAAATTTTAGCAAGAATAAATTCAGTTGTATGTTGGAATCTGTGCTGGTGTTGCTATAACATTAAAAATAGCAGCACAATGTTTTAGAGGCTTACTTTTACTGGTAGAGTACACTACAATATATAAAATAGGAATTTTAAATATCTTAAAGTACCACTATCATGCATGCTTAAAAAAAATAATAATCTATTATAAAACCTAAAGAGAAAACAATTGTTACATTAATTTGCATGCACATCAAAGAACAAAGAATCAATAATGTCATTTATAGATAATTCAAATTACATAACCATGTGATAAAAAAACTAATAAAAAAGTTTAATGACCTTGACAAAATGAGAAGACAATTGATGACATTATTGCAACAAGCATTCAAATACATTGCAAAATATGTAAATAATCAGATCTAAGATGTATTCAGGAAGCTTAAAGCTAATATTTTATTCACCAATACTCTTTATTTGTGCAACTAGAAAGCAGACGGATCAATAAACTGGAATGTTTTCTGATATTGATTGTACAATGTTTAGAATATTATGGTGGAATACATTAAATTGCATGGACGTTTACAATGGTTTCCTCAACAGAAAATTCAGAGAATTATCTTTGGGATGACAGGCCAAAATGTCTTATGGTCTTGCAAGGTATTGAAACATTTTCTTGTTTTATAATACTTTTGGTCATCTTGACCGTGAAGATGTCTAATTTGATCAGGGCGTTAGGTTGCATAATATATAATCATTAATTACAGTCATTACTTTGAAGATTGTACAAAGTTGCTGAGTTTGCAGTTATATTTCCACAAATGTACATAGTATTTTAAAAGGAAAAAATAAATGGTTTTCAGTTTTGAATATAAATTTAATTGAATCAGAAATGTTAAAACAGAATTAAATCCATTCCACAAGCAATTTACTTATAAAAACATTCCAATGGACACAGCATAAAATGCATAGTTTTCCTTTTAACTCAAAATACTTTTTAGAATGCATCTAGTTTTTAATATGTATTATTTTCTATTATATAATATATTTCATGGTTAAAAATTTATATACCATGAAGACATGAATGATCCTTTGGGCAGACTATAAATATGAAGAAAAAGAGGTTTAGGATAGACATAGACAAAAACCAGCCACAAAAAATATCAAGATATCTAAATTTTGTAATATGGTTTTCAACAGTTGAAAAGTGTCCATATGTCAGGTTCTGAATCTCCATGGATACATTGTTATTTGCTCTTGTCACTGTGCCAACATTGCTTTATTTACAGTTGATATTTTATGCAGATATATGTTTACTCAGCTCAGCTGCTCTCTTCACATGAAACAGAATAACTATTTATTGGGTCTGTAGTTAACCTGTTGCATGGTTATATTCTGTACACACCCAATATTATCTCTTTCTCCTTTGGTTGTTAATATTTCCTGCATTAAAACTGGTTGATCCTCTGCATAACCTTTGTCATTGTCTCGAATATGCATGAAATACTTGCCACTGGATATTAATCAAATCTTATTGAGACATTGAACTTCTTTTGACTTTTCATCGACATTTAAAAACGCTGAAATTTCTGTAAAATTGTATGTTTCTCAAAATGTGTATGACATATTTTATGCTCAATGGGATTCACTAGACTATCCTTTTTTACATACAACAAAATATGCACATTTATCAATGTTATGAATCACATATTTGTATTATTATGTAAATCATAAAGTGATAATAAAATTACACTTCATTCATAAAGTTTGGAAATTTACGTTCACATCATTACAAGTATTTAAATCTAACACCTCCACATACAAGTATCTTAAATGAGTGAATAAATCTCTTTAAAAAGAGATAAATAAAACATTTCTCTCAACTATTCTAATTAAAGGTCTAAAATTCTCAGGGTTAGACTACCTACAATCATTACTAACAGCCAGACACTATACAGTAATTCAACAGTCTTACAGTTCAGTGGAGTACAACTAATATGAGGCTCTAAGTATATAATAAATGTTTCCAACAGTAAAACTACCTTTAAAGTGCATGTAGTATAAATTATAGCAAGATACCTGCGTTTCAAAAAAAGATTTTTTGTTGTAAAAAAGGAAAAGAGTGTACAAAATGTGTTGTTCCATGTGTCACTGGTAGTTACCCTGATTACCATTTAAAAGTATACATAAAATAATATTTAAATTAGGTTTTGTATTTTTTAGTATTGAGGTACCTTTAAAGATAACCTTTCATAAACTGTGAAATTTCATCATTACACCTCCAATATATGACTTACAAATGGCCAAAATATGTTGGTTTGATAAATTGTACTTCTATGGATATACATGTATTGGTAATAAAAAAATTAAGTTCTAATCAATCGGTCATAAAAGTTTTTTTCCCCAAGTTGAAAATGAATATTGTTATCTTTTTTACATTGTGAATGTTGGGACAGATAGGGGAGGGAATCCATATAAAAATCGAGACAATCGATGAATATTTTCATTTTGGCCTAATATTATCTGGTACATGTATTTTTATCTTTTATGAACTAATTTGAAACACAGTATGTCCTTCATGGTGTGTTCCATTGATAAAGTATACAATAAACAGGTAAACCATAAACATATTATAATACTGATAGCCTTAAGTCCATTTTGATTAAATATTTTGAACAAAAAATATGACCTATTTTTGAATTTAGCACACCTGGTAAATCTGACCTTCAATATTTTGGTTAACATGCAGGAATCAGGTATGTAAACTGGAGATTGATTATATATCATTATTTTCTTATATTTTATTTAAGATTGCTAATATTAAAAATCAGTATTTGAATCTGATTTCCCATGAAAAGTTCTACAAATATGTCAATAAGTTAAACAATTTCTCAATGGAATAAGTGCTGTCTAGCTAGTTTGATAGGGCAATTACAGTCCAATATGCCTTCTTTACAGCAACAAGAAAAAAAATAAAGCAATTTACTAATAATACACCTGAAAATGATCATAACGAACCGAGTGAGTTAACATTATATACGTAACTTTCTCTTGTAATACAAAATTCATATGTCAAAACTTTTTAAAGTATTCATATAAAAAGAAGATGTGTTATGATTGCCAATGAGACAACTCTCCACAAGAGACCAAATGACACAGAAATTAATAACTATAGGTCACTGTATGGCCCCCAACAATGAGCAAAGCCCATACCGCATAGACAGCTATAAAAGGCCCCGAAATGAGAAATGTAAAACAATTCAGACGAGAAAACTAATGGCCTAATTTATGTACAAAATAATGAACAAAAAACAAATATTTTACACATGTCTGCATTCTTCAATAAACACATCCCTAGTGACGTTCAAATAGAATATACATGTAAAACTTGAAAAGGTCAAAAGAGTTATTCATAACAAGATAAGTACTTTCATATACACTAATGTTTACATAAAAGAAAACTGCCTGAAGTGTAACATATACTATAATCTGTCATTTTTATAACATTATTTCACTGTACAATAGACTTCTTCAGATCATTCATTTCTGGAAGAATTATCAGTAATGATTTAGATGGGGGTGTAGAGGACTTGTGCCCCTTCCCCATTTTTTGTTGGGAAAAAATCTCTTTTTTTGGCATATAATTGTCAATTGTTTTACTTTGCTACGTTCAGTGCTACTTTTACTATTATAGATAATACATTGAACCCTGGATCGGCCCCTGATTATTAACAAAGAAAACTTTATTGAAGTGCTTTTGTTTTTAATGGTAACGCCTTTCTTAACTTTCTTTATATGCAACTAAATGTACAAATGTATGTACTTTTTTCTTTATATCCAACTACATGTACAAATGTATGTACTAAGACTTCATCCAAAATTAGCTTCTGTGGCTCTATTCGTAAAAAATATAACCATTAAAATTGATTGTAAATTATACTTTAATGTTCATGATTTTACTGTATTAATCCCAGTAAGATTTTTAGAGAAAATAGTTGCTAATTCTGTACACATTATAAACATCATGATACAAAACTGAAGCATGACTCTGTATAAAATTTTACAAAAAAAAAAAGGAAAAAATATGAATTTACCATACAACAATGAACCATGATAGCCAGGTTTGGGGGAAAATTATCATTTTCAGCATCTTATAATTCTTTAGAAAAAAAGACATACCAATAAATTTATTTTATGATGTTATAATGAAATATATATATAAAAACACTGCATAATACATAAGTTTCTTACCTATTTGTAAAAAATTTTAATGAAAATTAACCATTTAATCTATCAAATCAAATCAACTGTGAAATGAAAATGACAAAAACAGAACAAGAATGTGTCCGTAGTACATGGATGCCCCACTCACACTATCATTTACTATGTTCAGTGGACCATGAAATTGGGGTAAAAACTCTAATTTGACATTAAAATTAGAAAGATCATATCATAGGGAACATGTGTCCTAAGTTTCAAGTTGATTGGACTTCAACTTCATCAAAAACTACCTTGACCAAAAACTTTAACCTGAAGCGGGACAGACGGACAGACGGACGGACGAACAGACCCACAGACCAGAAGACATAATGCCCCTACTACTATCGTAGGTGGGGCATATAAAAAACCTTTGTACATCTTCAATAAATAATTTTGATGTTGTAGAGTTGAAAAAAAACATTTTCCTGACAAATTAAAAACTAATTTAATTTTTACATCAATCTACAATATGATTTATAAGTTAGCAGAACACAACCTCATATCAATGAACACTACAGTCTTTATTATTGAAAGTAATTTAACAAAATTCACATCTTTGATGAGATTATTATCTCAATATCTCATTAAACTTTGTTTTTGAGGTAAGTAGTGTTTTATGTTTTGATCATAAACCAGTGAAAGATGTCATTTACACAAAGTGATGCAATCATAAAATTAGGTACACCTTTGGTAAACATTGTGAAAATGAAAAGAATCTAGATTAATAACTGTAGGAAATGTAATTTGTAGGCCTGTAATTTAAAAAAAGCTTCCAGCATAAAAACTGTCAGAAAAGTTAGCTAGAGAATGATGTATCTATAGGCAGACAAATAAGAATATAGCCTTTGGATAGAGGTGTCTCCATATCTACCATCACAGAGGCATAAAAAGACAGAACTTAGAATATTGATCTTCCTTCTACTGTTATGCTACATGTCTAATTTAATAAAAGGAATTTTGATCATTTATATTCCTTTTTCAAAAGACAAACATTTTTCTGATAATAAAAATACAACATTGGAGGCCAAATATCATTGGTGAACTATCTAGACATCATTGAGATGGGAGCCATCTCTGTGGGCCCCGCTGTGAATAATGTGTGGTAAAAAATTTCTATCTTTACCATAGGACATGGGGTTGTCAACTGAACCAAAGTTTTTGACCTTGACCTTTGACCTAGGAAGTTGTACAAACATTATGACACACCCTCTGGTGTTGTTTAATATACATGTAAAGTATAAAGTATGAAATGATAACGGTTCTCTAGATATAGAGCAGACAGACTGATCACTATAGGGCGACCCGCCATTCTAATTATATAACAGTAGTTTACATCATACCCAGTTGTATTTAGATCCATTTCACAGTGAACAAAGACATCAAAGGTCTTTGTTTCCATTACTTATTAGATTGATGGTATGTAGTAAATCTGTAACCAGCATTTTTGGAAAATATACTGAATTTTGTATTACTTTCAATGTGACAAATAAATTTCTGCCTAATGACCTGAGGCATGGGAATCAAGGACAGGGTCAGTATAATACAATGAAAGCTGATCAAAAAAATTTTGTTTTATTCACATAGTTACAGTTGTTACGACCTCACCCTTCAGATTTAGAAAAGATTAGTTGAAAATAAAGAGTGACCGCAAAATAACAAAATGTCGTTGATAGCAATCTATATCGAATGATCAATATCAACATTTACAAATTGTTTTTTTTTTAAATTTTTTACAGATGTACCCCTTCACGAATCAAAGACATACCAGATGTCATCATCCAATGTGGTCTTTCCAAGACATGATTTGATTGGTTCATCTAAGTCTTCATCATCCAGTAGTAGTTCTACTATTGGTTCATACAGATCATCTTCCAGCTCTGGATCATACAAGTCTTCATTAAGTAGTGGCTCAGTAGTAGGCTCGTCTAAATCTTCCTCAACCGACGATGGATCAGTGACCTATAAGTTATCTGGTAGTGATTCCACTGTAGATAATGACAGCAAAGAATTTGATACCAATGCTAATCTAAAGGACAGCAATGTAAGTATAATCCTATTTTTACACATTTACATTATATTATACACACATGTACTGAAACATGAAACAACTTTAAAAGATGAATAAGTTCAACATGAATCCTGTCACCTACATCCAAGGGCAGTAACTCCATCAGAAGTACATTGTTGTATATCAACATGAACAAAACATTATATGGAAATGTATATATAGAATTAGGACAAGTAGTTTTCCATATACGACTGTGGATATGGATATACACATGGACTCCAAAGTTACTTTAATATTTCCTCTACTTTGTTGAAGTGAACTAAAAATACCATTGACATTGACAATGTAACTAGTTTATTCTCTTCATCACTTGTTCTTGCAGTAAAATTGAATGTGGTTATGTATATTGTCTATAATTAATTCAACAAAACATAAAATGAAGGTTGATACCTGTCAATCTATAACAGTCAATAACAAGAATGTGTCCATAGTACAGGATGCCCCACTCGCACTATCATTTTCTATGTTCAGTGGACTGTGAAATTGGGGGTCAAAACTCTAATTTGGCATTATAATTAGAAAGATCATATCATAGGGAACATGTGAACTAAGTTTCAAGTTTCAAGTTTCAACGCACAGACCAGAAAACATAATGCCCCTACTACTATCGTAGGTGGGGCATAAAAATTCATTCTATCTTACCACAATAGGTCAATAGTAAAAACACAACTACTGATATATAATTAGATGAACTTTATTTTGAACTGTGGTGTAACTGAATATTTAGTTTCAATGAATTTGGTTATTCATTTCTGCTAGCCAAAAGTCAAAGTCACAATCATACCAAACTTCCAAGAAGATGTCTTTTTATCATTTGTTTATTGGGTTGCTGTCTTATTCTCTATCAGATCTACTAATTTTGGATAATGAAATCTATTCCTGTCACATGATATTTACTTCAATAATGTTGTTGGTCTATTTAATTCTAAATAAATATTTAACTTTTAAAGTTAATTGTACTTATACTTCTACATAAAAGAAAACAAAATAAGTCTTTTCATTTGATGCCCTATTTTATCTTTTGACTGTACACATGAAAGAGTTTGTGTTTTTTCTTCCTTGTAAATTGTCATTACTAAAGATTTAAACTTATAATATTAATTTTCTCTACATGGAATAAATTCTCCATACAATTTTTTGCCTATTAGATCGTGTTTTGCTTGTTTGGAAATCTGAAATAATAGTGAAGATATAAATGAAAGGAAGTATGGAGTATCTTAGGGCAACCGGACAAACCATAAATCCCAATAAAAAGAAGTTTACAGAGGCTTTTGAGTAAATCATTTGAATCCATGAAGTAGACTTTTTTTAGCCCCCCTTTAAATAAACAATCAAAAAGTATTACAAAGCTATCAAGTAATATACTTCAGATGTTCACAAGATATTCAACTGTTACATATCAGTATCTACATTTAAAAAATTTGTCTTGCATATTTGCTTTAGGACTTCAAACTCATTGCATCAAAGCAAATTTGCAAATTAACCTCATTTTGAGACCATGTCAATTACATCTAGATTTAAGTCACAACCTTACTTAAAAAGATTTTGCTACAAGATATCTTAAAGAAAGATGTTAATTCAGATAAAAATATCTTTTGGGTAAGGTTGTGGCTCATTTCTAATTTTGTCAAAACTATAAAGAAGATAAATTTAGATCAAATGTGTCAATTTTAACATGCCAATGACATTTCTACACTAAATTATTCAGATAATATCAACCTATTTTTTAATCAATAAATTGACAACTATGTAAGGATTGAAAATTTTTCATTTTATTTGCAATTTAAGGGGCCAGACTTGGTAATTCGACAGAACTTCAAAAGTTTCCTCCCAAAGATTCAATTAAGTCGAACTTAAAAGCCAATATTTGTTTCGTAATAAGATAAGTATTGCTTCAGGGAACTTAACCATAAATTAACACCACCAAAGACATTCTAATGATTTTTAAACCTGCTTCGCTAAAATCAAAATAAATCTGACAACTTGCAAGAGAAAAAGTTAAATGTATGAAATTTTGGATGTAGAACATAAAATCCTTCACTTACATGATAAATACAAAATTACGTATCTTTGTTTTTTCAGATGGTTGAGCAGACGAGTCAAAATGAGTCAACCACATCCAGTGGCAGTTTGTCTGACTCCTATGACATAGCTGTCAAAATGCTTAGCTCATCACAGATTGATGAGGCAGAGAAGCAATTTCTTTTTCTCTATCAACAAATGCAGGAAAAATCAGAAGATACAACACAGATTCTTGTTCAAACATTGAATGGGCTTGCTGATGTCTGCACCCGAAGAAGTCGTATGTGCCGGTCCAATCCGATGGAATGGCAGTGGCTTTGTATGCATGCAATTGCTCTCCTTCAATATACAATGGAAATTTGTGATTCTGAATTAGAAACAGAAATGGAAAATGATACAATTGAATGGTACACAGAACAAAAGCACGATCTTGAACAGAAATGTAAGCCTTTAGAAGACAGTCTAAATAGAGCTTTATATAATTGTATGAAACATGAAGCAAGAAAATATTTGGACCCTTTTCGTTCATTTTCTCTCCCCAATACTCCTGGAACACCATCAAGAAGTATGTTTCCTTTATCTACTGGAAACAAATTCACACTATATTCAACCATGCATTCTCAAATCATTAGTAAAACCAATGAAAACCAAAGTGCTGATGATAGCCATTCTGGCCTGTCATGGCTATCCAAATTCCATCAGTACTGTAATGACAGACTTCAAACCAAAAATATAGGGACTATTTTCAATAGACTTTTTCTTAAAAGGCAGAATCATTCCAAGCATGAAAATGATGATACAGAAAGTGTGGTATCAGGAGGTTCTTTAGATTGGGATCATAGTGATTTAGATAGGGAAATTTGTAACGGTCATCCACCGGACGAGGAATCAGAGTCTCCTGTCAAAGAACATTCACTTGGTTTTGAACTTGCTGCAAGTGACATAAACAATGAAGGATGGGATTTCTTCTTAGGGGATCGCAAGAACTGTACTTTTGAAAGTGTAGTACAAGTAGCGTCAAATCCACATCATACAAATGGACCTTCGAAAAAAGACATTATTGACATTCAAAGAAGAGAAAGCATTAAAGAAAAAGAAGTTGTCTCCCCCTTACATGATCATAGTATTAAACTGACTTTGACAAAATGTTATGCTAAGTTAGCAGATAAACTAATGACAGAGGAAGAATATGCAAATGCAGAAGTCATCTATGAACAAGTGTTAGAAATTGTCGATGAAATTCAAGATGGTACTGCTGGCATGCTTAGATTTTATGCTAGACTTCTCAAGAATTGTGGAACTGCAAAATCAAAACAAGGAAAAATGTCTCAGGGGTTAAAATTACTGAACAAAGCGCTTGAGACCTATCGTGACTTACAAGATGATGAGGCTAATTTTGAAATAGCTCTTGCTTTATTGGAACTAGGAAATGGTTATGTTACTGGTCGAGATAAAGACAATGCTGTGTTCAGTTATGCTATAGGTGCCATTTGTGAATTCTTCGAAAAAGACGGATCTGATGATGTTACAAGCTCTACATCAAGTTCAAAATCTGAGTTTTCTTCACCTGAGAAAATTGAGGAAGAGCAGAATATTGATGATGCAATACAGTGTTACAAAGAAGCTTTACACCTCCTGCGTAATCATGAAAGTCAAAGTGAGGGAAAGCAATCAGATTTGGTTGCAAGATCGACTAGAAGATTAGCGGACTGTTACTTTATGCAAAAAGAATATGATAAGGCACTTGATTGCTATGAAAAATCTTTATCCATGTTAAAGAATACTCAATCAGTAGGACGAGATCTTGTCTTAGAAAATGCTCATGTGTTGTGTATGCTTGGTGTCTCTAGTTTTATGCTGCTAATGTTTCCAAGAGCTGCATCAACCTTTGAACTGGCTTTACACATGGTAAAGTATGCCTTTTCGCTTAAAAGTACATTTTTCCATGGACTTTTACTGGCCTTAATGGGAATTACATTCTATAAAATGAGAAATTATCATCGTTGTGTATCAATGTGTTTTCAGGCTTTCGAAATATTTTGTGCCCTACATGGTGATAAGTTACCAGAATTACCAAAGCATAAATTCTGGCTTGTTTGCCAAGTTCTCTATGTCATGGGAAATTCTTACAATAATCTGAACTTGCATCAGAAAGCAATCAAATATCTTTCAGTGGCAAGATCAGTATTAATGGCATCTAAAAATAGAGATCGTCGACAGTTCATGAGAGTATTGCAAATTTTAGGAGATTGTTATTTTGCTCAGTACGATTATAAATCAGCTTTACAATTCTACAATGAAGCCCTGGAGTATGGAGATTGTGAAAGTCAGATTTCCTTCAACGAAGTTTTTGATGCAAATGCCAATTCTGATGAAATGTCAATGCACAACCAGCTTGTTAGCAAATCTGCAGAGGCTCACATTAGCATGCAACAATATCAAAATGCAGTACACTATCTGGAACAAGCTCATGACATGCAAGAAACGATGGGAGATGATATTAAAGGAGACTTGGCCGCTACTCTTCATTCTCTTGGACAAATGTACTGTGGAGCAGGAGATGTGGATAAAGCAATTGATTCGTATAATGAAAGCTTAGAGGTCTACAGAGAAATTCATAATGGAAATTTAGGGCCCGAAGTCGTTTCAACATTAGGAGATCTTGCAGCAATGTGTTATGTAAAAGCCTGTCTTTGTGATGACGTCGATAGCGAGTTGGAAATGATTGTGGCCACTGAAAAATACTTCCAGGAAGCTCTAGCTCTTGGGAAAAACCCAGTAATAACTATTCGTTATGCAAATTTTTTATTTAGCCAAAATAATTATGTTGATGCTGTTAAACATTTGAAAACTGTTCTAGAGATAGAGGACATTGAAACAGCACAAGATCTGGTGTATGGTGGTTTAGAAAAAGTCACTCTACCAGATGTCCTACAAGATGAAGTGGACTGTCAAGAAGAAGTCGTACTCCCACCATCCTCCCTTGCCAGATATTTATTGATATTATCCCATATAAACTTGGGCCATACAAAACTTGCCGAGGACAATCTAATCGATCTCCTTATGGAAACATTAGATTATGATATTCCAATTTTATACTCAGTGCTTGGATATTCAATGATGGAGATGGGAGTTATTGAAGAGGCAATTTGGTGCTTTGGAACAGCAGTATCTCTGGAAAATGACTATCGACTTGCAATAGATAATTTCTGTACATGTGTCTGTATTTGGGTTTTACAAACTTTAGAAAGAGCTGTTGAAGTAATATGTACTTATTATGGAATATCTGTTAGTCCCATGTACTTGTCCACTACAAGTGAGAGCTCTTTTTCTTATTCAAACTACCTTTTCTGATAAGTTTCAAGAACATCAACCCTATAAAATCCAAACACTATAGAAGTTGTGGTATGACAATTAAAAAAGACAAGGTAAAAATTTTCTTTAACCTACAGACCAAAATGTTAGTGTTACAAACATAATGTTGGGATGAAAGATTGCGTTAAAATAAATTTTCAGTGAAATCCAAATATCAACCAAATCAGAAACAATTGGTAAAATTATAAATGCTCAGGTACAATCTTCTTAACAATAATTTACAAATCTTGACCTTTTATCTCCTTATAATGGGGCTATATATACATACCTTATCAGATTATTTGACAGATAACATAGTCCGTAAAAACTTTATCATTCAGATTTCTGAGTGCATGTTTCTGGAATAACCTTCATCATAGAATGCTTGAGACCCCATGTTTGGACAGTCAAAATATGAACTTTTAAAAGCTGAAAAACTAAAAGGTCAAAGCGATATTTGTAGATTTTTTGGCATGTTAGTATCAAAATATTAATGATTTTTAGCTATAGTAGGTATAATAAATAAATTTAAAAAAACTGTTCTGATAAAAATTTATATTGCTGAGAAGACAATCAGTTAGGTGATGAAAGGGAGATTACTCTTTTTTATCATTATCAATTGTGTAACATTCAAAATGTTGTAAAATGTGAATAAACTGCCTATAACAGTGACTTTTAAATAATGTTTTTTTTGGTTTTTTTCATTTTAAGAAAAATGAATTCTTAAATATAATAATGTATGACAAAAATAAAATACCTTCTAAAATTAAGATACTTTGGCATCATGACAATATAAAATAACTAATTTGAATGGCATAGACTATTTTTACTGAATCAAAATAACCAAATCAAAACAAGTTACATAAACTTACATCTGATAATGTTTTGTAAACAAATTAATAAAATTCCTGTTTACAGATACAATATTTTTATATTGCTTGTACAATATATGCATAAAAAATACATGTATTATATTATATAGTATACTCAGTAATAAGTACAAGCGTAAATACACCATGTTTAACAATTGCTATAATCATATAGTGTATTGGCTATTCTATTTAATGTAGAGATAATTTTTAAAAACTTCTATTTGTCCAGTAAAGAGTAAAGACTGAAGCTTTCATTAATCAAATTTCGTTTCTTATTAATATTGGTAGTTACAAATATTTAAAAATGTGATTTTTCCAGTATAATAATGCAGTCCGTTCCATTCTTGTTTTCTAGTATTAGTGTGTGGCTTGTAAATCCTTATTTTGATATCTAACTCATTTCAGTATGAAAGCAATTTTTCTTGTCGGTATGATTGTCTGTAACTATACTAACATTGATATATCTATAGGGTCATATCTATAGGGTCATGATGAAGTTTGAGAGTATTTGCTAACGTCACAGTACCTAAATTTCACCTATTCAACACAAATTGCTGCAGAAATCTTACAATTTTTCTTTGAGACTAGATAATTTGTATTTTTATGATTTGACATTATATACGTCTATCAACAAAGGCAAATATATCTAAATATACACAAAACGTTCACAGTACATATCAACAGATTAAGCATTCACTGGAAAAAGTTCACAAAAAGTCATCTTTTAAAAATGAGCAAATTAAATATGTTACAAGCATTCAATTCTTAAAAAATGAATAGTAAGCATGGACTAATGTCAAATTGTTCTAAATATTTGAAGAAATAAAACAAAACATCTGTTATTCGATTTTTAAGGATGTGAATTTAAGCATGGTTGCAATTTAGGTACTCCTCATTACAGAATCATGGATCGTTTGGAGGTCGGTTCAAACCCACTTTTCTATGATTCAATATAGATACAAAATTATATTGGTGGAACCATATAGTAAATAATGACACATCTACAAAATAAACACAGAATGGAAAGTTTTGCCTGGGTCATAAATAAAAGTAGGTGAAAAAACTGTCAAATAGGTGCAATTTGGGTATCGTCACGTTAACTGTGAATAAAGATATCTATCTTTGATTCTGAAAACAAGAGAGGGAGTTTTCCAGCTACAATCTCATCGAAGGGTAATAGCCTGAGATGAGTTGAAGCTAAGAAACTTCCTCACTTTGAAGACCAAAAGATAATCTGTTTATTGATATTTTCCCAAGTAACATCAATGACATCATCTTCAATCTATTGTAAATTCAGAAATTATTGTGAAAAATGCAACAGTATAAGGTTCACAAAAATAAATACCTGCATTCATAATTTCAAAAGGGATTTTTCTAAAAAAATATTTTGCAATCACATTAATTAGAATTTGCATTTTTGCCAGAAGTCAAGGATTTGCAATAATAAATGGACACATTAATTTCTGAAATAACAGTTATTTACTGTTATAAAACCATTCTCAGTCCAATAGCTAGGGGTTGAAAATTATCACACAGAAAGATCAAAGGAAAGTTTTAAGAAAATTGAGTTAAAAAGTAGTGTCATTCCGGCCTTATTTTCATATCATAGAATGGCTGGTAAATAAGCTAAGTGTTTATAATCAAAATATATTAATTAATAATTAATATGCTACATCAAGTGCCATTATTTGTGGTTTTTATTGTTATACACATACAAACAAAAAACATCTTGTTCTTTGGATATTTTAAGTGTAACTTTTCTTTTTTCTTTCTTTCTCTCTCTCTGATTTGTGTTGTTACAATTGCATTTTTAAGAACTTTGAATATTTCGGCCAAAGAATATGTGTGTTAAACCGGTGACTTATTATTTATGAACAACTTAACTTTAAATCTCTTTACTTTTCTTTCACTTGATACAAAACAAATATATATATGTAATATACCCACATATATGAAACTTAAATAATTCAGGGAAAAAGTCCAATGTAGATATGCAAATTTCAAATTTAAGAAATAATACAAATATTAAAAGAACAAGATTTTTTCTGTGTTATCTGATATTTAGTTGTAATTTGTTACTTTTTCTAGTTTATAGTAATTGTTAATTATTTCACATTATTAAAATGTTATAAAATATTTTGGATTTACATTTCCCATGATAATAACAAATCTTAGTTTAAGATGGATGAAGTAAGAGTTGGCCTTTAATTCCAGTACATGTACCAGCTTTTGGAGGCACAACTAGGAGGAGAACAAAGTTTATCATCTTTAAATATCATGAATAGATATCAATGCATATAGGCCTTTAAAAGTTGACTATACTGTATAGGTTTTTCTCATTATTGAAGGCTTACGGTGACCTATAATTGCTTATATCCATGTCATTTAAGCTCTGGTGGATAGTTGTCTCATTGGCAATCATACCACATCTTATTTATATATCAACTGTTAGTCACCTCGACTTGTAGACAGTTACTACAGCTGTATTTCAACATACATCTATAGTTCAAGACAATATTACAACAAGAGTGCACACGCTGAAATGTCTCGCCTGCTTTACTGACCATTGATTTTATGTTGAAAGTCTTAAAGATAATGGTATTACTAAATGCATTACAGAAACTTAACATTTTTAAAGATCTATGACAATGAGGTGAAGGTCAGATAAATCATGTCAGACAGACATATATAGTTGACCTATTGCTATGCTATTTGAAAAATAGACCAAAACACAAAAACTTAGCATTGACCAATGAACCATGAAAATGAGGTCAAGGTATGATTATACCTGCCAGACAGACATGTGCAACTTACAATTATTACATACACCAAATATAGCTTAAACATAATAAGTCAGAAATTCACATGACAAAAAACTAAAAAAAATTTTCAAACAGTCGCTGAACCATGAAAATGAGGTCAAGGACAATGAACATATGGTTGATGGAAACTTCGTAACATAAATTATCTGCATACAAGATATGAAGCATCAAGGTCTTCTACCTTCTGAAATATAAAGCTTTAAACAAATAGTTTACACTGCTGCCGGATAGTAATACCTATGTCTCGCATAGTGCGACTTTCGTCGCAAGCGAGACGAAAACAAGAAACTGTGTCCATAGGACACCATGCTTTGCTCACATATTTCCTTGATCAGTGTACCATGAAATGGGGGACAAAAGCCTAATTTAAAAGTTCACATTATAATGAACATGTGTGCCAAGTTTCAAGTTGATCTAATTACCTTGACTAAAAACCTTAACATGATACAGGACAGATGAACAAACTGACTGACAGATGCACAGACTGAAAAACATAAAACTACGCAGGGCATACAATGAAAAACAATATTCTAGGTCATTTAGGAGCTATCAAAATATACTGAGCTAGAAACAATAGATAAACAACAGCTATAGTGATTCCAAAATTATTTTTTTGCATTATTATATAAATAATTTAACAAAGGAGTAGGGGCATTAAGGCCCGGTTTTGGCCCAAGAAAATGAAATGTTTGACAACTATTTTAATTTGGCACATAATGTTTGAAAATGCATAGGGTCAAGCAATTTAAATGAAAAACATCAAGATTTTTATCTGATGACATCACAATTACGTCATAATATATACCTTTTTCACAAAAACGATGAAAAAAAAGAATTTATGCAGTTTTCTAACATTATTTGTAGTGTGGAAACATCGTGCGCAGCCAAGAAACAACAAAATAATTTAAGAGAAGCTTTATTATAACTATTGACATATTCTCACCAAATATAAAGTTGTTTCTTGGGTGCGCAAATACTTTTCCAATCTAAAATATACTTAAAATTTGATGAAAAACAAGGAAAATCAAGTAATTTTACAAAATATGCAAATTTAGTCATGGTTTGTTGCCATGGTAACTCGTTCAACCTGAAATTGGTTTTTATTTTCTGAATATCTTGTAGCTTAGTCTAGTTTGGACAAATTTAAGAATATGTATGATAACTTTCAAATTTGCAGTAATATTTGGGCCAAATAAGGGCCTTATTGCCCCTACATCTTTCAGTGTTATTTGTATTGGGATACAATACTAAAGGTATATTAGAATAAGGTTAAAACAACAAACCAAAGAAATTAAGGTCTTTTATTTCATTTCCAAAATCTCAAAAAACATAAACATTTATTTAATTTAAGTTTGGTCTTTTTTCTTCAAAGTTCGAAATAAAAGAAATGTTGACAGATCAAATTTCAGTAAAATAACAAGTCCAAGTCTTCCTCAAAACATACGCTTTATAAGTATTGTATTTATAAACTAGTTAATTTGTGCTTAAAATGCACCAATAATATACATGTAGTGAAAAAAATTCTTCAACTTCATGAATTACAACATTGTGCAGAAATTTCTAAAAGATCTGTTAAAATAATTGGACGGGCGGACACATGCCTGGTATTTCCATGTCCCCGGCAACACGTTATGTAGGGGACAATAAAAATTTACATCTCAAAGGGACATATTTCCTGTACAAATATTTCATTGATACTGATTTTCTAAATCACAAAAGACATTAAATGATATAAACCTTTGATATAAATTTTATCTAAATCTGACAAGAAATGTAGGCTCGAGAGTCCTTACAATGCAATTTTCAATATAATTTATATTTCCAAAAGGCATTACTCATTAAAAAAACAATTGATTGGTATTGATTTTCAAACTTGTCGAAGACATATCTGATATAAACCTGTTACATAAATTTCATAAAAGTCTGGCAAGAACTGTAGTTGTGAGAATTCTTTCAAGGCTGTCCCCTGCACTGCAATGTTATGGGGTCAACAACTCAGAAGTCAAATTCAAGAAGGAAAATAACTGAAATCAGTCAACTATTAAAATATCTTATCTGCTAGTTAAAGTCACATAACTCCAAAATTATTTAAATAATAGTGAAAGTTGAAATGAAGCTTAGTTCAATTAACTTTACACTGTATTAAGAATACATGAAAATTGCTCATAGCAAGGCCATCCTTAACAAATTCTTTGTTTGATGTTGTCTATTCATGCCTTGTATGGTTGGGTAGGAAGGTAGGGATTTTATTTTTTTTTGCCAACAACTTAAGTTACATGTTATAAACGTTGGAGCAAAAAAAAACTTTTCATCTACCAAGACTTAATGTTCATGTATAGTTTGAAACTTTAGGCAGAATCAACAGTCATTGAAAGCTCAATGCAACAATGGACTGTTTATCCTTCAAATTATTGGCAAAATATGTTTCACTACAGAAAGTGACAAAATCTAAAACTGAAATGGGTGCTGTTCTTTAGAAAATTCTCTGTATTCTTTACTTACATATATGATTACAAAAAAAGATCAGATATGTTCCCTTGCTTAATTTTTTAGTTACAATTATACAGTCCTTAAAGTACTACACTTTGTTTCATGACTTTGCCACTACTTCAAATCCATTTTGTCCAGGTATGAGATCTTCCATTTCACTTGTTACTTTGGGTAAATCATCAATGCAGAAGAAATCTGAAAAAAAAACCCAAAGAACATCATCTTATCCACACATACACTATAAAAAAAAACCAAAGAACATCATTTTATCCACACATACACTATAAAAAAAAAACCAACAAACATCATTTTATCCACACATACACTATCAAATATTAATGTTTATTTCATACTTTGAATATGGAATTTTTTGCTTAAATATTTCACAATCAGATAAACTGCTTGAAAAATACCCTGCTAGAATAGTTAATAAATATTAACAATATGTGAAGGGAACACTTGTCATATGATGTAAGAATTATGTGAAAAGATCATATATTGAAATTTGGACCCACATTCACAGTAGGTCAACTTGTCTTGTGATTTGCACCTTCTGTTTTCTACTTTATATTTTAGTTATGTGTTGTTTATGGTCTTCTGCTCATATTATTTGAGTCACTGTTATTATAAAAATATTGGAGTGAAATACACATAAAAAGTGTACATTATAAATATGTAATCACAAGGCCTTCAACAATTAGCACTAGTGTGCTCTATGGAAAACTGTCTTGAGACAACTATTTTTTTTTTTCCTTTATGAGGTTATATCATTACATTCAGTGGTTCAATTCTTACAATTAGTCAGATGCGTTGTGAGGGGCACAATATCCAAAGACATTTTTGCATTCAATATCACACTATATCATTTGAAAATTATAATTATGCACAATCAATAACCATCAACAAATTTTCTGTTTTATTTGGGATTACCACTAGAAGACACTGATAAATAAAGAATACCTTGATTATGTTGACTCTTGGTCTGACTAGAATGTCCATTTGTATTGACATGTGAGTCCATTGTACCTTTATCAGTGTTATCTAGTACAATATCACCAACATCAATATATGGTAAATCACTGTAATTTTTTGGAGTTCTTTTGCGGAAACTGTAATTTTGCACATCTTCATTTGATTTTCTTTTATCACTACTAGTATTTGATTTTGGTTTATGTAGTTGAGAATCATTTTGTCTTTTTGAATTTTCCTTTGGTGAATTAGCTAACAATGAAGCATTTTGTCTTTTTTTAGATGGTGTTGCCTTTGGGTCTGTCTTCCCATCAAGTCTTTGTCCATCACTTTTCTTTCTATCATTGTCTTTATTAGATTTTAACCCTGTATGCTGTGTATCTTCACCAATATGAACACCAACTGTTTTTTCATCATCCTAATTAGTAAAATCAAAGCTATAAAGCTGTAACATAGAAGATCTCAACTAATTCATTATTTTTCATTCAATATTGAATTTTGTTAATGTTAGTCTTTTGTCATATGCTAATAAGCTTTTGTAATTTAGAGGTATATGATGTTGATGGCAGATCTATGATAGTCATTTTAAATATATTAGCCTTTTTTTATAGACTTGAAGCAATTTAGAGCACCTATCTATTTTTGAAGACCATTTGCTGACCTCTAGATGTCTTTTGGTTATTTGTGTGTTTTTAGTTTGCTGTCTCATTGAAGTATACCACACACCTCCTCTTAATCACAACTTTTTTTCTAATGGTCTAAGAACCGAACTAGACAACAAAATGTATGTTTACAAATGCTTGCAAATGTCAAGTCCCCTTTTTGCTTTTGAATACTTTAAAAAAATGAAACTGTTAGGTGTAACTAACATCGATCAAGTTTAGTATCCTGTACAGATCTTGCTTACAAAATTATGTTTTAAGAAAATATTATATAAAGATTTGCATTTTTCTAGAAGTATATATATTTTTTTCAAGTCAGAAGTATTTCCTTCCTATTACTATATTTTATATCACACATTAAAAAAACATTTGCAAAAAATTTGTTAGGCTGTATTTCATACATTAAAGCGTTCACAGTTATATTTGCCATTAAACAATGCACTTGAGATGTAACAATTTGTACAAACCTCCTCACTAGATACTCCACTGTCTGTATCATCCCAGATATACTTCATCTGTTTCCTTACCACTGAAAATATATATAGTCAAATATAGAATTAATTTTACCTGGGATGAAAATCATGTCCTCCCCATAGCACCAAATTATGTAGTTTTTGTGGGAGTAGCTGAGGCCTTATTTATCTTCTGATTTTATTTTTTTTTTGGTGCCGTCTGTCCTGTCTATACTTCTGATTTTTTATCTGTCCTTGAAGTATACAAGAGTGCGAAGTGGGAAAACTAGTTAACTTAATCATAAAGTATTTCTGAAAAATTGACCTGAATGCAAAACCACAGTCACTAATAGACATAAGTGGCACCCAATTGTTGCTGAATTATGTTATTTTATAGTTGTTACTTCTCAGTGATACATTGCTTATCACAACTTAATTTTTAGAAAAGATACTGTTAAAAGTAAAACTGGAAGAAAAACATCAAAATTATAATTTTTCTAATAACATATTACAATGAATAAATTATGGTCATGATACTTTTAAAATTTTGATTACTGGTGTTTCATGTGTCAAAAAATTGTCATTTTAAAGATAAGTTAGATGTGTGGTTTTTTGTTATTTCAGTTTGTGCTATATTCAAACCAAATAAGTCCCTAAATACAGTAGTCGTTACGCTTTTTTTTAAATGCTATAAAATAATACATTACAATTCTGTATTTCTTTTGGAGGCAAGAAGTATTTTCCAACTGGTATTTTCTGGGTAGGCACTTTTGTAGAATCAGAAATATACTTTGCATGGAATACAGCAAGGTGTTCATCTCTATATGCACTACTCTGAAATATTCTATAAAACAAAAAAAATGAATAAACTGTAGTCTTTCATTGCACTTCATAGAAATCAAATTGTTGTGTAAAATTATTGTCAGAAAAAGCATCTTCAATAAACTCAAATGTAAAATTTAACAACTGTAATATTGAAATATGACAATACAAGTCATGATTAAATTCATTTTTATTTTCCATTTTTAAAGGTACATAACTTGAGAACTGTAAAATTAGAACTTGATCTGTATTAGGTGGTAATATGCATTGTGTATAAGTTTCATAATATTTGGTTCAGGCAAAGTAAAATTAGAGGGCAGAAACAGCAAATTCAGCATTTTTTCCATTTAAAAGGGACATAATGATACCTTGAAGAATGGTGAAAGTGATGCACCCAAATTCGATCTTGATCTGTGTTTGAAGGTAATAATCATTGTGTGTTAAGTTTCATAACATTTGGTTGAGGCAAACTAAAGTTAAAGAACAGAAACCAATTTCGGGATGTACAGACAAGGGTGAAACTTAATGTCCCTGTCGCCTAGCGGCAGGTCCATAAAAATATAATTCATAGCATGAGTTATCATGGTTATGGTTACCACATTGCAATATTGCAGAAATTTGAGAGTTAAGACAGAAATCTATATAAACCAGGTCAATTTGTTTTTCAAATTTTTTTCATACAGAGTACTGTGGATTAATTTATTTTCATGGATACCAATTTTTGTGGATTGAGTAAACTTATAATATTATGGATATGCCAAAGAAAATGTAAACTTCGTTGAACATTCAAATTCTTGGTTTACCTATATAGCCACGAAATCCAAGAACAATAATAAGTCCATGTTAGTACATACTTTTTTCCCTTCCTTTGTATCTTTATTCGCAGTAACGGTCCCTGAGCTTCAACTTTCGCTACGTGAAACAGTTATAAAGCTTTCAAAAACTGGTGGTCAGGGGTTTATTTCATGTATATGTAAAGGGGGTGCAGCACTTCTTTATGTTAATGTAAAATTCAAAAGATATTGTGCAATTCGCAATGCCATAATTCACTCACATGCTCAAACAAATGATATAGAACTATTTTTTGTATTTTGTAAATAAGGTTAATTGTGTGGTCATTAAATAAAAAAAATATAATGTGTATCAATGCTTTTTTATAACAAAATCAATACTATTAATTATTGTACAAGTTATAAGTGAATTTTAGTCAAATGTTGTACAAATTGTAATTTGTACAAGCACTTTTTGTACAAATTACAATTTGTACAAAGTCAAAATACAATTATAATTTGTACAATTTTTTTGTACAAATTATAATTTGTAAAAAATGATAACTTGTACACAACATATTTATATTATCAGGATGGTTTTGTTAGTCAGTTACAGACATATAGCTGAATTTATATTCACTTCTTATGTATAAAGAAACATGTGGAGTCTTACAGCAAAAGAATATTCCAAGGGCAAACAATAAAATAGTGTTAACCCATTAAATTCAATACTCACAGGCTTTAACCAGACATAATTTAATCTACTTTTTCATAATCTTCTTATTTTTGGAGAAAAAGAAATTGCTTAAAGCTGTTCCAGAATTTATTGTGTTGGGGGGTCAAAGGCAGTTTTATAAAATTTAATGAGTGGTGAATATTTTAGAAAGTTTGGTTGTACAATTAGAGAAAAAAATCGCTTAAAAATTTCATGCATGGCAAGGTCAACTGTAAAAAAAAAAATATATATAGGGTTCAACAGAACCATGTGTCTCATCTGCTATTGCTGTCGTCAATATATTGTTGGCTGTGAAGTCCATTTATCAGTAAAGTAGTGATGTATTTTTTAATGGTACTTTTCTTTTAAAGATGCTATTTCTTGATCTTTCATAAATTTCTTTCCAAGTTTAATAACATGTCATGAAAGTTAAACAAAGTTATCGATTTCTAAATTTGTTTTATCCAAGCCTGAATGTAAATGTTTAATCGGTCACATATATGGAATAAAGAGCTGCGCCAAGAGCGCATGATACGCCAGTTGCTTTTTCAAAGAATAAAGTTCCATAACTCCTCGATGTCATACCAGAAATGTATAAAAAAACTAAAGGGAGGTTATTTTGATAGATATAAAACAGTCACCAAAGTTTCATGAAAACTGCTCAAAGCATTTTTGAGTTATTGTCTGAAACTTGACATATGGACGGAAGGACAGACGGACAGACAATGGTATACCATAATACGTCCTGTAAATGGGCGTATAAAAATGAAGACGTTATAACTTAATCATAAAAAATCCTCTTTCCAAGTTTTGTAAAATTCTATGAAGGTTTGACAAGTTATAAATGTTTGGAAACTTTAGGCTGTACCTTAATGTGATAACCAATTTTTTCCAGTAAAAAACATAATAAACAAGAATGTGTCCATAGTACATGGATGCCCCACTGGCACTATCATTTTCTATGTTCAGTGGACTGTGAAATTGGGGGTCAAAACTCTAATTTGGCATTAAAATTAGAAAGATCATATCATAGGGAACATGTGTACTAATTTTCAAGTTGATTGGACTTCAACTTCATCAAAAACTACCTTGACCAAAAACTTTAATCTGAAGCGGGACAGACGGACAAACGGACAGACGCGTAGACAGAAAAACATAATGCCCCTCTACTATCGTAGGTGGGGCATAAAAATGGAAGAAAATGTTTTCAATATTTTGCTCTTGGTAGTGTCTTTTGATCATACCAAAGCTTCTGTGATTGTCCAAGTTTCTTAACCATTGTTATCATGCCAAGGAGGTTTAACTAAGTTATTGATGTCTAAAAAAACTTTAACCACAAACTGAACCTAATTGTTGACAATCCAGACTAGACCAGAATGTATGATTACTATGTCTTGTTTCAGGCTTGACAAAAATTCCTTCAGACACCTCCCCCATACATTAATTTTTAAAACAGCCCTTACAATTTTCTGATGAAAAGAGCTTACTGTTTTGTATCTTTACTGTCAGCATTTTCACTGAATATAAATTGTGCTGAGTCATAATCAGCTTGTTTTCCTCCTTGTTCCTCTAAAACAAAAACAAATATGATCAACTTTTTAATTAAGAGAATTATCCTCTTTAACTTAAACAAATATGAATACTTAAAATGACAGAAATATCCTCTAAAACAAAATGATTCTTTTTATTTATAGCATTATTCTCTATTAACAACAAGAATCATGTGTAGTGCTAAGCATATCCCCACTCATAACCTAAAGTACTGTAAAACTGGAAGAAGGTGTTTAACAGATCTCAAAAAGGCATACACATTACAAATGATCATCCCTGTTGATTTTGTTTACCTCCATTAAGGTAGCACAATACAAAGATTTTTTCAACCACAATCAGACAACTTTAAACTGATGTAATTTCTTTCATCCAACTCTAAAATTCATAAATGAGGAACCAAAAGAAAGAAGAAAGATTTATCTTTCAAATGGTGATAATTTCATTATTACAAAATTATTACAAGTTTGCAACCTTATTTCGTAAGAAATCACCCAATTTAATTGGGTATAAAATTTGTTCTATTGATGTTTTTGGAAATCTTAGACACGGTTTTGGAGATAACTGGTCAAGGAACAACATGTGGTAAAATCAGGCATATAGGGGCATCTGTATAGGAGCTAATTTCATTTAAAATAACATTTTCATGACAAAAATGTATGTGTCACAATTGAATAAATAAGGATTTTCCTATTAGAACCCCATTAACTTCAATATCATTCACACATGTACCATGGGGATACTTCAGGATCATAAATCAATTAGGTTTTGACCAGTAAGTAAGCATTCCATTTCAGCAATTCTAAATATATAAAGAAAATGCACATCATATGCATCAAAAACCAGATCTGGCGAGAGAAGTTATATTATATTTGACCTTGCTGTAAGTCAGTTGCTACTGATATGGTCAAAACTCCACCCACCTTGCACTTGCTTTTTTCAATATGGATTTTTTTATTCAATTAGAACATGAAACAATATATTTTGTTTTAACATTTTCCCAAAAAGTAGTACATAAAATCATCAGTTGGTCAGTCTAGAGGATTCTTATGGGGGATTTCTAGAATTATAATTGTATACAATGAAAATATATAATTTTACACAAAGTAGAATTTTCTTATTTTTGTAGTTGGAAAATAAAATGTTTAATTTTGTGTTTTCTTTTAAATAGAATTCATATTACACATTCTCCTCAAGAAAATCTGATATAACCATCAGCATTAACATAAGCAACATTAATTGCTGTACATTTATATTTGATTCTCTCTATAGCTCCAAATTATTTTTTTGTTTTTTTCTCCTGGCAGCTCCAATACAGAAATGTATTTTTATTTGTATTTCATTATCTTCTTTTTTCTAAAAACCCTGAATTCAACCTCTTTTCTATGACTGTTATTTTTATAGCTGGTCAGTGGTCATAAAGCTATCAAATGATTCTATTATAAACCACAAAGTACTGCACACATGTTCCTATTTGTATCAGTCAGACACATGCATTTGTTTATAAAACTAAATATCATCAAAACTCATAAACAGTGCAAGATATGGAAACTTATTTTTCTTCTGAGGTTTAGTAATATTAAAAAGTAACAAAAACAGCTGAAAATGAAATTTTGATAAAATTTAGTTGCTTTTGTATTGTGTTACCTTAAACAAGGGCCTCAGTGGCCGTGTGGTCTAAGTGGATCATTTTCTGTATTACCATCCTGATGTTATGAATTCAAACCTAGCACATGACAGGTGAATTTCACTCCTATCTTAATAGGACAAGCATTGTCAGTTTTCCTGCCAAAGTTGGTGGTTTTCTATGGCTTCCTCCACCAATAAAAACTGACCACCATGATTTAACCAATAATACACAAAGTGGCATAAAACACCAACAATCAATCAATCATTTAACCAAATTTATCAGCAAACAGGAACTAGGTATCTGACAGATCTGAAAAATGCTCACACACTACAAATCGCCACGGTCAAGTTGCTAACCAGATATGAAGCCATTTTGTTGAACTGACAGACAGACAAGGTAATTGCAATAAAACATTTAGGAGTGGGAGTATAAGACTAGTCTTTTAATAAGATTCTAGGTATTATTAGAAATAGTTGGTCCAATTTGTTACTGTGTTGACCTTTTATCTGCACTCACTGTTGCGAATTATGTATAGACATTCGGAAAGCTATATTTAACATTTAATGCCCTTGACAGACAAGAAATAACAGTATAAAGAGCTGCAAATTTCATGCAATGTAATAAGTACCTGGTAATTTAAACCATTTTTAAATAACAAGACGGGTGTCTCATGTGGAGCAGAATCTGCTAACCCTTCCAGATCACCTAAGATCACCCCTGGTGTTTGGTGGGGTTTGTGTTGCTCAGTCTTTAGTTTTCTATGTTGTGTTTTGTATACTGTTGTTTGTCTTTTGATCATTTTTCATTTTTGGCCATGGCATTCTAGGTTTGTTTTGATTTATCAGATTGAATGTCCCTTTGATATCTTTCGTCTCCCTTTTGTGTTAAATGTCACAAAAATATTACCCAAGTCATACATGAATTATAAATGTTATTAATTACAAATATTATCAAATTATTTTTAATAATTACTCCATTTTGTCTTTCTTTCAGTTGAAACACTATCAGAAAACCATGCAGTCAGATCTTGAAATATTGGCATATTCTCCGACATCATTCAGTTTCTGAAAAAAGGATACATAAATTATCTCCTCGACAGGAACAATAGGACACATTCCTTAAAATAAAAAAACTTAAAATTTAGGCATATTATTTTATAGAATTAATTTAAATCAAATACAAATATTATGATACATGAGATTGCATTTATAAATAGCACTGGAACTCAGTATACTGCATCAGAATATAAAGGAGTTACTTATTTGAAGGTCAAACAACATTTTTTCAGCAAAATAGGGAATAAAAGAATATTCAGTCTGTATATCCCCATCATTTTATCATTCATTTTTTTAGGCTAAAACTTATTTTTCTTATAAAAATGTGTTCGATAACTGCACGAGTCTAGGTAGACCCATCTGGACACATTATAATGACTTCAAGCTATTAAATGTACCAGAATATGCTCATGCACCAATACAAGTTATAATTTCAAATAGCTCTAATTGTAAAGTGTTTTGGTTTCAACCTGGCTGGGAACTGAATTCATGACACTCTCACCCCTACTCACGAAAAGTAATAATCAAGGACATTTAAAACCATGAAATATATCTTTATTTTTCATATCTCTGCGTTTAAAAAAAAAAACTCCTCTTCATATATATATACAATCCCTTATTTCTATCATCAATTTCTTAAGGTATTCATGTAGAGAAGGGAAAACCATCCCATGTAACAAATTATCAGCCAGCTTCTCTGCATATGTTAAAACTACCTTGGTGGTCTCCTGGTAGCATGTTCCCCTCGAGGGAGGTTATGGGTTTTAACCCGGGCCAGGTCAAACCAGACTTCAAAATTTGTGTATTTGCTGCTTCTTCGATAAGCACACACCATTGAGAAGTAAGAGCAAAGACAGGTCTTGAGTTTAGAATAATCATATCAATCATATTCTATTGTATCGATCGTTTATGGGTTCATCAATTTAATCAACTGTCTCATCTGGTTTTCAAGGTCCAGGTTCATATTAAATTGTTACAATATCATCTTTAGAATTGATCAATTCAATCAACTAACTGCCTTTTCTCGGTTTCAAAGGGTCATGATTGTATTCAATTGTGATCAATCATATCTATCATTACAATCAAGGGGTTTGTGAATTTTACTGCGTTGATACATGTACTTGGTAATCAATCATATTTATTGTAAATTAATGATTGAGGGTTTTCAATTTTTAATGAGTTGATTTAGATGATAGCTGGTTATCAATTGTGACCAAGAGTTGATTGAGTTGAAATTTGCAGTTCAATCAATGTTTATAATGTGTAAATTTGTAACTATCTTTGCTGCATCGAATTTGTCAGTATGTTTGTTCGTGGTTAGACCTGGTGTTTGCTTTTCTTTTAATTAGTATGTCAGTATATGGTATGGCAATTTTGTTGTTGGTGATTCTATGGAACATATTTGATCGGCTTTTAAGTCTTCTTTCTTATGATGGCCAGTGAAGTGTGTTTAGCATGTTTGTTACACTTTCAGTATATTGGTATTAAGAACATACGTATCTTGCTGCACGTCTTTGGACTTTTTCTATGGAGTTTATGTTCTCAGTTGTGTAAGAGACCCAGATAGTGCAGCAGTATTCTAGTTTTAGCCTGATAAGGGCTTGGTATGCTTGGTCTTTAATGGTTACCGAGTTTATTTTTAGATTTTTTCTGATGAATGCAATGGTCTTGTTTGCATTTGATGTCATGTTCTGAATGTGTTTGTTCCACTTTAAATTTGATGATGTTATTACGCCGAGATATTTTGCATTTTCAACTGAATCAAGAATGTGTCCATGCATATCATAATAAAAATGAATAGGTGTTTTCTTTGTGGTCACTCGAAGTATGTTCCATTTGTCAGGATGGAACTGCATTAGTCATGCGCAGTCTTGTTCCCACTTGATTGCCCCTTCTAGGTTTTCTTGGAGTTTTAGGCAATCTCATGTTGATTTTATCTGTTGGTAAATGATACTGTCATCAGCAAAGAGCCTGATTTGACTGTGATGTAAATAGTCAGGTAAGTCATTGATGTATATTAAAATAGTATTTGACCTAATTTAGCGCCCTGAGGAACACCTGATGTAACTGGTATATCGTCAGAGGAATGGTTTTCTAGTATGACTGTTTTTGTACAATTAGATAGGAAAGATTTCATCCAGTTTGTAGCTAATGTTCTGATACACAAAAAAATTTAAGTTGATAAAGTAATCGGTTGTGTGGAACTTTATCAAAGGCTTTTAAAATATACAAACCGATCTAATCATCATGGATTTCACTAAATTAGTGAAATCCATGATGATTAGATCGGTTTGTATATTTTTATCGTTATTTGAACTTCAAGATAGCTGGTAAATCAGTGAAATTATCTGGGATTCCCTAGACCTACTTGCCCTGAAGCCGTGTTGCAAGTCATAAAGTATGTTGTTCGATTCAATCAAGGTGTGTCATGATGTTGCTTGCAAGTATGTGCTCTAATAATTTACAGGAAATACATTGAGATTGGTCTATAGTTCCCAGGATGATGTCCGTCTCCTTTTTTGAAAACAGGTGTTACTTTGGGTGATTCCAATCATATTTCCTGTAAAAATTAGAGTGAGTATGTTTGTGCATGTGTTAATGTTTTCTTTTAGCACTATTCAGGTGAGTGAGTATTCCAGTTATGAATGTTATCTGGTCCTGTTGCTTTTTTACTTTTTAGGATTTATATTTTTAATTAATTTATAGATGCCTTCCTGTTGATGTCTATGTTGTCCATTATTGGATGTGTTGATGGACCTTTGTCAGGGATTACTGTATTAGTCTCAGATGTAAATGCTGATTTAAATTGTTCGTTTAAGATATTTGCTTTTTTCAAGGGATCTGTATGACTGTGGACACCCTGGACCATCGTTTAATTGATCAATTAAAAAGGTACCTATTTTGTTTCAGATCTTTTTTAACTGTCTAATGCTTAGCGAGACAATGACATGATATCTCACATCTAAATTTATTACCAAACGCAAATGATGTTTGTCAAGTTGAATTTCCCGGACTTTTCGTCTGCAATAAATATTCTTACGCCTCGTTAGCAAACAACCACTCTTCGTAAATGCTACAATATCAAAACAGATACACCGACATGATCGAATTATTTTTTACTTAACATCCAATTTAAAAAAAATAAATTCATTTTAGCGGGAAAACTCTCATAAAAAATGTCTTCTATTTTTATGCGCGAAAATAACCGGTTAAGTAATTCGGTTGACTTCCGGTTCCCATCTTGAAAGCTTCTTATCTTTCTTTTAAAGAATGGAACTAAAGAGACAGTCAGACTGTCCATCATTACCTCCTGGTTGGAGAAGAGAAGAAGTTGTGAGACAATCTGGTTTATCTGCAGGCAAAACAGATGTTTATTACTATAGGTATAAAGTGTTGATTGCTTTCAGTCGCCGATTTGACTCCACACTATGAGTATGACAGCATCAAGAATGGTACCATCAAGAGTAGGAAATATTTGCCTTTGATGTGTCCACCCTGATAACTGCTCGTTTCGTCATAGTTCCTTTTCCTACTGGTTCCATTCAACATGATACCTGTTTGCCAGTCGTCTGTTCACCTTACTTTATTTTGTTGTCTTGTTGAATATTAATATCAAGGATTTGTATAGTAAGAGAACTAAGACTATCTTTTGCTGTAATAATCCTTGTTAATATTTAATATACTATTTGAATAGATATAACATATATCTATGCAGGACGCGACGTCAATGAAACATCATAGGCTAGCCACATAGGAAACACAGAAATTCTGACAGTACTTTTAATAATCAGCCTGGGATATAACTCTATAGGGTTATTAGAGAAAATATCATACATGTGTTATTGTGGACTAAAAAATCCAAAATCGTGATAACATATGTTTCAAAGGGGCGATATACATCCTTTGTTTTGTTAAAATGTATACAAGTTCTATTGATTTATTATTATTGTCTGAATGTATACTAAACTTTAGAAAGATATAATAGTTCATAGTTTGCCAATCATTCATAGTACACTTATGTTATCACAGAAAAATATGCCTGTAATAACTATAGGGTGTTATTACAGCTTCTGTACATCACTTCAAAGCCTTTGCTCAGACATATATCATGCTTAATCACAATGTATTTTAATTTATTGTATGAAATAATGAGCAGAGCATGTAATGAGGTTCTGCGCAATCTTCCAAGTAATTCCCAAGTGTAAATCAAAAAAGACATGCTGAAGCTTTGCCATTACCACAAAAAAGGCATGACACAATGACATGCTATTTTGCGTTTAGATAAAATACATGTACTAGATGCATATTTCTTCATTTTTATGCACAAAAATTTACCTGATAACCAATCATATAATTCATGGTTAAAAAAGGATAATACATGGAAAAAGTATCCAAATACATTTTGATAATAACCTTAAATTGACATGAATGAATATCTTTTTTAGTCCTGATGGGAAGAAGGTCAGAAGCAAACCAATGATGGCAAGATATCTAGGAGAAGGGTTTGATTTATCTGCCTTTGATTTTCGCACTGGTAAAATAAATCATTCATCAATCAGAAAAAGTAAGCGTCCAAACAGTGGTCCTTATGACTTTGCTAGAGGTTTGTCATTTTTTTGTTTTCAACTTTGATTTCATTGGTGAAGGCACATTCATTTACAAATTTACAAATGTTTGATCATATGTTGTAGTATATAGATCAAAATTTTAAGAACTTGAGAAAGAGTTTTTGTATAGGTCAAAGGTCAATACGTATACAGTGTAAAAGATTTCTGACACCAAGGAAGGATAAACCTTATATGTATGTAGACATACATAATCAAAGAAGACATTTGTATATTTTACTTTGCATCTTCTAAAGAAATTACACAAACATATATATAATATCTTGTTGGATATAATGACTTATAGTTCTGTTTGTTTTAAAGCTGTCAACAAAAATGGTTGGATTTGCTTATTTCTCAATATTTCCTGCCAATTTTGGAATAGTTATTTAATTTGATATCAGATTAGTTTAAATGGTGAAATCTGACAGTATCACTGAGTATTGTGCTGTCAATTGTTGTTCATATGCAAACCAGATCATACCTGTTTTAAATTGTTCAGATAAAGAGATAAAATCTTGCAGATTTTTTGACCTCTGTGAGATTGTTTCTGTTAAGCAACATGTTGTAAAAGTGTGTGCTTCTCCATGACTGGTCAATGATCAAACATTTGTAGACTCAAAACAGTTTTAGATCCAGTTATCACAAATTAATCCATCATAACCTGATAATATTCCTTAGTCACTGTAGCTATTAACTACATCATCTACATGTATATACAGGTACACGTACATATGTATAACTTTCACATGAATTCAGTTTCAGAATCTAATGCTTTATGGGTAAAGAAAATGTTAAAAATCACCAAAACATTGTGATAAATTAACAACATTGTAAGCAATAATTACCTATCTTATTAGACAATGTGTATAAACAAAGTCCTTAACATTCTGAAACAACAAAATTCAAATTGTGATGTGTATGATGGCGTTGATCCTAGCCAACTCAATGTATACTGTAGCCATAGATCCTAGTATCATGTAAATGTAGCAATTTCCATGGCATTTTATTTTCACCATAGACTGTTTTCTTTCCAGACTGTGCATAGGAAATTTATTTTAGATAACATCTTGAGGCTGAAATATTTAAAAAAAAAAAAAAGTATTAGGGAAATATATTTTTGAGACCCAAGGAAAATATTCTACTAAGACATTTACAAGTGTCACATTATTGTGCATTTTTAAAGATGTTTAATTTATATCAGTTAAATTGATTGTAGTCAAAATGATATCTATCATTATAAAATAGAAAATGGGAATTATGGTAAGCCTCACTAGGCAATTGCAGAGAATGGTCTGTAGATAATTTATCTTTCATACAAAATGGATGATATATTTTTTACTATTTAAGTGTGAAAACAGTTCAACTTCCTGTTTTTAATTTCACTTCTCAAGACATGTAAACTTGTACACACCAGTTTACATATATGTATGTGTTTTAATTGTAATTCATTTCAAATTTAACAAAAACGGTTAAATACATACATTGACATACAAAAATTGGTTACCATTGCATTGATTCTAAAAAAAACTGTAATAAGATTCTTTGGGATTTTCTGTGAAGTAAATGGAGAGCTGGAGTTGAGAATGCAGTGGTTTGATTTGACACTCCGACAAAGATGATTTTTTATATGTAACTGTTTTATAGGAATAAGGCAAGATTCCAGTTTATCTTTACCTATCAGACAGACAGCTTCAATCTTCAAACAGCCAGTTACAGTAAAGCGAATTAGAGAAGACACAGACAGTAAAACAAAGACAGATTTAAAACATGGTCCACAGGATCCTCCTAAACAGGTCTGTACAAAGTATCAAGTCTGCAGGACCAGTTTAGGATTTGTACCAGTCCTTGAAAAGCCATGGATTTTTATTTGGAATAAAAAATTATGAAAAAGAAATTTAATATCCTTCCAACTTTAAAGAGTACAATGACAATGTTAGTGTTAAACTAAAAAAATTATTTGTTTCTTCAACATGTTCAAAATTCTTGTAAAAATATGCAACTGAATCTGGTTCTGTACCCTAGTCCACATCTTCGCTAGCCAAGGGTTACGATCCAGTCCCCTCCTCTCCACCCTTGGTGGATTAAGAAAATATCGGATCCACGAGGTAATGATTCCCATTGGTCGCAGTTGTAGCCGGCTGCATCCAATCAAAAAGTGCCTTTAAGATGATCACAAAGATCATGATGATGTAAATGTAGAAAATGTAAATAAATAATTGCCACATGCTGATTGTGCATTTACCCCCAAATCATAGGACGATATTTAGTGACAATTTTAATGAACTAATTTGAATTCCTGTGTATATTTCTCGCGAAAATGTTGGAATGCCAACAAATGTTTTCTGTTTCTGCTTCACGAATTTTGTAAACACTTGACACAACCTTTTTTACACCTCCACAGTGAAGAGAGTTCAAGAGCTACCATTGTTCAAGAATGATGTAGTAGGAATGGGTGTGACCTTTATCTACCGGTAGATGGGGCAGCATTGTAATCACAAATGTTGGCTTAATCTGCCAAGGGTGGAGAGCAGGGGACTGGATCGTAACCATTGGCTAGCGAAGATGCCTGGTCCAGTTTCTTCATGTTCATTGTACAGCTACTGAAAGATTGGAAAATGTGCTTTTGAATACTAAAGATGCCAGGCAACTGCCACTTTTGCCTGAGATGGCTGAAAAACCTTAATTACAAAAAATAACTTGTACTGGGTAGCAGCAAAGCAAAAAACCAAGCCAAAACATCTAAAACATTTCCTTAGGATGTTCTGTTTAAGTTGGGTCGTGAGATCAATTATAGTTTTAAATGTAGTAAATTTATTTAAATTAAAAAGGCAATTCTTGTAGACCATGTTCAAATGCAAATCTGTTTAGACAGCTACTGTAAGATGGTCCATAGGACCAACATTTTTAATTCGTCAAAGATTTGGTCCTAAGTTCCAACTTAAAAAAGTGTGTACAAAAAACTGTACATATATATGCAGGACCAACTAAACCAGTTTGTATTTCAGGAACAAAATTTTAAATAAAAAAACCAAATGCTAGTCAAGTTTGAATTTGTTAACTTTGATTGAAAGAAATATGCTTTAAAAGTAACTTTGCTTGCAGATTTTCTATTAGGATAAACAATTTGTAAAGCTGAAACTTATTTTCAAATTGTAGCAATTTGATGGTATAAATGCAGTTAGGCTAATAGACTTTGTTGAGCAGTAGCTTTATATAACTAAGTCCATTGTGGCATTTTCAAACATAAGGCTAAATCTTATCTTTTGAAGAAATGATCTGTCTTTATATTTATAAAGATATAAGAAGATGTGGTATGAGTGCCAATGAGACAACTCTCTATCCAAGTCAAAATTTATAAAAGTAAACCATTATAGGTCAAAGTACGGTCTTCAACACGGAGCCTTGGCTCACACCGAACAGCAAGCTATAAAGGGCCCTAAAAATTACTAGTGTAAAACTATTCAAACGGAAAAACCAACGGTCTAATCTATATAAATAACGAGAAACGAGAAACACTAGTGAACCACATCAACAAACGACACTACTGAACATCAGATTCCTGACTTAGGACGGATGCAAACAATTGCAGCGGGTTTAAACGTTTTAATGGTACCAAACCTTCACCCTTATCTGAAACAATAGTGTAACATCACAACATAGAAAGACACACTATAAAATATCAATTGAAATGGCTTAACTCAATCAAAAGACATATTAACACCAGTGAACATACACTGAACAAATAAGTTTGATCTATGATACAATGTAAATACAAAATAAATAAACTAAGGGAAGAATAATTAAAGTAACATGTTATACCGCTGTGAAATGTTCTACTCCATCAAAATATTGTCTGCTGGTTTCAATTAAACCAGTTTGCATGTTGTTTGTATACGATCAACCAGAACAAGTTTGTAAATTACATCTCAAACATGGTGAACGAAAGTAACCCAAGTGCTAATTTTTAAAGGTATACCCACCTTCAATATACTTCAGATTAGACACTGTTAATTTTAATACAAACGCAAAAATATTTTGCGGTCGTATATTGGTATGACGTTGGCGTCGGCGTCCGAAGACGCATCGGTTTTCACACTCTAAATTTGGTTAAAGTGAATGGATCTCTATGAAATTTAACCATAAGGGTCAATACCACAAAAGGAAGGTTGGGATTGATTTTGGGGGTTATTATACCAACAGTTAAGGAATTGGGGGCCAATAATAAGCATTTTTGTCGAGCCTTCCACTTTAGTCGAAAAAGCGAGACATAGCGATCCTACATTCCGTCGGCGTCGTCGTTGTCGTCTGCGGCGTCCACAAATATTCACTCAGTGGTTAAAGTTTTTGAAATTTTAATAACTTTCTTAAACTATCCTGGATTTCTACCAAACTTGGACAGAAGCTTGTTTATGATCATAAGATAGTATCCAGAAGTAAATTTTGTAAAAATAAAATTCCTTTTTTCCCGTATTTTACTTGTAAATGGACTTAGTTTTTCTGCCTGGAAACATTACATTCACTCTGTGGTAAAAGTTTTTAAAATTTTTTATAACTTTCTTAAACTATCCTGGATTTCTACCAAACTTGGACAGAAGCTTGTTTATGATCATAAGATAGTATCCAGAAGTAAATTTGTTAAAAAAAAAATTTCATTTTTTCCGTATTTTACTTATAAATGGACTTAGTTTTTCTGCCAGGAAACAAAACATTCACTCTGTGGTTAAAGTTTTTAAAATTTTAATAACTTTCTTAAACTATCCTGGATTTGTACAAAACTTGGACAGAAGCTTGTTTATGATCAAAAGCTAGTATCTAGAAGGAAATTTTGTTAAAATTTTGTACCTGTTTATCCGTATTTTACTGATAAATGGACTTAGTTTTTCTTCCAGTTAACATTAAATACAGTCTGCAGTTAAAGTTTTTAAAACATTTATTAGATTCATAAACTATCCTTGATTTATACCAAACTTTGACAGAAGCTTCTTACAATCAAAAGATAGTATCTAAAGGAATATTTTTATTGATTTTTTTCCTCATTTTTGTTGAGCCTGTGATTAACAGCAAAAGTAGGCGAGACAATGGGTTCTGCAGAACCCTTACGAATTTTTGTAACTTCCAGACATAACTTGTGTGTTATTGTATGGATCTCTCTGACATTGTACCACAAGGTTCCATATCACAAAGGGAATGCTTGGATGGATTTTGGGGGTAATTGCCTCAAAATTTTAGGAATTAGGGGCCAAAAAAGGGGCAGTAAACAAGCATTTTTCTAGTTTCATGACAATAACTTGTGTGTAAGTGTATGGATCTTTCTAAAATTGTTCTGCAAGGTTCCATATCACAAAGGGAAAGCTGGAATTGAGTTTGGGGGTAATTGTCCAAAACGTTTTGGAATAATGGGCCAAAAATAAGCATTTTTCTAGTTTCCAGACAATAACTTGTGTTCAAGTGTATGGATCTCTCTGAAATTGTACTGCAAGCTACCATACCACAAAGGGAAGGCTGGGATTGATTTTGGGGGTAAATGCCTCAAAATTGTAGGAATTGAGGGCCATAAAGGGGCAAAAAACAAGCATTTTTCTAGTTTCAGGACAATAACTTGTGTGTAAGTGTATGGATCTTTATGAAATTGTACTACAAGGTTCCATATCTCAAAGGAATAGCTCGGTTTGAGTTTGGGGGTAATTGCCCTTAACGTTTAGGAATTTGGGGCCAAAAAGGGGCCAAAAAACAAGCATTTTTCTAGTTTCCAGACAATAACTTGTGTTCAGGTGTATGGATCTCTCTGAAATTGTACTGCAAGGTACCATACCACAGAAGGGAAGGCTGGGATTGAGTTTGGGGGTGACGAATCATAAGGGTTTCAAAAAATTGGGGGGGGGGGGATTTTTGTTTCCTTTTTTTTCTTTAAAATTTTCCATTTTAAATTGGTTATTTTTGATTTATATATAATTGCAAATAATAATGATATGGTTTGAATAAGTAAATTAAAATTTTTTAAGTTCTTAGACCACATTCATTCTGTGTCAGAAATCTATGCTGTGTCAAATATTTAATCACAATCCAAATTCAGTGCTGTATCAAGCTTGAATGTTGTGTCCATACTTGCCCAAACATTTCAGGGTTCAACCTATGCGGTCGTATCAAGCTGTGCCCAGCGGAGCATTTTATTGTTATTGATTTCTTGCCAGAATTTTAGCCCCCACCTCAGTAAAATAGAAAAATGCATTAAACATGAAATGACATAATATGTAATTAGGGTCTACCCCAAACTGGATTGGCATATTTTCATATTACCATGGAATGATTTGCTTCAGTAATGCATAGAAGCCACTTAGTCAGTAGATAACTGATAAAACTTCCTGTAAGTAATTCCCCCGAATAATTCAGTCCCTCCTTGTAATCGATCTCTCCTACTCCAGGCTACTTGTGAGGGCCTGAATTCTTATCAAGCTAAAAACTCTTCATGAATCCTGGATTTTGATTGGTGCCCTGTAGGAGAGGTGACCAATCAGCAGTGAGCGCAATTTTATCAAGATGGGACGATATTTCATTGTCTATGCATTCAGGCTTTAATGAAGTAATTGTAGATCAGGGGAATATAACGACTGAATTATACGGGTTAGTAAGTATTTGGGTTATTATATATTTATAGAATGTTATACATGTAGAAGTTTCTTGCTATATATAGTGGAATGCTAAACCAGGCTTATGTTTGTTGTTTTACAGTTATTTTGGGAGAAGCGTCTTCAAGGTTTCCATGCAGTAGACAGTAGTGAAGATATTCTAAAGGCGTTAGATTTACCAAGAAATGTACAAGGTATTTGGTTGCTGCACCCAGAGTAATGCATAATGAATTTTTAAAAATGCCATTTATTAAGTTAGATTAAATCACTGGCATCAGTTTGCCAAATGTTTATTTAATGCTATTGCCCTTAAGTGTTTCAATATAGAATGTGTAAAGGTTATATAGCACTCTCGTGGAAATATATCTATATTTTATATGACAAACATATGTTACACTTTGTTTGTCTGTCTATGCATGTCTAGTAAAAATTCAAGTTATATATATCCACAATGACTTATTTTTGTCTTGCCTCGAAGCAAGACTAAGGCTTGCTGTTTTCTGGCAGCAGTGTTGGCATCAACAATGTATTAATTTATGATTGTCAGTTTATGGGGAACCACTAGGGGTATGTAAATGATATTTGGTATGCAGTTTTGTTAACATTGGCACATATCATTTCCATCGACATTGTTTGTCCACACCCAATCAGTCATGGTGTATCAACTTGAAAACTTTGATATAGTTTTCATATTAAAGTTTTTAATTAGGTTAGTTTATGATGAACCTCTAAAGGTAAGTCAATGTTTTGTATGCAGTTGTATTAGCATTTGCATATCTTATTCCAATTTGTATATTTTATTCCATTAATTATTATATGGCCTGGCCACCTCATTATGGTTCATTGACTTTGACACTTTTGCATAGTTGATATGTAATAGTTTGAGTTAAGGTAAGTTTAAAGACAACCACTTATGATAAGTCAATGGTATTTAGTTGCAGTTGTATAAGAATTGGCATTTCTCATATCACAGAGGTTATTTGGTCATGTACCTTCAATCATTGACTTTGAATGTTTTGCATACTTTACATGCTAAAATGTTGGCATTTTAATTTCAACATTTGCATTATGTTATCAAAATAAAGGTGAGACATATCTCTGTGTCAACAGTTGATTACATAATTTTTGGTTTTACAAATACAAATGCCATGGAACTTGCATTGTTTAAAATTGAAAACTTCAGTTGTAAACTGAAAGAAAAATAAATCAGTGTAATGATTTTCAGGTTGCAAAAATTACAAAAAATTTCCATTTTATGATTTGAACTTTGATATTGTTTTAGGTGTTGGACCAGAGCTAAGCACAGAGAACATTCTACAAAGTATTTCAGCAGCATTACACATGAATAATGGTCCAGTTATGGGACAGACAAATAATAAACAAGCTCTGTCTAAAAACCCTGGTGCTAATATAGATGCAAATCAACCTCACATTCAAGTAAGAGTTCTATTTAATTTTTGATTGGTGCACATCATCAGTTTTTATAAAGTTAGATATTTAGCAGTAGTATGAATTAAAACTATAAATGGAAATACCAACTGAATAGTTTAATAATGCCGATGCAACATACTGGACATGTTTGATATGAATAAAAGGAGATCTAAGGTATACAACAATAAGACAGCAAACCCAACAATGCAACAAACCACTAGACATCTAGAGGGCACCACATAGACTTAAACCACAAATAATTGCCTATTTATTATAAGTCCAGCTCTTAATCATCCATAGTTTAAAAGAGAGGCAAAAGATACCAAAAGAACATTCAAACTCACAAGTGGAAAATAAACTGACAATGCTATGGCAAAAAAAGAAAATTGCCAACAGACAAACAACAGTTCACAAAACACAACATAGAAAAGCAAAGACTGAGCAACACGAACCCCATCAAAAACGGGGGGTGATCTCAGGTGCTCCAGAAGGGTAGGCAGATCCTGTCTTGTTGCTCATGTTAGTACAAACCTGGTGATAAGTCTAATTCGATAGGTCGTTTTAAAAAAGTTATAAATTTAACAATCAAAGATGTGCCAACAACCAGAACTTCCCTAAATAATAAAAAAAAAAAAACATTACCAGTAAGAATTGTGTAATGACAACAAATGACATGGTTCATAACTTGTTCATAAACATCTGACAGTGTAAAACTAGTATTTCTCACATTCAGTCTTGCATATGTGGGTTGTTCATGACCTCATTTCAAGAACATTTATTATATAAACAATTCATCATAAATATAAAGAATGCCCTTGTCAACAGATTGTTTCATGTGATTTTTACATGAGCAACACCTGATATTTTTAAAAACAGCTCTTCATTAATAGATTCAGATAGAATTGTCCAGCTGCAAGATAAGTAGTTAATACAGATGGAAACTTTTCCAGTAACAAAATAAAAAAATATTCATTTGATAACCATTTTGCAAAAATCAATTAAATTGCTTATTATGACTTGAATATTTTTCATAAATCTTGATAATCTTTGACATGTATTTAATTCTGTTTGACATAAGTTTTTTCCTTCTTTTTAGCAAACAATGATTACAGAAGAAGATATAAAACGACAAGAGATGAAAGTCATCGAGGCCAGAAGACGATTAGAAGAAGCTATGAAAGGATTATTGTGATGATCAATATTCACTCAAAACTCATTTTGTTGCATGCAGCGGGATTTATTCGAAGTAGAGTAATGGATGTGGCTTGCTAAAAGCCTAAATGAAAGGTGTTTTTATAACATTAGCCACAGTCCCATGGTTGAGAAATGGACAGAAGAAGAAATGTAACTGTTGAGAATTATGAAGTGTGATTTAATGTACATATTTCAAAACATTTTTTTTTCAATTAATGGCAGCTTCTGATGAATTGTATCTTGTTGAGAAAAATTGTTTCAGGTTTATGAATCTAATGATTTGATTGATATTCTGTAAACTGTATAATAAGCCTGTTTATCAATTGCATGATAATTCATACTAGCTACACTTTCATTTTGAATGTCTTCTTGGTTTAATAATACCTAGAAAGAAGAAATTAACACTTAGTGTTTTGGATGTAATCCACTCAACATATTTTTCTTCTGGTTTTCCCCATAGCCCAAATAGCAATGCTGTTGCCATCTCTTGTCTTATAATATCCTCCTCATCAAACTGCAAACTTTTCTTACCTAGTATGAAGCAAAGTGATCTCCTTTTTATTCACCTGTCCCAAAGGCCTAGTGTGAGCTATTGCCATCATATAGTATCGGTTGTCCTTTGATTTAAAAATATCTTCTCTGAAACTTCTTGGTCAATCAGAACATAACATAGCCATAATCATCCTTTGAGTTTCAAAAAGTGTCTGACATGTCCACCATGGCTAAAAATAAAACATTGGGTTGAAAGGCAAGTATTGTCTAATATCTATAAAACTGCTATAGATAGAGATTTCTGGTGGGACATAAATGTTCAGAATGTCAAGATTTAAGAACTATCCATTTGGATGAAATTATTAGATTCCTTATATGAGTTATTATTCATCACTTTCCAAAATACATCCCAGATTCTTACCTCATAAATTTCTTATTCTCTGGTACATTTTCACCAGTGTTTTATCGTAACTTGAACCTAAAAGACCTTTATAATGTTACCCTTGTAGTAAATATCACTTATCAATAGGGTAAGATAAGGGAAAGGAAAAGCAGCCTCTGATGTGTACGTGTATAATTTTTACAAAAAAATCATATTTAAAGGAATTGATAAAATGAAGCAATAAATAACGTAATAGTTTTTATTTCAATCTTTTTATATTTTCTTTAACTTTATTTATTTTATTTTGTATCAGTTTTTCTCATTAGCCTTTCTATTTTGTTAGATGTAACTTCCTAATGGACAAGTTCTCTGTGATGGTAAAACAGAATCTGCTCTCTTATTTACCAGAAGAATTTGAACAAGAATCATGATTTTTTTATACAAGTTGTATATTTCATAAAATGCATTCTGTCATCTTTTTTTTATAAAATAAAACTTTACAATGCACTTGTTTATTACTCAGACATTTCAAGTTTTTAATTCATTACATTGTACAAGCAAAATCATTGGATAATATTGTCGATTTAAAATTTTTCTCTGAGATTTGGAATATTTTCACGAATGATTATCTTCAATCATCCAACTTGTCTGGACTTTTTTCATGTGACTAGAGATATTTGAGTTAATTTTGTGATTATTTGTTTATAAGTGTATTACAATAAGTTATAAATTTAGATTATATTTAGTGTTGGATGACTTCCTTTTCACAGAGTTACAACCCTTTGACTTAAGGCAAAGGCAATTTGTGTCATTCCACCATTTCTAGTTTTTCCATTAACTCAATTGAGAAACAAATTGGGCAAAAACGAAGTTTAAAATAATTTCATAAGGAAAATCAACCTTTCATCTTTTGTGTGTGTATGGGTATGGGGTATGAATAAGGTTATCCGACTTCGACCTCATTTTCTTGTTCTATTGCTCAAATCTACATATCTACATTTTCACGGTTAAGTCAGTTTTTCAAAAACTTCAAGCAATAGGTCAACTATATTTGGTGTATGGAATGATTGTTAGGTATTCATGTAGATATGGCAGGGTTCATTTGTCCTTCCATCTCATTTTTGTCTCTCCTGCGACAACAGTCCAGGAAAGTGAAACACAGGTATTGCTTTTCCAGCATCTTTGGATGGAGGAGGAGGCATCAACAATTGCTAAGTTTTCTGCCTAATTTAGTTTGATAGGAACTACTTGTGACAGATCAATGATATTTTCTATAAAGTTGCATTGCTATCAGTACATATCAGTTTTACTGCTATTTCGAGGCCCTGCCTCGTAGGTCAAGGTCCAGTGACTTTCAATTAATATGCAGTTTTTAATGTTAAGTTTTCTGCCTAATTTATTTTGATAGGAACTACTCGTGATAGATCAATGATATATGCTATAAAGTTGCATTACTATCAGTACAAATCAGTCTGATGGCTATTTCAAGGTCCTGCCCCCTAGATCATGGTCCAACAACTTTGCATTGATGACATAGGGATTACAATCGGGCAGCGACAGAGTGAACTATTTGTTTAAAGCTTTATATTTCAGAAGGTAGAAGACCTGGATGATTAACACCTTGTATGCAGATGCCTCATGATTAGAAGTTTCCATGAGTCATGTGTCCATTGTCCTTGACCTCTTTTTCATGGTTCAGCAACAGCTTGAAATTTTTTTTATCTTTTTTATGCCCCCGCCGTAGGGGAGGGGGCATTAAGTTTTACCCTTGTCCGTCTGTACGTACGTACGTCCGTCCCAAAATTGGTTTCTGTTCCCTAACTTTAGTTTGCCTCAACCAAATGTTATGAAACTTATACACAATGCTTATTACCACAAAACACAGATCAAGTTTGAATTTTGGTGGCGTCACTTTTACCGTTCTAGAGTTATGCCCCTTTACAAATGGAAAAATTGCTGAATTTTTCGTTTCCTTTCTCTAACTTTAGTTTGTCTCAACCAAATGTTATCATTATACACAACCGTTCTAGAGTTATGCTTGCTTACAAATAGAAAAATTGCTGAATTTTTAGTTTCTGTTCTCAACCAAATGTTATGAGACTTACACACAATGCTTATTACCACAAAACTCAGTTTAAGTTCAAATTTGGGTAGCGTCATTTTTACCGTTCTTCAGTTATGTCCCTTTATAACTATATGATATGTAAGCGGGGGCATCATCTGTGTCCACATGTGGACACTATCCACATTTATTTTGTCATGTGAACTTCTCACTTATTATGAGTAATAATTTGTTATATGGGTTCATTGCAAGGTCTACTGTCCTTCAGATATGGTTCACGAGACCTGGATCTCATTTTATGGATCAGCGATATCAGTTTATGTGGTCAAGTCTGTATCTCGGATATTATAAGCAAAGGTCAACTATAATTTTGGTATGGAATGATTGTAATTTGTGCATGTATAACTGGCAGGTTTCATCTTACCTTGGCCTCATTTTCATGGTTCATTGGTCAATCTTACTTTTTATCTGATTTAATTTATTTTTCAGATGCCATAAGCAATAGGTTAACTATATTTGGAATATAGAAGGATTGTAACATGTACATATCCATCAGACAGAATTCATATGACTTTGACCTCATTTTCATGGTTCATTGGTCAATGTTAAGTTTTCGTTGATTTGTCTCTTAATCAAATACTACAAGCAGTAGGTCAACTATATTTGGTGAATGGATGTTGTCCGACATGGTTCATTGGTCAATGTTAAATTTTCATAATTAGGTCTGTTTCTCTGATACCATAAGCAATTAGGTCATCTCTATTTGGTGTGTGGTTTGATTTTAAGGTGTACATGTCTGTCTGGCAGGATTCATCTGACCTTTACCTCATTTAAATTGATCATTGATAATGTTAATTTTATTTGAAATTTATAGTAAAACCTTCATATTACATACTTTCAAATTAAATTCAATCATTGTTTTTTAATACATGTATCTTGTTTTTGTTTGTTTTCTTAGTGAGAAATGCTAGCATGAACAGAATGTTTTACTATGCATATTTTATTCATTTATAATACATGTACCATTTTGCTAAAATATTTTTTCAAAATTGCACTTTGAATTCATCTCTTCAAACTGGTTAAAAATTTTAGCACATTGCTAGTACATGTTTGGTAGGGTTCATATGATCTTGACCTCATTTTTGTCGAGCCTGCGCCTTTTGTCGAAGAAAGCTCGACATAGGGATAGTGATCCGGCAACAGCGGCAGCCTTAGCTAACTTCTTAAAAGCTTTATATTTTAGAAGGTGGAAAACCTGGATGCTTCATACTTTGTATATAGATGCCTTATGTTATGAAGTTTCTGTCTGTCACATGACCATTGTCCTTGACCTCATTTTCATGGTTCAGTGACTACTTGAAAAAAAAGTTAAGATTTTTTGTAATGTTAATTTCTCTCTTATTATGAGTAATAGGATAACTATATTTGGTATGTGCGTACCTTGCAAGGTCCTCATGCCCGTCAAAACAGTTTTCACTTGACCTCATTTCATGGATCATTGAACAAGTTTAAGTTTTGGCGGTCAAGTCCATATCTGAGATACTATAAGCAATAGGTCTAGTATATTTGGTGTATGGAAGGATTGTATGGTGTACATGTCCAACTGGCAGGTGTTATCTGACCTTGACCTCATTTTCATGGTTCAGTGGTCAAAGTTCAGTTTTTGTGTTTTGGTCTGATTTTCTCATACTGTATGCAATAGGTCTATATTTGGTGTATGGAAAGATTGTAAGGTGTACATATCCAACTGGCAGGTGTCATCTGACCTTGACCTCATACTATATTTGGTGTATGGAAATATTTTATGATGAACATGTCAGTCTTGCAGGTTTTATATGACCTTGACCTCATTTTCACGGTTCATTGCTCAGTATTAAGTTTGTGTTTTGGTCTGTTTTTCTTAAATTATAAGCAATAGGTCAACTATATTTGTTGTATGGAAGGATTGTAAGCTGTACATGTCTGCCTGTCATGGTTCATCTGACTTTGACCTAATTTTCATGGTTCATTGGTCAATGTTTAGTTTTTCTTGGTTAAGTCTGTCTCTTAAACTATAAGCAATAGGTCAACTATATTTAGTGTATTGAATGATTGTAAGGTGTACATGTATTTCTTCTTCGTTTATATGACCTTGACCTCATTTTCCTAGATCATGTTAAGTTTATATGATAGTTGTAGTAAAGCTTTATATTTAGGACAATCAACATAATATAAATGGTTAGTAAAGAAGGTGAGACATTTCAGCGTGTGCACTCTTGTTTATCATATATATGGTTCATTGGTCAATGCCAAGTTTTCTTTGCTTTTGTCAGTTTATCAGATACTTTGAGCAATGGGTCAAATATAATTGGTGCATGGAATTATTGTAAATGTACAGGTCAGTCTGGCAAGGTTCATATGATCTTGACCTCATTTTCATGCTTTCATCAGTCAATACAAGGCTTTTTGTGGTTTGGTCTATCAGGTACTATAAGCAATAAGGCCACTATATTTGGTGTATGGAATGATTTAAGTGTACATGTGAGTCTGGCAAGGTTCATCTGACCTTGACCTCATTTTCATGGATTATTGACAATGTCAAGTGTATACGATACTTGTAGTAAAGCCTTCATATTAAAAAAATTTCAACATATATTTAATTATAAGTAAAGCAGGCGATACATTTCAGTGTGTGCACTCTTATTCTTGTCATATGGTTTTGATTGGCCCCTTGGTTTCCTTTCAATATTTGTTCATAAACACTCAACAGACAGCTACCGTAGAAAGGCTTGTATAGTCCGCAGTTTTATTCTCCAAAATTGGACCTTCCAGACGGGGGGCGGACTATAGAGTACAATAAGCAAGAAATAAGAGAAAAATTTCAATTTCGCGGGCGAGGTGGTTTGTTTACGTTCCGCCATCTTTGTTATTTATATTGTAGAGGGCGCTCTTATCTTTTTTCAAACTAATAATTTTAACTCATCCATATTAATAAGTTATTTCTATTCAATATCAAATTAATACTGATAAATATAAAAACTAAATCTTTCATTACAAATTTCTCGTTTCTTTTCAATGCATTGGTTGAAATAAATTGGTATCTGCTTGATTGAAACGATACAAACATAGTGAAAAAGACAACCGTAAACCAGCTTAGAATTTGTAAACTACAAAACGTAATCGGTTATTGTTCGTTCCGTTTTGGTGTTTCATACTGACTTATATGGTTTGTATTAGCTTAAGACCCTTCAAACATTAATGTGATAGATATATTAAAGACTGTTTTACAAAAGGATGGAACTGTTTTACTTTCAAAGTCGTATTATAGTGATATCTGTTATGTACGGATTTCGACTCTCACCGGTTAATTTCTTCTTTTACACGTGCTTTTTAAACTTCCTGTTTAAACATACACAAGTTTCTAAATTGTTTTTAAAGTGAATTAAACTTATTTTAACAATTATGAAGCGTTCTAGAATCATTTACAAGCAGTTTCAGCTTCTGTTTGATGATGGAAAACAGGTTTTTCCAAGAAAATACCGCAAACGACCGCACAGGATTTGAAATTACCGGAGTTTCATTAGACCTTTTCTAACAGTTACAAAAAGTTTTTTTACCTAAAATTTCGTGGGGAGAAGGGGGTGCGGACTATGTACCAGTGCGAACTATACAAGCCTTTCTACGGTATCTATTTAACCAGATCTACATTTCACGTTTAATGACTTTTTAGTGATTGTGTATAGGTTCAGTTCACAATGGCTATGGTGATAGTTCAATATAGTCTATTTTTATGTGCTTGAACAATATTGATATATATCACAAGTTCCTAGCCTATGTGTCAGGACAATGTACAAGGTTTGTGCACCAATAAAGAAACAGATATATCGTCCAAACATAGTTCAGTTTAGATAAAGCACAATTCAAAATTGGTCACACTGTATCTTCACCTCGAGATGTCTTCATATTTTTTTGTTTTCAAGAATTAGATACCATGTCTCAAAAACATTTATCACAAGGGAAACAAGAACATAAGTATTTGTAAAAATAACCTTTGAAAATCATGAAATATTATAATAATTTGTCATTGTGTCTTTGTAACTTCAATAAGTGACAACTCTACAAATATGTAATAAACTTTTATTTCCACCTTTCATAAATACACTATTCAATGGACCCAAGACATGCGTACTTCTAACAAATGACAAGTTTTCTGCATCAATGCACCAATATATATATATATATTAATTCTCTTAACATTCAATAACAAGTATACTGATTAAAATATTCAGTAAGGTTTGATTGTTCTTGTGGAAGAAAAATTCTAATATTATTTAACAAATACTGAATTTATTCATACATCCATGCCCTCAAAAGGGGGCATGTGTAAATTCAATGAAGAGTTCAGAACTGTTATTGTAAAAGTAAAGAAAATTCTAGATAGAAACAGAATAAAAGTATAAATACAATTATTGATTAGCTATCAAAAACAAAATAGTGAAGATTGCATTAGGAAAAATGACAATTTGAACTGGAAACATAATTTTCATCATTGTTTCTAAATATCCATAAAAAACAGTTCTATGGTATCAAATGTGTGCCTGCAAAGACATCATTGAAAACATGTATGCAATTATTGCAGTTGTCAACCACTCAGTTCCAACCGAATTACACCTATAGTCCTGTCAATCATCATATCAACATCCCTGTTGTAGCATGAATCAAACAATAAATTATAAATCACAGCTTAAGTTTATTTGGTGTAAAAGTAGAGTGAACTAAGTAGAAAAAGAATACCATTAATGAGATGTTCCCACAAAAATGATCAGTTAAAATATACAATTTACAAGACATAAAACAGTTACTCTAATCCATTCATAAGTCCATTCAGTCACTCAGACATCAGCATATATACACCATCTCTCAGGTTTACAATTCTGTTTTAGATTTCTTTGACTTCTTCTTTTTCTTTTCTCCTTCATATTTTAGACCATCTGTAGATTCTTTTTTCAAATATTCTAGAAAATCAGCAACCTCTCGTCCACCCTGAAAAACATTCACGATGGGGTGATTAAGTATTTTAAATCATGCATTTTTTCTAAAATAAAGCAAATATTTTTCCATTGTATGATCTTTTTTTCTTACTTTTTTAAAAGGATGTGAGCAAATATTTTTTTCCATTGTATTATCTTTTTTCATACTTTTTTAAAAGGATGTGTTAATGTTATACAAATAGTAATGATTGATGTCTGCTTAACATCCAGCTGTAAATAATACATGCATATTCAGGATAACAAAACCCTGCTTTGCACTGTACTGAAATGCGGAGTTAGGTTGTTTTTTGCGCTTTGTTCAGATCTGGTAAGCCATACCATTTCCAACTGATTTTTAAAATTTATTCTTATTTGAACTGTTACAACATAGCCCCAGGTAAGGGGAAGGGTTGAGCGCTCACAAACATATGTTTACATTCTTTACATGCCTGTCCCAAGTCAGGAGCTTGTAATTCATTGTTTGTCATTGGTTGCTGTCTGTTATATCTGTTTTTTGTTTATAAATCAGGCCATTTTTTTCGTTTGAATTGTTTCACATTTTGCCATGTCACTGTCTAATAAAGCTGACTATATATATGTGTATGGGTTTTGCTCATTGTTAAAAGCCATCTGATGACCTCAAATTGTTTATATCCATTTTATTTGGACTCTCTTGGATAGTTGTCTCATTGGCAATCATACCACATCTCATTATTTAAAATATTGTGGGGAAAGGTCTTTTACCCAACCGTACATTATTGTTTTTTTTTGTAGCCATTGTACCTGATGACAGATTTTTTGAAATCTTCCCCACTTTTCAAATTTGACCTCAAGTGCTAACAGATCCCTACATGCAAAAACAGCCTATTTATAAAGAATGATACTTACGTTATATTTTTTAGGATTATTTTTGGAATTCTTTGGTTTATAATAAATAGTTGGGAATCTGAAAGTAGAAAATGACAAGTAATGAAGTATGACAAACCAATATAATAATTATAAGTAATCTATATCTTGAACAATTGTTTTCATTCATATTATCTATTTACTATATATTTTTTCACTTAAAATCACCTTTGCTATTTACTATTAAACTATCAATCAAATAAACAAATCAAAATTGCTCAGTAACTCATGGCTCAAATTTCCTTTAACAAATTAGCTTTCAGTGAAAGAACTTAATGTCTTTAAAAGACATTATCAACTGACTGCCCCAAGTGCTCTTATATTGATCATGAGGCCAATTTTCTATAACTCTCTATGGACAATTGAAAATAATCATTCTAAAATCACAGCAAGTGATCTTTCAAAAATAATAAACTTTAATAATCAGAATAAATTAACCTGGTGTGAGTGAGGCAGGTATTTCAAACAGGTAAAACTTCCTGTTTTGTATTTCAATAAAAACATTGATGATTTGTTATTGGTGCTATTAAAATTGGGAGGGCATTTCAAAAGGTTAATGATGATGAAATAAGAAGCATGTTTATTAGATAATTTCATTAATAATTTTGATATGCAAGAATTGACTTATTTATAATCATAATTCAAGGATTATGAAATGTGATGCATGGCTGGACAAAGATTGGGAGTCTTGTCATACATTAATTTGAACAAATAATTGATGCCAGCATAGTTTCTGGTGACAATGTTTCATGCTTGATTTACATGTCCAGTGTACTTACCCTTGAACTTCATATGGTTTAGGTACATCATTTGCTGTAGCATCCATTTTAGCTATAGTTACTCCAGTTTCTTCCTTTAACTGTTAACAAAACATAACAGATTAACACATTGTTCATACCTATGGTCAGAAGTGTGATGATCAACTCATAGAAAATGTGCAGATATTATTTTGTGGTGCATACATTTATAACAATACAGGTAAATACTATTCATACAGTCTTAACCTTACAATTGACAAATACAACCAATGTAGATTGATCAAACAAAAATAAAACCATTTAATTTAGGAGTGTGTAGGAAATTTGATAAACAGTCTCTGTAACCAGCAGTATTTTTAGTTTGTTTACACAGTATTTTGAGTATTTTGTGAGACTAGTTTGTCATGTGTATCCTTTATAAGCCTCCTTAGGATTGTGTGGTTTTTGTTTAAATATACAACTATTCGTTTAAGATTTGATAACTTGTGATCCAATATCAGTGTTCAGTTCAAACAAGTCTCAGGTTAATCCAGTATTTAATTTTCCCTGCACAAGCAGTACATTATGCTATTGAAATTAAACTACAAATTTAGCACAAGTATACATGTTTAATCTGAAGTAAAAGTATTTACCATTTCTCCTAATTCTGCAAATTTAGGTTCTAATGATTTACAATGTCCACACCATGGAGCATAAAATTCTATCAATACGTCTCTACTGTCATCATTTACAATTTCATCAAAATTCTTAGCAACAACAGTCTGAAAAAATATGATAAAGACAATGGTTTATTGTGTTTTATATGCATATATAATCAATTTTGAATATTTTATAGCAATTCAGTATTCTTCATTATCAATAATTTTTAAATGATTAGTATTGCAATATGTTACAGATTAGATCGAGTACAAATATGAAAGCCTTCTGCAATGCTACATCAATTCTCTGGGTTTAAACAGTACTACATGAAACCCCCCTTTGCAGTTTTTCTACTTTTTTTTCTGTGTAAAAGGTTCATGCTAAAATCTTACTACAGTTTGGCAAAATGAAAAACTTCGGACGATTTTGCGAAGTGATGAGACCTTTGAGCAACCTGATCTAAAAAGTACATAAATATGCTTAATGCTAGTTATCTTTTATGCTCTTTGAGTCTTATTTCATTTAAAACCTAATGTAACATTTCACTCAATCATCTTACGCAATTTCTCAATATTTTTTTCTGTATAATGATCAATATTTTATACTTTTACATTAATTACCTTAACGCCTCCAGTGTTATCTTCAGGAACAGGTTCTGATTTCAGGTATGGTTCTAATTTATCGGTTAATAAATCATTCACAAACTTTTCTAAATTATCCATACTGAAATAAAAACATAAATTCATAATTTACTAGACATGGAATTTAAGAGTTTTTGCTACTTTCATGGTGATAAAAAAATCTTGAAAATCTGCCCTTGGATAAATTTGACATTAAAGGAGATCATGTTAAAAAACTAAAACATGAAAATAAAGTCTTGTGAACAGGTTTGGCCCTAGAAATCATGAAATTTTAATTCGATGAAAAAGAAGGTTAAAACCAAATTATAGTATTGTATGAACATAGAATGAAAATGTACAATGTGTACTTAAACCAAACACAGGCCCAAAGTTGTATTAAAGAATAAAATCAAACTTCATCTTAAAATAAGTATTATGCTACAAACCTAAAATCACCAGACATTATATATTTCATATCTCTATCATCTCTGGCACAAATAATTGGCTTATCTCCCTTGACGTCAATCAGTCCAAATTCTCCCAACTCAAAACTGAAGTCTTTATGATTACTGACAGAAAAGTAAATATCTTTTCCTTCACCTTGCAATTTCTTTCCGACTTTCATTACTCTGAAAAAAAACCAATAATCTTTGCATCAGTTCTGTTACTATGGAGATAGAAATGAGAACAGACAAGTGGTAAACATCAATGAAACATAACGATACACATTGTAATTACAACACTATGACCTTAGTCCTATCATTAACTTTCACTCAGAGTCAAACAAGTCTCTGATAATTCATCATTGGTCAAAATATGACAATCATGTGTGTAACTTTGTACTTTTCTCTGTGTATTTTACACACTCTTGCAGGAATAGACTCCCCTCAACAGTTGAAAGTAAAGAGGGCCTTTCATTTTTAAGGTCAATGTTAGTCTGAAAATTTGTACTTCAAATAATTTAACAAAAAAAACCAAAGAACACATATACACTTGGAAGATAAGACCTATAATTTATTTCATGACCTTGTTACAATAACAAAATCATTTTTTTTCCCTATTCTCTTTGATTTTATAATGGATATTAAATTTGGACAAGCTGCTGTTTTACCATGGTAATACTATAATTCTAGTGAATAAACTGGTATTCAGTGAAGAAGTTAGTATTTTCAAATACTAAGATCTTGAAATAGGCCATTCAAAACATGTTCAATGTGATTTTTTTCGAACAAAAGCAACTGTGGTTTTTCAGGACATATAAATCAGAAAACATCCACATGGAAACACATTTTGGTTGGAAAAGGCCATAATATTCTTCTTAAAAGATGTAAATCAAGTTGAGTTCTATTGTACTAATTTGTTTGAATTGTTTAACATTTGTAATTTCTGGGCATTTTATAGCTTGCTATGCTGTATGGGTTTTTCTCATTGTTGAAGGTCGTACAGTGACCTATAGTTGCTAAGATTCTACATCATTTGGTCTCTGGTGGAGAGCTGTCTCATTGGCAATCATACCACATATTCTTATTTTTAGATGCTAAATTTCTATTAAAACTAAAATGTCCCCAAATACTATTATACAATTGATTCATGAAATGTATATGTATATTTTTTAAGCACATTTTTGGTGAAATTTACCTGTTTCTCCAATAATTTGTTCCTTTTTCATTTTTCTCATAATCAACATCATAATAAGCAATAATAAGTGGTTTCTTAAATTTGTCAGCATTGGCTTGTGTTCTGTGTCCACATAAACCAGTTCTGAAAAAGATAAACAGTCATTACTCTTAAGTTAGTCAGAAGATTAAAAACAAAACTAAACCCATTTATTATCATTATCCATCAATGCTTCATCATTAGTCAAAATCAAATACTTGCATCAATTTAATAACTTTATTCCTTATCAAAACAAGACAAGTTTAAATGTTTCTAGCTGCACAGTAAGTTTTATATTTTTAGATGAGTCTTACATCTTTGAAAAAATATATCATTATGGAAATGTCTAAATATAAATTTTGTAGAAGTTTATTAGGCAAACAGTAGCCTCACACTACAAAAAGGTCCATTTCAACTTAATAAACTGTTTACACATAGATATGCCTCATCAGTAACCGAATCACAAACTTTAAATAGTTGTAACTGCAGCCAACTCCCAAAACATCACAAATAAATCTAACTACTTTGACTTTGGTTGCAGTGAAACAAAAACTTTGAATGGCCTTCATATTTAATATTTTGTTTACAAAGCTTATACTGGTGGACTAGGTACAGTCTATACAGCAGTCAGTATCTTGGCATTGCAAGGATTAAAAGGATACATTTTGTCAGTAAATTTCCAGTTCATTAAACAATTTTATTGTGTTAAGATTGAAACATTCTCATATAACCTTATACAGATTTGGCTTTATCCGTATACAGATTTGGATGTGCTGTACATTGTTTGTTAGAACTCAGTTTCAATTAACAGTGAGATGTAGACAAAACAGAATATATAAATTCTTACAAGAACACACAACTGAACTTTGACCTCAGTCCTATCATTCACTATCACTATTTATCAATGATATATCGGCTATGAGGTTCATCATAGGTCAAAATCCAATAATACTGAATGCCACAATTCCTTATTGTAATAATTTTAAACCAGTTTTAAATAAAAAGTCGCTCTTGTGCATCAATTCAATTTAATTTCAACCAAAGACTTAATTCAAGGATGTGAAAGTATACTATGATAAGAAATGCTTGTATAGCAGAAATATTATCCTTACAATGATGAAGATAACCAATTCTTTATTTTATCTACGTTACTGCTGCCACCATATTTCTGTTGTGCATCTTCAAATTTACTTCTTAAATGTTTAGGTTGGAAAAGAATGATGTTGCTGTAAAAAAAGATATAAGCAAATTGATTAACTAAAATAAAAGATAACATTTCAGGTAAAATAATTCAAACTTTAAAGAAATTGTGCATTTATTCTTATTCTTTAACCACAAATATATCTTATTCTTTAACCACAAATATATCTTATTCTTTAACCACAAATATATCCTATTCTTTAACCACAAATATATCCTATTCTTTAACCACAAATATGTCTTATTCTTTAACCACAAATATATCCTATTCTTTAACGACAAATATATCTTATTCTTTAACGACAAATATATCTTGTTCTTTAACCACAAATATATCTTATTCTTTAACCAATAATATAAAGTAAGCAAATGCTTGTATAGAACTGTCCATCTACATTGTAATTTACCGTTGATTGATGGTTGTTGGCTATTTGTCCACTAAGAAAAAGTTAATGTATTGACATGCGGATGTATGTTCTACTTCATTCACATTGACAAAAAAAATGTATCCATATTTTTTAAGAACTTTGTCAATTTTTGACTCAACTTGAGATCAAAGTTACAACCCTCTACCTGTATTACAAATAGAAACCTACTCAGTGTATCCATATTTATCAAGTACAGCTTTGGCTGTTGTATGACCAAACTTGACATCAGTACTCATAGCATCAGCTGCTTTCTGGAAAGCTTTAGCTAGTTGACTTTCTCCATCAGAAAAGAACCCTAAAATACAATGTACATCATGTTGTTCATTGATAACCTGTCAGATGAAGCAAGCCAATATCAGGAGAAAAATATGGATGTGTAGTGTACATTTCATTCATGTTAATAAATATGAGTAAAAGAAAAATCTTGTATCTTCGCCATACTGTACATTTTTTTCATGAAAAAGTCAATAAAACAAATAACTAATCCATAAACTCAACTATGGAAAAATATTCATCTAATGACAAAACAGTTCTAATAACTCCTGTGGTACACACATTCTTGAATGTAAGTGTTGTTCTGTCATTCATTTTTCTATATTTGAATGTTTGGATAAGTTATTCAATAATTATCAATAATAAATATCTATACACTTTAGTTTGAAAGACAAAGCAAACTACTGATTTATTATTTTTGTCAACATTGTTTAAAATTAACAAACGCACATAGACTAAAAGGCCAGCAAAAATTTTATGATACATTTCTCCACTAATGTCAGTGAAATTTTGAAATATTTAAAATGCTTTTCATGTCTCAGGTTTCAATTTTGGAAATTTAAATAACGTTAGTTGGATATTATTCTTTTAACTTGATATAGTGGTAGATTCTATATTCATACTGAAAATTCATAAAGAATGCAACAAAAACAAAAATATTTGCAACCTACCAGCTACTACATAATCTTTTTTAGACAGAAATTTCTCAGCTTCAGCTACTGATGTTAATTCTTTAGAGGATGGTCCAGCTTTGGATGCCATTAAACTGACAATACCATCTGTAATAAAAAAAATATTGTGCAATCAATACATCCTTTCAATCAAATCAGATATCATTACACATTCAAATTTACGGCCAAGTCTCTTGATTTTGTTATGACTTATGAATAATTAAATTCTTTACATTACATTCTTTCAACATGTTCAATATGGAACCTTTGTTTCCTTTGTTATTTTGAAAACCAAAAAGTAAGTCAGATAAATACTTCATCAGTTGAAAATACTTCTAAATCAAACATGAATATATGAAAAAAATAGGTACATGTAGCTCTTTTCACTTAAAATTTTATGACTAAAATTGATTGTAAGTGATACTGAAATAATCCTTATGAGAAATTGTTCATGTAAGACGTTTTCTGAAATAAATCACAGTTTATTATCATTATAGTGTACTGATCTGTATAAAAAAAGCTTTTATACTAAACACTATACCTGTGTAGTATGTTATTCTGTCCATACCATCAACAAATAAAACTGGTTCTCTAAAAACAATGTGGGACATTTTCACATTCATAACATTGGGGACATATTTAAGACAATCCAGCTTAAGAAACTTAGTCAGACATGCATTTACGAGTAATTTCTTCTTCAATTTTACATGAAAAAGGCTACAGCTATTGAATATAATACCTAAATCAATTTTAGTAAATAATAACCAAATTGTTCAGCATCAATAAAAGTTCTGCTCTACTAACAACTGCTTGCATTTATTAATTTGTTTGATCAGGAATAGATCACACTTTTCATGAATTCAAAATGAAAAACTCTCTTTGCTGATCCCAAAGTAGTATAATATATGAATAGAAATAATTGTGCCCTTTGTTCCCATGGATAGGTTTCCTATTTTCAACTTGCCACTTTCAAACTGAAAGCAAATATATAACTCTCCTTTTTATACATTTTTAATTAAATTTACGCAATCCTTTTTTTCCATCATTCTCATTCTGTCAAAGCTTTCAAATTGCTAATGTCTAGAACACTCCTTTAATAATTTGTGGGTTTTTTTTGTGTACAAGTTTCATAATTTTTCTTAATGGACATATATACATACCAGCTTCTCTTGGACCACTGTATTCCTCAGCAAATTCACCATTACGGAAGATTTTAAGAGTTGGATAACCACTTACTCCATACTTGGAACAAACTTCAGTACTTGCTGTACAATCAACCTAAAAGAGTGAAAATAGAGTAAGAAATGACTTATAAAAATAATGTTCAGACTTTTGAATATTGAGCAATCACCAATCAATCATTATTCAGTTGCAAGCAAAACCTAATGTAATCAAATAACATTAAATATAGGGTGAAAAGGATCCAATGACTGATGTCCAAGCAAATTCAAAGTAAGGCTCAAAATCAACCATACATGTACATCTATCCCCCAATGAGGTTATTCCTTTAATCAATGATAAAAACATTAGTTACATTTGTCTTTATAATCTCAAGTCTTACAAATTTGAGTGGTATACATAAGGTGTATTTTTGTCATATTAAATTAAGAAGAAATGGTACATGTATGCGCGTGTTGATATCCCTTAATTAAAATGTCAAAATTCAAGTTGTAACAATTTTTAAACATGTGTACATATTTATACATTAATATATTATCTTCATACTTTAGCCAATGCAACTGGTGGGTCATTATCTAATAGTCTTGTAGCTGCTTTTTCATATTCAGGGGCTAATTTCTTACAATGCCCACACCTACAAAATAAAAATGTGTCATGTTAAGAAGCTTTTATTTATCATGTTTATCAATGCTACAATTTAAGCAATTTTTAATCATTGCAATAATTTCCGAATTTTCTGAAGTTGAAATCCTTCCTTCGAAAATTTTACGGACACCATTAGGAGTTGGTTGACCATTATGGAATATCTGTTTCACAGATGACAACGGATATGTCCTAATAAATTGAAACCACAATCCTGTCCTCATTTTCCCAGAATGTGACCCACCGAATCAGACATCACCAGGTTTGTACTTACATGAGCAACATAAAGTGTGCCACATGTGGAACAGGATCTGCTTACCCTTCCAGAGCACCCGAGATCACCACCGGTTTTTGGTGGGGTTCGTGTTGCTGTTTTTATTTTTCAATGCTTATGTTTGTCTATTGGTCTTTTTCTTTTTCAGCCACAGCATTGTCAGTTTATTTTCAACTTACGAGTTTGAATGTCCCTTTAGTATCTTTTGCCTCTTCTATAATCTTCAAAGCAATACATTAAAGCAATGACCGTCAAATCTATATACAACTTATTATGTATCTACTAGTTGGACATTCTGGTATCTTAAGAGTAAGATTTTGTATATATGCAAATATTTCTAGCTGTCAGTGAAGATTTATAGTTAGTAATGGATTTGACGAAATAAAAGCTCCCAAGGATTGAAACTTTGTATAACTATAAATTTCTGGATAGCTCAGTGATTGTAAATATAAAACAACCAACAAAAAACGAACAGTAGTCTTTTTTTTTTTTTTTTGATACATGTCATTTTTGGATGATTTTTCTACTTCCACTTCTACTTTGTAGTGACCGCATTCAACACGTTGAAGTTTATGTCACTTGTACTAAGCATGGCTTAATGGAGACCTATATACAGTGAAATTTAACAATTTTATAATTATCATAATTAATTGAAATTTGTTGAATAAAATATGTTGAAGACGAGCAGATTACGATATTTGAATTTTCTATCTTTCCTGGCTAGTCTTCTTTATAATTCAGTGTCATTCAGCACTCCATCAACATACTGATGATAGATAACGTGCCTGGCACTGATTTTACTATGCTGCAGTTTTTGCATTGTTGTGGAAAATAATAAGACGATCAAAATTTATAAACAACTGTTTATTAATGTAATATAATATGGATAAGAGCAAGAATACAATTTATTAGAAAAATTAAGTTACAATTTTACAGAATATTTACTAAATAAAGTTTTAGAAAAAAAGGGGGGTCATTCCCGAAACGCCTGGGAATTATTCTATAAACACTTCATAAAAAATCTTAATAAAGCAAGTTGACAACCATAGATATGTGAACCATCAACTTAATTTCTGGCAACGATTGATTAGTATCAAATAACATAAATATACATTAAAAAGGGGGATGGGCAGGACACCGGTCTTACCAAGGAGCAAAAAATTCCACCAAAATCAAATCATGCTGTGCTGCTTTTGATGCAAAGTCTGAATCTGTGAATTCCAGCACATCACTTGCTAAAGCTATCGCTGTCAATGATAAAATACACAGAATGGACTTCATTGTTACTCTACAAAACACCGGTTATGTGTATGAGTACTTCTAAATAAAACGTGTAGTAGAGTTCGTGTGCTGTCGATCATTGATTGGTCCAGATATGCACTTCCGAAGGACGGAAAATGTCGAAACCAGACGAGTTTTATCGAAATTATCCGAACACTGTCAAACCAAGAACTTACAGACACGTCAGGAAGAAGCGATTTTTCATTTTAATTATAATGAATACTATCTGACAGAGTTAGATAAAGCACACACAGAACTTATGTGGTGACATTGATAAATATGTGTAACGAAGCAGACAGATAAAATATAGGTAGCATTCTCGGCTACTCGTTTTTGTTTTCGTTTTTTTTTCTGAGCTATATTTTTTCCTAGTTTTTTTTTTATATATATTCTATAATATTTTCAATGAAATCCTCGACGAGGGCTGCATATCACAAGGTTCCGCCTAGTTGCCAATTTCTTGTATTATATGTCTTTGTCTATATATCAGTATATCTATTGACTATTTAACTGCCAACCTCTTTAAATGGAAACTGAATTACAGATTATTGTACATGCCATAATTGATCATGTTTTCCAATCAAGAAGGAGTCGGGAAGCCTTCTAAACACAAGAATCTGACACTATTCTATTTCATTATATTTCATAACTGTTTTCCCCCGTTGTTCTCAATACATTACTTTTTGGCCCATCATTCTCTATAATGTTAATCCCATCCAGACCCTCATATAATATTCAATAATAGACATCTGTCTATAGAGGCCATAGTTTGTGTCAACTCTTAATCAAGTCCTGTGCCTACATAAATCTAAACAAACTGTCAATAATCTGCCGATATGCAAACTGACTATCGGTGAAGGGGTTAATCTACTTACATATATAATTAATATAGTCATCATAGATATATATATATAGCCAATAACTAATTGAATTTAATATACGCCAATAAGAATTGAATATACCGACAATAAGAATTTAATATATTTAATATATGCCAATGTGGGATGACTACAAATTTCAGTCATAAATACCTTATTGTATTCTAGCTCAATTCTGGCTTAGCTTTTACTAGCCGATCTCGTAAAGGTTTCAATTTCAATTTCTGTGTATGATTAAGATATTTAATAAGAATCCTTTATGGGCAATTTGACATTGACATAAACTGCCATTACACAATAAATCGTTACACAATGAATTTTAAATTGTTCATACAGTCATGTATAAATAAGTTTCACACATATAATAAATTGCTTCGCTGAGCGCAGCTGGATACGACCGCAGAGGTCCAACCCTGAACAGTTGGGGCAAAAATGGACACAATATTTGCGTTTGATACAGGTCTGAATTTGGATTGTAATTAAATATTTGATACATAATAGGTTTCTGACACAGAATAACTGTAGTCAAAGAACTTAGAATTGGTTATATGATTTGAATTTATATTCAATTTTTTGCCTTTGTGCAATACATTTTGCTGTTGCGTATTGACCCCCCCCCCCCCACTTTTTTTTTGCCAAGTTTTCTTTTTAATTTCTGAAATCTTAAATGAGAAAAAATTGACCCCCCACAATTTCTTTTTAACCCCCCCCCCCCCCCCAAATTTTTTTTCACCTCCTCCCTTTTTCCCCCCAAAAAAATTCTTTCCCTCAAGATATGGTCATAATCTCAATTCAAATTTCCAATGGAGTTTGCAACCATAATTACCCATTTAAATACAGCATAAAAGTCTTAAAATAGTAAATGACATACATAATCATGGCTAAAATTAATAGTATCTTCTAAAAATAAATCGACAGCTAATCATCTTATGACAATACAACATTTCTTTATGCATAATTTAAAAGCAGTATAAGGGAGGTAATCAAAACGTTGTGTTTGGATTACCTCCCTTACACTGCTTTTAAATTGTCTTTATTGTCCATTAACCAGGAAACCCTTGTTTTCTCCCTTTTTTGCCCCTAATTCCTGAACTGTTTGAGCCATAACCCCCCAAAGCCAATCCTAACCATCCCTTTGTGGTATGGAAACTTGTGGTATAATTTCAGAGAGATCCATACACCGTTCCACAAGTTATTGTCTGGAAGAAAAATGCATATTTGGGCCCCTTTTTGGCCCCTTATTCCTAAACTGTTAGGACCATAACCCCCAAAATCAATCCCAACTTTCCTTTTGTGGTTATAAACCTTGTGTTTAAATTTCATAGATTTCTATTTACTTATACTAAATTTATTGTCCTGAAACCAACTGTCTTCGGACGACGCTGACGACGACGACGTCGTCGTCGTGATACCAATATTATGAATATACGTCGGACCACAAATTTTTTTTGCGGTCGTATAAAAATGCAACAAGAATATAATTTGTGCTGAATTGAAACTGTGTTGGGCAAAATCTTGTCACTTGGATAATTTCTGCTGAAAATTTTTTCTGCATGATGGCTTTAGAGATAAGTTAGGTAAAAATGCTAAAATTTCTGGCTATGTGGAATTATTTGTTGTACGTTCTAATCAACAGTTGATTTTTTTTTCAGTTCTAAATATCTCTATTTTAGTTTTCAAATTTATAGCCAAAACACAAAAACGGTAAGAATCACCATTCAAGGTCAATGATTATAAAAGGGAGACTGACTACTTCTGACATGTCGACTTATTTATAGATCTTTTTACAATTTACACTATAGTTTCTGCAATAAACACAACGACATAAGAATTGGTGAATTTAAAATCTTCATACAAGGGCAATTACTTCTATAAGGGATCAAATGACGATTTTGGCCTTGTTGACTTATTTGTAGATTTTACTTTGCTGGTCATTTTACTATCAAATATTCCTTGTATCTATAATGGTTTTCAAGATAATAAAAAACAGTGAAAATTGCCTTTAATAGACATTTCACGAGCAATAACTTCAAAATGGGATATAATATATAAATTTATAAACTATAGATTGGCCTAAGGAACATTCATGTCAAGTTTCGGGTAACATTCGACTAGGTAGTTTCAGAGAAGATTTTTCCAAAAGTTTACGACGAGAGACGACGACGACGGACACCAACTGTTGGCAATAACACACATTTCTCTTTAGACAAGGTGAGCTTTAAAAGAGGAACAGACTAACTATCCGCTCCACAAACTGAGCGACATGGAGCCATTCAGCGGACATGTCAATAAATCATATCATTTATTCCCCCTCGTTTGTTAGAACATATAAACAAATCAATAGAACATAAAGATTCTTTATTAAACTAATAATTGAATTTATTTGAGTCGTTGTTTTTACTTAATCAATTATGGTGTATACGTAACAGATGGTCTGTGTCTTCTGAAGTCATTATAGGGTCTCGATGGGGGTTATTCACTTCTGTATTCTTAATTTTCAATGCTATTTTTCTCTATTCTTTATTTTTTGCCCATTATTCTCTATTCTTTATATATTTCACCACCCCCTTATTCTCTATTCGTTATTTTTGTGGCCTATTTTTTCAATTCTTTATATTGTTTGGCCTTTATTCTGCACTTTCTGCCCATTATTATCTATACTGTAAACCCCATCCAGACCCTCAGTCATGATGGTGTATTTGTTGAAAAGAAACCTTTCAACCAAAAAAATGAAAAAAAAAAGAAATTTGTCTGACACCTAAAATTGGAAATTATTTTTATACTGTACAAGCTGGGACCAGTATAGATTGACGTAATGGTCTAAGGTTCACGCTTTCCGTCGAACCATGAAATGTGGAGTATATACGGTTAAACGAGACATACACCCAATAACACATAAAAACCAGCATAAGGTTTGTGTCCAAATCAATGGTATATATGTAGGACTCAGATCTATGTAGGGTTCCAGATCTATGGCAGATTCATAATCTATGGTAAATATGACGTCATGCCTTCCCCAATTTATGGCAGATTTTTTTGAATTCAATCTATGGCAAATTTTTGGTTTCCTAATCTATGGCGAATTTTTAGTTTTCAAATCTATATGGCAGACTCTCTGCAAATGAAGGACCAGTCAGTACGTATCATATAGGGCAACACCAGGAACGAGAGAACAAGAAAACAAGGAGCAGAAACAAACACGAAATATAAACACAGAAAACACCAAAAACATGTTCATTTGCCTGAAATTACCTGCACTAGCGATTTTGCTGCTACGAATGACGATAGGTTTGTTCGCTAGTATTCTTCTTTCATCCGAATCAGATGATTACATCTTCTCATTTGCAGGGATTTCCGTTAACGTAAACTTGAATTCTAAAATACTATTTAAGGTGGTACCAAACACCTTCACTAAAATTGATTTGGCTCGTTTAATTTTCATAAAATTTTGACAAAATACTTACTTTGACCCTTTGACAAAAATATAAAAAATTCAAAAAAACTTGAACCACACACTTTATCGGAAAAATTTCATTGGATATATAGCAGTTTGACAAGCACTAATTTTGATCTTTGAGAAGCTTAATATTTCCTTAACAATAGAACGTGATTAAAACGTTCAGCTGATTTTTACAGGGTAAGCTCCCTGTAGTGTTATGTACCACCTTAATTTATGAATTAGGGGCCTTGAAAACTGGCCTTTTCTGTTCCTTCTATAAAAAAATGTAACAAAACCGTCATCGTTAGCGGCGGCGTGGACTTTATTTAATTGTGACGTTATAATTTACTCATTTCCCCGAAAAATTACGTCATACAAATATATGAATATCAAAATCTGCCATAGATTTATGATTTGTTTGGCGTTTTTGACGTCATATTTACCATAGATTAGAAATTTGCCATAGATCTGGAACCCACCATAGATTTGAGTCCTATACATATATAACAAGAGTGCACACGTTGAAATGGCTCGCCTGCTTTACTGACCATTGATTTTATGTTGATAATCCTAAATATAAAGCTTCACTACAAGTATCACATAAACTGACATGATCCTAGAAAATGAGGTCAAGGTCAGATAAACCAAACCGGAAATACATGTACGCCTTACAATCATCCATACACCAAATGCAGTTGATCTAATTGCTTATAGTTTCTAAGAAACAAACTAAACCATGGGAACTTAACATTGATCAATGAACCATGAACATGAGGTCAAGGTCAGATGATACCTGCCAGACAGACATATACACCTTACAATCATTCCATACACCAAATATATAGTTGACCTATTGCTTATAGTTTAAGAAAAACAGACCAAAACACAAAAACATAACACTGAGCAATGAACCGTGGAAATGAGGTCAAGTTGAAATAAAACCTGCCAGACTGAAATGTACATCGTAAAATATTTCCATACACCAAATATAGTTGACCTATTGCATATAGTATTAGAAAAACATTCCAAAACACAAAAACTTAACTTTAACCACTGGACCATGAAATTGAGGTCATGGTCAGATGACAACTGCCAGTTGGACATGTACACCATACAATCATTCCATACACCAAATATAATAGACCTATTGCTTAAAGTATCTGAGATATGAATTTGACCACGAAAACCTAACCTTGTCCAGGTCTTCTACCTTCTGAAATATTAAGGTTTTATAAGTAGTTAGTAACGACGCCGCCGGATCACTATCCCCATGTCGAGCTTTCTGCGACAGATGTCACTCGACAAAAACAAGAAGATGTGGTATGATTGCCAATGAGACAAATCTCCAACAGAGACTAGATGACATAGAAGTTAACAATTATAGGTCACCGTAAGGTTTCAACAACAAGCAAAACCCTTACCGCATAGTCAGATATAAAAGGCCCCGAAATGACAAATGTAAAATAATTCCATCAAGAAAACGAGAAAACTAACGGTCTGATTTATGTACAAAACAATGAACGAAAAACATATATGATAGAAAGCAACAAACGACAACCACTGAATTACAGGCTCCGTTGCGGGGTTAAGCATGTTTTAAGTTGTTTACTTTGTCATATTGTACAGAATACGAAAGATCTCCATACCTCAGCGAAGAAACACATTAAAATAATTTTACTATACGAATTCTCATAGTTACTGAAAACAGTTTAATTCTAATGTTGATACTCGTACAAAAACATGCTGTGAGAATGTTTTAGCTGTTCTGCTCAATCTAGTTAAAATTTAGATCTCTGGTTTCGTTATACTCATTCGAAGAGTAAGCGAGTAACGATCGGTTTGAATTTTAATCAGATTGCTAGCGCTGTTCTGCTTAGACCCTCAGTTTGGTTTTTATCTTATCGAACATTTGTATTTTTGGCCGCCTTCCAAACTTTTGGTTTTTGTGCTACCGAAAATTTATATTTTTTGGCCTTCCAAACTTTTGGTTGCGAGCGTTACTGAAGCACTGGTAATATATGTTGGCAATGCGGCATGCAAATGCAATCATTTGTCTTTTACTGAGCCTATTATTACACAAACTAGCAAAAAGTGCTAGTTCCGCAAAAATGGACGCCACACTAAATTCCAAAACATATGTATACTTCACAAGCAATGTATTGTATCTACAGTAAGGGACTAATATCTGACCCACTTATTATACGGTACGAGTTTTTCTTATTGTTGAAGGCAGCTGTACAGTGTCCAGTACTGCATGACGTTGTTTGTATCGTTTTTAAAGGCAGTGCCTTTAATGGTCATGATCAGGCAGGGACAGTCTATACTAACGGGACTGGTCACTTATAACAATGTCTATACAATTTTGCAGACAGAACTGTGCCGTCGCTGATGTCACGTGACTTCATAGCAAATCATTTCACATTTACGAAGTGTTCTTCATAACTATATGTTCAAGTTTAATGAAGTAACATTTTTATGAAATTTTATACATTTTGTCATTGCAAAACGCTGTTTTTTAAAACATTTCACGGATAGTTTTTTGAATATAGATCTTTGAACTTTAAGGTATTTTGTTAGTAAATTTCGAGTGGCCGCCATCTTGTTCAATATGTAACCCCCTTTGTACGACTGCAGTGTTCTTCAAAACGATATGTCTCAGTTTAATAATTTAGTTAGTATAGACTGTCCCTGGATCAGGCAATAGCCATTTCGTTTCTACGTGGGGGGTGTATACGTCATCATAAAAATCCCGAAAAGTGGAATTCTGTCCTCTTCTATTTGTGATATTCTATATTTTTCATTGTAATTCTTTGACACTGGACAAGAATCGAACGGTGTTTTCTGTTGGTTTTCAAAACTTTCGATAGAGTTGCATTTTGCATTATGAGCACTCAACCGATTGACATACCGGAATTACATAAAAATCCATGTGAAAGAGTTCGGGTTTATTTCGAGTGGTATTTTAATCTTAAGTTGTTTTAAGATTGCTTCAGTCGTTCAAATAATAATGAAAAGTCGACTGAACTATGCCTTGTCGCCACATGTCAATAATAACGCACCTTTCTCGGGAATCCTATAATTTTTCTTTTTCTTATCAGCTGTAAATTTAATTGGGCGTGCAAGCTTAAGGTAAATACATGAAGGCTGTATTTAGTTCAAGATTATAACTTAAATCTCTTTGGGTCTTGCAACAGATAAATTGGACACAACTGCTAAGTAGAAGCTGTATATAGTTCTAGATTATTACTTATACTAGTATGTGCTTTGGGTTTTGAAACAGATCAATTTTAAATACGTGCTAAGCGGAAGGCTTGATCAAGTTCAAGATTATGAGATGTGTGGTTAGGGTTTTGAAACATATAAATTGAAAAAAACTGCTAAGTGGGGGCTGTAAAGTTCATTATTATTATGTTTGTTTTTGCTACATATTAATTGGAAACAACTGCCAAGTGAGAGCCTGTATTAAGTTCAAGATTATAATTTATGTGTGTTTTGGGTTTTGTAACAGATAATTGTATTAATAGAAACAACTGCTACGTGGGAGCAGAGACATATAATACAATTGTATTATGTGTCTATATGTCTCTGGTGGGAGGCTGTATAAAATTCAAGATTAAACATTTTTTTTTTTGGTTTTGCAACAGATAAATTGGAAACAACTGCTCAATTGGAGGTTGTTTTGAATTCAAGATTATTACTTATGTGTGCTTTGGGTTTTGCAGCAGGTAAATTGGAAACAACTGTTACCTGGGAGGCAGTATTTAATTCAAGATAATAATATAACAGATACTACCTTTTATCTATTTTAGTGCTGAAGTCTGGGAAGAATTAACAAGAGGCTCCCAAGAGCCTGAATCGCTCACCTGGTAAAAACGTGCCATTTAATATTTTTTTTTTTTTTCAGTTTAAAGGCAGTAAATAGTATTACTAGTGTGATAATTTGGCCATGTTGACTTGCTTGCAGATCTTATTTTGCTGATCATTTTTGCTTTTTGAAGTTTCTTTCTAACTCCAATAGCTTTTGACAAAAATGCAAAAAAAAATATTGGATAAAAATCATCATTCAGGGAACATAACTTCAATAATGAGTCTGTTGAAAGTTTCAGCCAGGATGGCGGATTTGTAGATCTTATTGTGCTGAATAGTTTTGCCTTTTGTACTGTTTCTTACTATCTATTTTAGTTTGAGCAAAAACGAAAAAAGCTAAAACAGAAAAAAAAACATCTTTCAAGGGCCTAAAAGGAGTCAGTTGACAATTTCAGCCATGTAGACTTATTTGCAGATCTGATTGTGCTCAAAATATTTGTTCTTTACAGTTTCTTTCTATCTATACTGAGTTCTGCCCAAAAAAAAATATATGAAACAATGGAAAAAAAACATCTTTCAAGGGCAATAACTCCTGATAAATGAAAATTTTGGTTAATTGACTCATTCGTAAATCTTATTTTGCTGAAAACTTGCTGTTCATAATTTCTATCTATCCTTTATACTTTCTGCCAAAAAAAACATGCAAAAATGAGAAAATTAGTCTTTCAAGGGCAAAAACTCTTATAAGGGGTTATTTGACAATTTATCCAGTTTGACTTATTTGTTGATTCTATTTTGCTAAACACTTTTACATCTGACAATTTCTATCCATCTATTACAGTTTCAGCTAAAAATGAGGCAAAATTAGTCTTCCAAGGGCAATAACTGCTATAAATGACATTTCAGGGGACATAACTCCAACATAAGTCTGAATTTTCTGAAAATTTCTCCGGTGAAAGACATTGACCTGCTGGTCAATTCTATATCATGTCAGATTGCTCTAAGTGCTTTAGTTTTTGAGATATAAAGACAAAAACTTTGAAGTTTACTAAAATTATACATTTCAGCGGCAACAACTCCATACTGAGTTGTCTAATCTCTCTGAAAATAAAGCAGTTTGTAGACCTTGACCTGCTGATCATTTTCATCCCGTCAGATTTGCTCTATCTGCTTTAATTATACATGTTATAAGCTAAAAAAATATCTTTTTACCCCTAAGATTTATTTTCAGCCATGGTGGCCATGTTTGTTGACTGACCTAAATAAAAAACAAAACCAAATATACTAGGTACCCTAAGGATAGATCAGCCCAAGTTTAGTTGAAATTGGTCCAGTGGTTGCAGAGGAGAATATCTTTGAAAAAGTTTACATCGATTTGATGGACAGACAACGGAAGTGAAGGGATGGCAAAAGCTCACATGACCTTTTAAGCTACTGCTGGGTGAGCTAAAAATGTCACCTTGTACCTGTTTATTAGGGGATACTCCATTAATATTGACACATGAGAAGTTTATGTTCATAGAAACTTATCAGGGTTAATAGTGTCAAAATTAAGCTTCTTGTTTTTATAAGAAATTCAAACTTTTCGTATAAGAATTGATATGATTTCTTTATATTTACCTGTTTGGGGGTTTGGACTTATTATTTGTCAATTATATGGCTTTTGTGTAATGCATCATACCAAACAGCTTGATGAAATAAAAAATAAGCATTTTGTTACATGACTGTACAGAACATAATGCAAGTTAAAATACACAGCACATGAAGTAATTTAGAATGTGTGTTGATGTATATATTCTTTGCAGCTCAGTCTGTGTATTATGTAGGACATAAGCATACTCCTGATTGTGGTTTCAAAAAATTCATCCATTATCAAATTTTCCATTCAATTATTATTGTTTGCTAGAATTTAGTGCATTTGTTTATATAATCAGTGCATTATATCTAAAAGCTATCATTTATTTTGATTCATGTTCCTGACAAAAGTACAAAAACACTATCTGTTCAATAATTTTCTTGTGTACTTTTTCAGTTCATTGTTGGAGTTTTCCTGTTTTTCACTTATCATTTGTTGTTGGATTGCTGTAACATTGCCATTAATTTCATATCTTTGATGTCTGCATATGATGAGTTTCTATCTTCTAAATTATAAAACCAGAGACATATAATACAGTCTCTGATAAAACTATATAATATAATACTATTTATGTAAATGAAACTGACACAAAAGTGACAATGTGGAAAATCAATAATTCATAATTCTGTTGTCATTTCTGGCATTTGAAAATCAATTTCCTCTTGATGGGATAAAGTTGATTTGATTGAATCTCTCAAATCCCTTCTTTTGATAGCACTATCATCTGGGACCACTGTCAAATATTCGCTATTCTCCATTGTGTGTCCATTTGGTTGGTGAATGTCAACTGAAACAACACCATTTATTGCAGGACTTGCAGTGTTTGTTGATTGGTCTCCATCTCTTTTTCTCCTTTGAATTTGTGAGTCAACTAAAGATACATATGTTCTTATAGAATCATTAAAACTTGCATCTCCTTTTATTATACAACCAGGACAAACATGTTTTTTGTCCATTACAGTTCCGGAGATATGTCCCATATTTTCCCTCTGGGATCTTTCAGAAACAACAGTTAAATAATCATTTCTATCAGCTGTATAACATCTATCACAGTTTTGACTTTTATTTCCATTTATTCCATTTATTTCATTCTTTTTATTATTTGCATGCCTTTTTTCTGGCTGATTTTGATTCTCTTTTGAAACTGGTACCATATACCCATCATTGTCAATTCCATGCCTAACAGGTTTTATGTTATTGTCTATGCTGGCATATCTTGGATTTGATATAACACTTGCTCTCAGATCCTGATTTTCCCGAGATGCCCCGCCCTGTATTTCTAGTAATGACAAGGGATTTTCAGCATGGACTGATCCATCACTTAACTGTCTGATAATATTAGCATTGCTGAATGAATGTTGACTAAATGAATTTCTTTGCCATTTCCCTTTTGTGAAACCTTGTCTGCATTTAATTAGGACAATTATTAGAATGACCACAGCTACGAACAACACTGTCACTACTATCCATACCCATGTAATGTTCTCATTTTCCTTCGATTGAGTACCAGTTATAACAGTAGAACTTCCTGTTGAAATGTCAGTTGTTGAATATAAACTTTCAAATTCAGGAGTAAGAGCTGAACTTTCTTTTGAAATGTCAGTTGTTGAACTGAAACCTTCTGGTTCAGGAGTAGGAGTTGAACTAACTGTTGAAATATCAGTTGTTGCACTTAAACCTTCTGATTCAGTAGTAAGAGTTGAACTTATTGTTGAAATGTCAGTTGTTGAACTTAAACCTTCTGGTTCAGTAGTAAGAGTTGAACTTATTGTGGAAATGTCAGTTGTTGAACTTAAACCTTCTGGTTCAAGAGTAAAAGTAGAACTTACTGTTGAAATGTCAGTTGTTGAACTTAACCCTTCTGTTTCAGTAGAAAGAGTTGAACTTATTGTTGAAATGTCAGTTGTTGAACTTAAACCTTCTGGTTCAAGAGAGAGAGTTGAACTTACAGTTGAAATGTCAGCTGTTGAACTTAAACCTTCTGGTTTTGGACTACTTACTACACTGGTAGTTTTAGTAACTGTAAAAAAAAAGAATATGTTGGTGTTATAAGAACTGGTACATTTCCCAAACCAATACAAGCAGAAATAACAGAAGATGGCAATACTAAAGTTAGTCTAAAGATTTTTATCTTAAACAACAATTTGACAATTGTTTTTGAACCATAAACTAAAATGTATTTATATAAGAATTACTTGTATTACTTCCCATTTGTTTATTCTTGTAGTTGTATACATAACAAATTCTTTAATAAAATGTGTTAACACTATAGGACCATCACCTGACCTGAGTTATCTCCCATGTTTTTCGTTCCTGGAGTCTTTCAAAAACAACACAAAAACCCTGTTTAGTACATTTGTAGTGACCTTTACCAACACCAAACAACTAATAATTTACTCTATATCGCAACATCGTTTTGAAATTTTTTTTATTGTGTTTGATTCCCATTTTGATGCACCCTCTTCCTATTCCAATAAGGATGTGAACATATATGTATTGATATAAGTTGACATACTCTATGTTAATCATTTGATATATCTGAATGCAAACTATAATCTTATGCCATAAAATATTAAAGAATTGCCAGTGTTCTTTATTAGTCATCAATCAGGGTGTCACTGTGTGTGTTAATTATGTTTTAAAATATAACAAAGAAAACTACAAAATGTTACAGTTTGATTTTCCATGAATTATTTATCTAGCTTACACATGACTTGAAGACTGTATAGTATTGGAAGATATCCACGTCATCTTTCACCCATAACTAACCATTGGTATATATTTGTAAAAAAATATTTCATCTTGAATACAGTTAAATTGAAAAAAAAAACAGAAAATAAAATTGCTTTTTCAAAAGGAAACCATGACAGGACCATATAATAATAAGCATTAAGGCAAAGTATACATGGCCTTTGGCTGTTGTCTGCTCTTTGGTCGGGTTGTTGTCTCTTTGACATATTCCCCATTTCCATGCTCAATTTTATAATTGATTGTATTTGGTAGGTTTTGAAATTTTGTATGGATTTAGAACTTTTTGAACTTCATCTGAATATATCTACAGCATTTATGCATCAGAAGATACAATCAATTAAAAAAATTAAGAAATAAATCTATAATTTTGTAGAATGTTAAAATTGTGAAAAAAAGCATTTCTGACTTGAAATGGTGATTTCTTATAATTAAATTGGTCAACAGGATTTTGTTTATAAATAAAAAAAAATATTGATATGAACATTTTCTTGTTTTAATGATATGAAAAGTTAAACGGTAATAAAAAAAATGCTAATTTCTAAGTTTCGTGATATTTTTACATCCATAACTCAACTAGAAGAATAATGAAATATCATCAAACAAGCCTGTAGATAAATTTTAAAAGTATTTTTTTAAAGTTCTTATTGTCTCATTGGCAATCATACCACATCTTCGTATTTTTATATATTAGAAATGCAAATAAAAGAAGAATGTGTCTGAGGACTCAAATGCCCTCCTCAAGCTTCAAACAAACAAAAATGGGACAGACAGACGGAAAAATGGAAGGACGGAAAGATGGAAAGACAGAAATACGGAAGGACAAACGGTCAAGGGTAACACTTAATGCCCCCGCTGTAGGGCCACCGTCGCGGGGATAAAAATGAAAAAGATCAGAATCATACCTGGAATATGACAAATGACACCCAGAGCATTACATGCAGTGTAAGGCAAGGCTACTTCCAAATTGCAATCTACCAACGTAATCTCTGATCCAGAGCATTTTATACTGGAAAGCTGCGGCTCCAGACTTCCATTACCATATGATGCTACAGATCCTGTTGTCCCATCAGGGAAGCCAATCATAAGACAGACAATTTTAGCCTCAGTCTGTGTGACAGAACTTGAGCATATAGTGCCCCATATTCCATATACATCAACTTCAACTCTACCTTCCAAAGAGTTTCTTCCACCAGACAATCTTACTTTAACTTCATCTGGAGCTAAAATAAATTTACCTATCAAATTTTGAAATGAAGATATAATAATAACTGCTGTAGAATAAATACTTACTGGGGTGCTACTTCAGACATTGAAAGTATAATGAACAGACAGATGCAGATCCAGAATTTTGAAGAAAAAAAGGGGGACACCAACAAGGCAATGTTAGGAGTAGGACTTGTCAAAAGTCTATGCATCAACCATATATGTAGCCCCTCCCCTTAATCCTCCTCTAATGAATACTCCTAAATATAAGCTATAAGTTTTTGTTAGGGGTGTTGGAACTAATTGAACAATACACATCATGAAACATAACACAAATATTGAACTGCAGCCGGTTGTACGAACGTGTCATTAGTCTGATGAGTCATTAAGTCTTCATTAGCCTAATGCATCATAAAGGCTTAATGAAGACTTAATGACCAATTAGGCTAATGTCACGTTCGTACAACCGGCTGCTGTTGTTTAGGCAAATTAAAGACAAAAATTAAAGTCATGCTTACAAGAATCTTCCTTCAAACATATTAGACACAGATTGATGCTCTCTTTCTACAAGACTATATGCAAAAATGTTATGCTTGTTGACATTAACAACAACTATTTAAAAACTATCTGACAATGTGCAAATAATAGGTCATGAACTATATAAATACAAACGTAGTTACAAACTATTATTCTGATATACCACCATTTTGGATGTTTGTATCAACAATATAGACCTGAATGTGAAACATATTATAACCAACAGCATTCAAGCATAATAATAATGTCACCAGATGAGTTGATGAAGGATTTTATATAAGTATATAAAAATTTAATAAAATATATGACCCACCAAGGATTTATATAGTTCACTATATAAATCCTTGGACCCACTGAAAAATGACAATGAAAGAGTCATCTGCACTGATTGAAATAGATCATTTTTGAACTGTAATTACCAATAAATGAACAAAAACTGAATTAAAACTGTCCTTCAATGCATGTAAATAGGATGAAAGTAGTAATGTTATCTTCAGGATGTTCGCTCCTCTTGTTTTTGAATTTTTGCCAGATATTCTGAATCCTCTGGTTTTATCCATGTAGTGCCATTAAAAATTTTTGCCCGCTCACCCCTGTTTTTCTGTTTATGATTTTATTACATATAGTTTAAAAAGCCATATTTTAAAACCCTATAAAATCCTTGTTATTTTTTTATAGTTTTTAAAAGAAAAAAGATGACAATGTTAAATGTATGAAAAGTCTAGAGATAATCATTTCCCGCCAAATTTTCAATGGCTTACATCTCGAAAACGAGCACATGGACCCTAAATTTTTTTCTGCTTTTTAAGTTTCTATATCTATATACTATCAATTTATAACAGTCTTTTAAAAAGAATGTTATTTTTGAAACAGAGGAGCGAACATCCTTAAATTAAACACCTTTGAACCGACACATCTTTATAATTAAGAAAAATGCACATGTTGTTGTGCTAAGCTAAAGCATAAACCCACTCGTAATTATAAGTATCAGAAAACAGAAAGTAGGTATCTGGAAGTTCTGACAAGCAAGCTGCTTACTAAATATGAAGTCATTCTGTTTTGTAGAACTGTAGAAATGTGTGACTGAAATATTTGTTTGACAGACAGATGGACAAACAGAATGAAAGGGTGGACAAGGTGTTCATTGTTGAAGTCCATAAGATGACCTTTTTGCATGTAGTTGCTAACTTCTACATCATTTGGTCTCTGGTGGAGAGTTGTCTAATTGGTAATCAGACCACATCCTCCTTTTTTTATATTGAAAAATCAAAGAATCTGCTAACAGGAAGTGGGTATCTGTCAGCTCTTAAAATTGCTCACATGTTACAACTTATTTCTGTTTTAAAGCTGCTAACCAATATGAAATCTTTCTGTTAAGTGGTGTCTGAGAAAAGTGTGATAAAAATATTTGTTGGACAAATGGACAGATGGACAAAGTGATTACAATATAGCCTCCATCCTTAGAGTGGGGGTATAATTAAGGCCACGGTAGATCATATTTAACATAAATATGAAAAAGAAAAACATTTAACATTTATGGAAGTTATAAATGACTATTAACCTGAAGAATTTCATTTAAATTTAAGACTTGTAAAACTTACGTGCAGTTCTACACAGTACTCCTAGGGCATTACACATTGTATTTGGTGGTGAAAGTTCTATAGCACAATCAGTTATAGTTTTAGCAGACCCAGAGCATTTCATATACTGTATTAAGGGAGATAACTCTCCATTTCCATAATCTCTGATAATTCCTATTGTGTTATTGAAGTCAGCCACGTTACATATCACCTGTGCTTCAGCCTGTGTTAATGAGTTAGTGCATATTGTTCCCCAATTTCTTAGAATCATTATTTCAACTCTCCCTTCCATGTTAAAAAAGCCATTAACCAATCGTACCTTTAAATCCAAAGAAGCTGAAATAAAACAGCTTTCATTTCAAAAGCTTTTCTGTACATAAATCATATGTCAACAAATTAATGTATGTATTGGTACCTAATAAATGTGATCAAGGATTTTAATAGAAGGAAGGATTCAAATCTTGTGGAATCTAGCTACATATTGCATGTCACAATTAAGAACTTTAATATGCAAAATTGGTCGCACCCATTTGACAATTTTGTATGCATCTAATATGATCATTGTGGTATTAGAAAACAAAGAAAATACCTTTTTTCAGTACATCACATTCACTATATTATAATAAAATATATATGTTTCATTGTTGAAATGGATCCAAATTAAAAATCATAATTAAACTTCAACCAATGAACTAGTGACAACAAACAAACTAGGATGCTGTAGAATGTGTCCCCGTCCTTGTAGTGTTTGCCCTTATATTCTACATTTATGGGTTTTTTGCTTGTGAGAGAGCTTTCTATTAATAGTTTTTATTATTACATTTTTTCTATTTCTTTAAATTTAAATTTAGGTTATATATCCACTTTATTTGAACTTTGGTGGATAGTTGTCTCATTGGCAATCATACCACATCTCCTTATTTTTATACATGCTGATTATACAAAATTATCAGTAAGCATGGAAGCTTTTTAATCAAACAGCTATTCCAGAAAATGTACCGTTAGCTATTGCTCACTGATCATACCTCCCCTATAATATTTAATAAACAGATAGTTCATGATAGTTCATCATACATCAAAAGCATGCTCACATGAAGAATAATCTTAAAGCTATTTTATAAGTAAGGAATATTTGGCTTATTTCATCATACCAGAACTATTTGTAGAACACATGACTCCTGCAGCAGTTTCTGTAGAACAGTAACCAATCTTTCCCCAGTTCAGATTGTAACATTGGTGTAAATAAGCCTCAGTCCCATTACAATTTATGTTGCTAAGCAACCTTGGAGCATAGGTAAACTGTGAAGTGCCTGTGTAATGCTTATAAGCAATACCAGAGGCAAACATTTTCTGTCTACAGACAACAGTGGCATCATCATTGTCAAATCCTTCAGAGCAGATAAGACCACTGTAGCCAGCAAAATCTAAAGATATAAATCCTTTTCCTGGTCCAGTTATCTGGAAACTTATTGCTGAAAAAAATGTAAATACAGTTTTCAAATACAGTTAATTGGGAATATATTTTCAGACACTGTATGTCTACAAAAGTAACTTACCCTTACAGATCTTTTTGTCAAAATATCTGCTTTCTTCCACAATTTCTTTTTTTTTTCTTTAATAAAACCTGTTAGATTTTGTCGCTGACCTAAATCATAAGGGTTATCATTGACACTTATACACCAACACCCTGTGACTTTTTAAATAGACAGGTCTGTGAATCAATTGTAAACATCGCGAAACAAACACTCGGTGTAACTCAAACTTGGTTATACTACAATTAGAGCATAGATGTTTGGCTCTTACACAAAATGCGACTTATATAAATCCTGAAACCAAATTTCAGAAATCCTTGAATTGTAGTTCCTGAGAAAGATTCGACGAAAAATATTCATGGGACGGACGGACGGACTGACGGATGGACGGTCAGAGGTAAAACAGTATACTCTCACTATTTTAAAGCGGGGGTATAAATACAAGATAGGCATTTCAATATAAACAGCTAATTATGTTCTCGATGTTTTTCTTACGAACGGTACAGAACTATGACGAAAACATACAACGAACGTACAGAAAAAATATCGACGAACGGTATACAACGCACAATGTCAGGAATTTACCATACGTTGGTTATACCCGTGTATATTCAAGTAAGCATCTACGACTAGATTGCTTTTCAAATTGTAAATATCATCAATATTAAAGTCATTTACAGACGATTTTCAGTTGTTGCATGTCGAATTATCATATAAAACAACAATGAAAATTCATCGCACCTCCAAAAATTCCACATCAGAAATTATTGCACTTACAGTGATAATGCATCGCATTTATAGTTAAAATAAATCGCATTCAGTAAACAATATTATGGATTCAGCTGCTTTAATTACAGTTTTTTGGACGTTAACCTTCTTATTATACTTTAAAAAGTTATATTCTAATGAAATTGTGTTTAAACATACATTCAAATCAATTATTTCGTATTTTCAAAAAGTAAACAAAGGCAGTTTTTCCCGTCATCCTTTATTCTACAATAGACATACTCGCATACGACAGTGAAAATGAACAAACTGAATTCGCACTTTATATACACTGAAGGACCAAAAAATGAGAAATCTATATTTAAAATTTTATAACAAAAATCTCTGTAATCATGTCTGTGAGTTTGTAAAAATCTTTGCTTTATTTTCATCGAATCCACATGTTTTTATTTAGGATGTTTGCTCCTCTGTTTCAAAATAACAAACCTTTTAAAAGACTGTTTTAAATTGACAGTATATAAAAAATAGAATTAAAAAAGCAGAAAAAAATTTAAGGGTCCGTGTGCTTGTTTTCGAGATATAAGCCATTGAAAATTTGGCGGGAAATGATTCTTTCTAGATTTTTCATACATTTAACATTGGCACTTTTTTCTTCCAAAACTTTGAAAAAATTACAAGGATTGTATAAGATTTTCAAATATGGCTTTTTAAACTATATGTAATAAAATTATAAAAAGAAAAGTAAGGGTTTGCGGGCAAAATGTTTTAAGGGCACTACATTGATAAAACCAGAGGATTCCGAAAATCTGGCAAAAATTCAAAAACAAGAGGATAAAAAAACATCCTTAAATACAATTAACAGATTGGGAACGATCCCTCAAATGAGGAGTAACCCCTCAGTGTAATGACTATCCCTTTTGTGAGGGGTATATTTCAAGTGATAAATAATGGTGTTTTTTTTTTGTTAAAACCACGTCTTAATACAAAAGGGCACATATTTATATTATTTGAAGAAACTTTTCAAAAAGAACTATACATCTATCTTGAATTATATTGTCAAAACATGTCCAAGAATTTTGTAATATCCATTGACTTATAAAATTGAGAATGGAAATGGGGAATATGTCAAAGAGACAACAACCCGACCAAAGAGCATATCTTCTTTATTATTAAAAAATAAGTCACCGGTATCCCTCTTTTAGAAAAGTTGTTCCAAATATAATGAATGTTTCCCCTTTTAAGTTTAAAAAAGCAAAGTTTTTCTCTTTTCTTTTATACAACAGCAAAATGACCCCTTGTCTGGGGGACAGTCCCTTGTTTAAGGGATATCCCTCATTTTGGGGGTTGTTTCCACCCTGATAAAACATTTAAGGTTCATGTGGACCCATTGGCTAAATGGCTGCATTTTCACCTCAAAATTTACTCTGAGTACAGACAAACCTGTATATCTGGAAAAATTTTAAGGCATAGCATGCCCTAGATAAATAAAATTCAAATAATTATATTCCATGTTTTAGAAAATTAAAAAATTAACAGGATTTTGCAGTGCACTTTTTTTCATTCCTCCAGAAGGTGCCAAAATAAACTAAGTTGGGAAAGAGGTTTGAGAGCTTCCCCACAGGTAATAATTGAAGTGAACTGTTTTGATTGAAATGGACACTAGATACGTGACAATAATTGGTGATTTAAACTGTATACCTGAGTGGACCATATCAAGTGAAACTCGATTGTTTGTTGATTTTATCATCTTCTGCAGGGACGAAAAAAGTGCACTGCAAAATCCAGTTAAGTTTTAAATTTTCTAAAACATACAATGCATTTGAATTTTATTTATCTAGGGCATGCTATGCCTTAAAACTCTTCCAGATGCACAGGTTTGTCTGTACTCAGAGTAAATTTTGAAGTGAAAACGCAATCATTTTAGCCAAAGGGTCCACATGAACCTTAAAGGGGCATTGGCTACGAGATATATAAAAAATCTAATATATGATTTTTTTTTGTTCAATCATTAATGAAAGTGAAATAGTGAAATGATAATTCGCTTTTAGCCGTCAGTATGGTTCAATTTTGTCAAAATAAGCTAAGAAACATTCATGATGAATTATTCACTTGCAAGTGAATAATTCGACCTCATTGAATCCGTATTCATGTGAACTTCAATTTAACCCCTTAGCTTGAGATAGATAACACGTGAATTGTATTTGTAAAGTTATTTAAAGGAAAAGAATGTCAACATTAAGAGTGAAACAAAAGTAAATCATTTGATTGACTGATCCGATCCACAAAAAATCATTCTTATACAGGTAAAAACGATGATAAACATATATTTTAAATCTATAATATGAAATTAAACAGACCTAGAAAAATCCAATAGCACGAGTTCGCTTAATCTATTTATATCTTTATTTATGTTAATATCGCTTATATGGTCATCGGATGACTTTGGAGGTCAACTCGATAGTTAATTAGATGGTGTATAGACTAAAATACACACGAAACGAAGCTACGTGTTATCATGCCCATCATCCTGGTTTGCCCACATTTAATTGCAGGTTTATAAAAACATAGGGTGTTTTGTTGTTTTAAAAATTATAGTTTATTTCTGAATTATAGTCATATTTTCTACCTCTATTTTACCTGTAAATATTATAAAAGATATCTATTTCTACTATTAAATCAAGGAAAATGTGCAAAAATATTTTATAAATTTAACAGAAAAATGTATTGAATTTGACAAATATTTAAAAAAAAAAAATTTTAATTTTTGGTACATTCTGGGGAAAAAAATGTAAAAAGTAAAATGATGAAACAGTTTATTTTTCTTTTATTTTTTCACTTTATTTATTTTTTTTATTTAAAAAAACACTTTGTTCTGAAATTTAATATATAAAAACCAATGAATTCTAAAAAATAAATATAAATGCAACTGTTCAGTAGCCAAGCAGTAATCTGCATCCAGTTATAGCACTTTCTTCTTTCAATTTATAATAGGTTCTATGTTCCCACTAGTGTATGTTCTACTGTCAGGAAAAGACGAGATCAACTACTCACGCTTCTTCAGACACATACTTTACATCGCTGAACTTAATCAGTTACAACTTCAACCAGAAACAGTATTTATTGATTACGAGACAGAAACCAACAACGCAACAGGGACAGTGTTCCCAGGGGTAACCGTGAAAGGCTGCTTCTTCCACTTTACCCTGTGTATTTGGCGACTGGCACAGAAATGTGGACTAAAGTCATACTATAGGGAAAATGAAGACATCACTCAACTTATACGACAAGCCGCAGTACTATCTCTCAATCCACACTACCTTGTTGATGATGTTTGGCTTACAACTTTAGAAGACATTGGTGAAGCTGACACCATACCTGCTACAACATCATTTACTGATTATATGACAGAGTCTTGGGTTGAAGGATATCGCTTTTTGTTGAACCATTGCTTTACCGAAGAACCCACATCACCAACCCCTTGGAATTTTGGCACAATAAAATTAAGAAGAGACTCTACCATGCCCACCCCCAACATCTAGAAGATTATCGAGTTACTCAAGAAGAGTCAGGCACTAGCAGAATGTACAATTATCCAGTATGCAACAGGAGGAGCCTGCCCACCAAAAAGACGACGATACAAAGTTATAGACACCAGCCTCTAACTACTATAATACAGATACTAACACGGACACATCTTCGTGATATACTTCTCTGTCGCAGCATCCCATCTTCTTCGATTGAACTGAATGACTTTTTGAAATATTGTAATTTGTGACTTACATGTAGTGACTTTGTAAATAAAATGTTTGTGACTTTGTTAATAAATAAATGTTTTGTTACTTTTGAAATAGTATATATAAAATTTTGTACTTTTCATCATTATACAGATAGTGACCCATATTACTTATTTTTACCATAAGTGCTTTTATTTTATTTTCTTATGCAAGTCATGTATAAATTTGATTCATTAGTTACAAAAATTATGTTTGCAATTAAAGAAAACTTTACCATATATTGATGTATTTATACCATATCACTAATATTTGATTTATATATTTTTTATCTATACAAATAAAAGTGGAACTACAAAATGAAAAATACCTGAATATATAGAAAACACAGATAAACTATAAACCTATTAAGTTGGAACAGACTATACAATTGTACGCTCATTAACCCTTTTGTCTTTTTTGTTTTCTTTACTAATAGATAAT